CTCCAGATTGTTCAGAGATGTCTGTTCAATGCTTGGTATTAAAAAGACCAGGACGACGGCTTATCACCCTGCTGGAAATGGGTTGGTAGAGCGTTTTAATCAGACATTGGAGAAGATGATTTCTCACTATGTCGATGTGCATCAGCGAGATTGGGATGTGCATTTGCCGGCGGTTTTGATGGCTTACAGAGCCACGCCTCAGGCGAGTACGGGTTACACGCCTGCGTATCTACTGTTCGGTAGACAGATGTGTCTGCCACAGGATGTCGCTTATGGCTTACCACCTGATGAGATGGTCAGCTTATGCGAGCCTAGCTACGTCAGAGATTTGAGACAAAGGCTAGCGCATGTGCATGCAGTTGTGCGGAAGAAGTTGGAAACCGTGCACAAGCATCAAGCTCACTTGCATGATTCGGGAGCAGTACCCGTTTCATTCGCAGAAGGAGATCTGGTATGGTTGTTGGTACCAGCAGTTCCGGTGGGGACTACTCCGAAGTTCTCCAAGCTCTGGCAAGGGCCGTTTGAAATAGTAACGAAGCTGTCAGACGTAGTGTATCGGGTGAGAGATACACGAGCGGCCAATGTCAAGGTGCAGATTGTGCACGTGAACAGGCTAAAACGATGTAGAGTAAGGCCTAACCATCTTCACGCTGTGAGTGAGGTGGAGGAACCTGAAGATGCTGAGTCTGTCGAAACGCCCCCGGCTGATGTGTATGTGCCGGACCCTACAGACTTGTTGTATTGGGATTCTGATGAGGATGCCCAGCATGAGACGTATGGCGGCGTGGACGGTGTTGGCGGCCAACCAGTTGTGCAGATCCCGCTACCAGTCAACCAGCCACCGCCACAACCAGCCCAGATTGCGGTTCAGACTCGAGCTGGGAGGACCGTCCGGCCACCGCAGTACTTTGGAATGCAAACCCAGTTGAGAAGACGACGGTAAGCCGAATGTTGTCGCCACGAGGACGTGGCAGTCTTTTCGAAGGCGCGGGGAGATGTCATAGCCCGAGAGTGAGGGCTTGTAACTTTTAACTACTGCTGATAGCTACTGTGCGTAGAACGTGGACACACTGTGTCTTCCGGACCGTAGTTGGAACAGTTATTATACAATATAATATACGGTGTGTGCCGGCGAGGTCACCTACCCAGTGAGACTGTAAAATGATAGGTTTGGCTGCTGTCAATAGATGAAGCGCACGACTGTGCATTTGCAGTAGAAAGTGCAATACCTGTAGTTATGAATTCGCTTTATAGTAGTAGTAAGCTAGGTGTGGATGTGCGTGATTGCACCTGCTTGACCATTGACTGGCTATGCTTTTAATCAAGTACATGTTGCGGTCCAGACGCCGGGTCTAGGCTTGCCCCGTTCTAATACCCTTTCACACTTTGCGTATCTTATGATGACAGCCGCTTCTAGATCACGCAGACCTGTGCGTGTGCGTGTGTGCGTGTGCGTGTCCGATCGCCGTTCCGCGCAGCGGACAAAGTTGCAGTTCAGCTGCATGTTTAGCAAGTACTATCGCTACTGCCGCTGCTTGCTGTTTTCTACGATGTGTTATATCATGGCATGCTGCTGCTTTTAGCGAGAGGTTCTTTCGGTGCTCTTCTTCCAAACAGGAACATATTCTCTGCTCTGACGAGATCAGTTGGTTATGTGTGTGTTGGGTTAGGACTGGGTGAAGTTGCGTTATGCCAGCCGTGACTATACTTGTCACAAAACGTTCCGAGGGTTAGAGACGACACAGCCATGGGCGAGACTAACCGGAACGCTGTCCGAGCGAGTTATCACACCTCCAAACCAACTAGTCGCAAGCCCGCGCTGGGCACAACAGTACGAAGTAGTGGTTGCGACTTCGGCGATGATTTATAAGAAAGGGTTTGCTCCCCACACCGGAGCTCGCGCTATTCCGCCGACTTTACTTGACACTTGACTGACTCACGACTGCCATCCAGAGCACACGAGAAGTCCATCGAACCTTCGACTCGGCAAACCTGCAAGAAAGCACCACTCCCTCCACTCACAAATCATCGCCGAAGTCGCAACCACTACTTCGTACTGTTGTGCCCAGCGCGGGCTTGCGACTAGTTGGTTTGGAGGTGACAGCGTTGCGAATGACCCAGGGTCCTCGACGTCTGTCTCACCGTCCAGGAGCGACACTGACTCACGCTGCTATCTGGTGTTCACGAGGTGTTTGTCGCGCTGGAAACGGAGCGTCTCTGTAAGTTTGTATCCCTGATGATGTTTGTGCCTGGAGAGCACTATAAGTGGTGCTCTTCAGGCACAATCTTCCTCAGCCTACTCAAGCTCAACTGATGAGGGGTGAATTCCCCGGAACACTGTGTATTGAGCAGGGAGTGGTGCTTTCTTGCAGGTTTGCCGAGTCGAAGGTTCGATGGACTTCTCGTGTGCTCTGGATGGCAGTCGTGAGTCAGTCAAGTGTCAAGTAAAGTCGGCGGAATAGCGTGAGCTCCGGTGTGGGGAGCAAACCCTTTCTTACAAATCATCGCCGAAGTCGCAACCACTACTTCGTACTGTTGTGCCCAGCGCGGGCTTGCGACTAGTTGGTTTGGAGGTGACAGCGTTGCGAATGACCGAGGGTCCTCGACGTCTGTCTCACCGTCCAGGAGCCACACTGACTCACGCTGCTATCTGGTGTTCACGAGGTGTTTGTCGCGCTAGAAACGGAGCGTCTCTGTAAGTTTGTATCCCTGATGATGTTTGTGCCTGGAGAGCACTATATAAGTGGTGCTCTTCAGGCACAATCTTCCTCAGCCTACTCAAGCTCAACTGATGGGGGGTGAATTCCCCGAAACACTGTGTATTGAGCAGGGAGTGGTGCTTTCTTGCAGGTTTGCCGAGTCGAAGGTTCGATGGACTTCTCGTGTGCTCTGGATGGCAGTCGTGAGTCAGTCAAGTAAAGTCGGCTGAATAGCGCGAGCTCCGGTGTGGGGAGCAAACCCTTTCTTAGTAATAATAATAATAATTTTAATAATTAGGAAATTTGAGGCCACATGCCACGTGATGCTCTTTTCTCTCCGAAACCCAACACTTGCAAGCCAGATATGAAAGAAAGAAAAAATCATCAGTCACACCACCGGGACTCAATAATAATAATGGTTGATAAATATGGTGGTAAAGACACACCTGGCAATATGGCGGTAAACACACGCCTGCCCACACACGCTCTCTAGGCTGCAAAGTTCTGGCACAGAGCTCTCCTTCTCACCACCACCACCACCATATCAGTTCGCGCCTGGCACCTGGTCGCTGCATGGCTGGCGGTATCCGGCATAGCAGGCTGATACATCAAGTAGCGCATGGCACATAGATGATGACACAGCAACGACATAGCTCGATTGCGACGTACGTTTCGTCCCCGCTGGACTCATCAGGCAATCTTCTTCTTGGATGTCTTCATACGGCTGCAGTGGTGTCTTCGACTTCATTCTCCCGAGTCAAGCTCCGTATGAAGAGTTGAAGACATCCAAGAAGAAGATTGCCTGATGAGTCCAGCGGGGACGAAACGTAGATCTACGTCGCAATCGAGCTATGTCGTTGCTGTGTCATCATCAGTGTGCCATGCGCTACTTGATGTACCAGCCTGCTATGCCGGATACCGCCAGCCATGCATCGACCAGGCGCCAGGCGCGAACTGATGGTGGTGGTGGTGAGAAGGAGAGCTCTGTGCCAGAACTTTGCAGCCTAGAGAGCGTGTGTGGGCAGGCGTGTGTTTACCGCCATATTGCCAGGTGTGTCTTTACCACCATATTTATCAACCATAAGTACAGCTGCAGTGCACTAGTGGTGTCTTCGACTTCATTCTCCCGAGTCAAGCTCCGTATGAAGACATCCAAGAAGAAGATTGCCTGATGAGTCCAGCGGGGACGTACGTCGCAATCGAGCTATGTCGTTGCTGTGTCATCATCTATGTGCCATGCGCTACTTGATGTACCAGCCTGCTATGCCGGATACCGCCAGCCATGCATCGACCAGGCGCCAGGCGCGAACTGATGGTGGTGGTGGTGGTGGTGAGAAGGAGAGCTCTGTGCCAGAACTTTGCAGCCTAGACTAGAGAGCGTGTGTGGGCAGGCGTGTGTTTACCGCCATATTGCCAGGTGTGTCTTTACCACCATATTTATCAACCATAAGTACAGCTGCAGTGGTGTCTTCGACTTCATTCTCCCGAGTCAATAATAATAATAGTAATAGTATTTTAAAACTCGGATGTTGAGCCATAAATAAATGTAGAAAGGAAAAGGACATAAGGATACGAGTTAAAGGGGAAGTTAAGGCAAAAATTAAAATTTCACCGTAGTCTTCGGGGTGCTGAGTCGAATGGTCTTGGTCCGAGAAAGCTGAGATGCTCCCTTCCTACTTGAATCCCAATCGAACTCGCGCACTTCCACCAAAACTGGGTGACTGCGCCCTACTAGATGGGGATTTGTATACAAAATGTCACTAAAAGCGCCATTTCGTTCTTATAAAAGCACGGATGACCGCGATTGGCCCATATGTTGTAGTCTTTTGGACGCTGAGTCGACTGGTTTTGGTCCGAAAAGGCTGCGATGCAGCGTTCCTCCTTTATTCCCAATCGAACATGGTTGAACAAGTGGTCACGTGCTCCTGCGTACACCAGTCAGCTGGTCACCGTGCCTGCAGGGTACAACTTACTAGCCTGTTTGACCTTTTTTGGGTGCAGTCCTGTCACTCGAGTTGAACCTTGGTGTGAAAGAGTTGTCGCCTGCTGGCGTGGTGACCAGGTGATTTGGGCACCCAGGAGCACGTGACCACTTGTTCAACCATGTTCGATTGGGAATAAAGGAGGAACGCTGCATCGCAGCCTTTTCGGACCAAAACCAGTCGAACTGGGGTAGCCCAGGAGCGAAACCCACGACGTTTCACATTTCAGTCGCACAGTCGCCCGTGCCGTCTCCCTTATAGGTGCTATGACTCCCTGACGCAACGCACACCCACACACACACCTCATCCAGGCTTTGCATTGGGAACAAAGACTTAGAGGAAAGTAAAAAAATTACGATTCAATAATTATAATAAAATTTATTATAATTATCAGAATATTTAATATTCTGATATTCTGATAAATGCCAGCATGGCCACATGAAGCTAACCATGACCAGCGATGTCATATGCGAGCGTGCATAACGCGACCCTGCCACAAGGCAGCGACTGAAACCGGGGTAGCCCAGGAGCGAAACCCCCCGACGTTTCACATTCCAGTCACCCGTGCCGTCTCCCTTATAGGTGCTATGACTCCCTGGCGCAATGCACACACACACACCTCATCCAGGCTTAGCATTCGGGAACAAAGACTTAGAGGAAAGTTAAAAAAAATTACGAAAATTACGATTCAATAATTATAATAAATATTCTGATAAATGCCAGCATGGCCACATGAAGCTAACCATGTGAATTGATTCATGCATTTCATACTGAGGAGAATTATAGTGCCCGTAACACTTTGACAGCAGGCTTCTAGGCACTTCTTGTGTCGGCTCTGGTTACTCCTCAGCCACTAGACTGAAAACATAGTTTCCAGAGCCGACGGTAAATTCAATGTAGGTGCTTGTCGCCGCAGCGGCACTGACACCAGGGTCACCAGCGACGAAGGCATTGCTCTTCCATACAACGGTAGAGCCCTCGCTAACCAACCACTGGCTTGATGATGTTCCCTTGGGCAGTGGCACGCGCATCAATGCACTGCTGCCCACCGGCACGGTGATGGAGATGGTGTACGGCGAGCCTGCCGTGCATGTTGCTTGTACTGCCAGCGATTTCTTCACATCAAAGCATGGGTCACCGCCGAAGAATTTGGTGGATGCCGTGATGGAGCAACTGTGCTTGCCAACACACAGTGCTTTGATTTTGTCCATGGAGTTTGGAGAGGAGCAGTTGTAGATTGAAAAGTTGCCACAACTACCCTTTGGTGTTCCGAAAGATGCAAATGTGATATTGGCGATGGTTCCACTTGGACCCGCACAGGCGAGAGTAACGTCCTGGTTCTCAGTGCCTGTGGCGCAAGCGGGTGATGCCATTGTCCAAGAAGAGCGAACGCTGCCCCGGGCCGTGATGATCGTGGCGTCCGCACCGGCAAGATCTCCACCAGCACCGGCTGCAGTTTGACGACGCCAGCATTCAAACAACACAGCGCATAGTCAACAGCAGTAGCATTGCCACGGGGCATGTATACTTATCATACAAAGTATGTCTTACAACAATCGTATGTACCTGTCCTCTGTAATTGTAGATGCTAGTCTGGATAGAACTTTCTGGAAAGTGCCCCCCCCCCCCACACACACACACAACTGCATCCGTAACCAGGAGCTAAGGATCAACTAATCGCGGCTAGGGAAATGCCTTAGACATGTGATTGGAAAATGGAACTACAGCCAACTTAACTGCGGATATAACGACAATTCGTGAATAACGACAGAATTCCCATGCCCAGAGCAAAGTCCCAACTAACTGTAATACATAATTATAATATGACTTCGGGTATAAGGACACTTCGCGAATAAGGACACTTTTCTGATGCCCCGCCGAGTGTCGTTATACGCATAGTTGACTCTACGTCACTAACCACTGACACAAGTCGGCAATGGACCAAGGCTACCTTTTTTCCGGTACTCCGAGTTTCATGGTTATTCATCAATCGTCAGACACTGAACAGTATCCACTGCTATTCATTGCACTATTCCGGTACATGTATCATGCTTGAACGAGGACTGCTCTAGCATAGACAGTCACACAGTACTGCATGTACATGTACTCACGGATTGCCTGGGTGATGTACGGTGCAATGACGATGCTCTCCCAGCCCTTGGACACCGGCGCCACGTTCAGGCCGGCAATGTACTGGTAGTACCAGGACGACTGGCCACCAAACATGATGTGATTGCGAGAGCTGACCGCCGTGAACTCGTCGCCCTTCCAGCTCTCCCACAGCGTAGTGGCCGTCTGCATCACCATGTAGCCCCAGCTGGGGAACGTCGTCTGACTGGCCAGTGCCATGGCAACGTCATGGTGACCATACTTGCTCAGCATTGGCAGCAGGTACTTGGTACCGACAATACCTGCATGCACAGTGATTGAGAGTGGCACAGCGTGTGCAGGTAGTCAGAGGGGAGGGTTATGTAGTCTTGAAGTGATGGCATTGGTTCAGGCTTTAGAGTTCCCCTTCCATCTGTGTGGCTCCCCCTGTGCTTTCTTTTATCCAAGCCGCGTGGAATAGCTTTGTCACAGACTACCACTTCCATCAGTTCATAGCTATAATCATCACAGTCGCTGTTGCCACCAACTTACCTGTGTTCATGTGGTATGTGTTTGCTGTAACAATATCGGTGATGAGGTTGCCAACCACCGCCTCCACCTGATCCTCTGGCACGACACCGAGGAATAAGGCCAGTGGAACACTGGTCTGGGGACCAAGGTTTGGGTCGATATACATCTGCTGGTCCTTGTCGTAGAACGCTCCCTGGAAGGCCTCCCTGGTTGATTTGGCGAGGTCAGAGTATTTCTTTGCGTCATCCGCTTTCCCCAGCATCGCGGCGGCATTAGCCAGGGCGTCCATTTGCAGTATGAAGTAGAAGGAGGAGACAAGAGCACTGCTCTTTCTACAGCCACCACCATGCTGTAGAGAGCACCAGTCGCCGTATCGCGAGAATTCCAGCAGGCCTGACGTGTGATTGCTCTCTGCAATCAGCTGATCCATGTGCTGGGCAACACCATCATAATATGTGGCGAGCATACGATCATCGCCTAACGTTACAGGCAAAAAAGCACAGACGCACACCAGCCGTAAGTTGCTGTACGCATACATTATACACGACGAGAACTGGTTACCTGTACCTGCTCCATACACTGCCGAATCTTCTGATTATGTGTTTCCATAATGTCATTGAAGTCCAGTGAGTGGCCAGCCGGCGAAGATTTTCTCGATAATTATAATTATGGATATACAGTAAAACCTGGTGTAAGCGACCTCTGGGTTTAGCGACCACCTGCTCTTAACGACCATTTTTCCATGCACCGACAGTTCTACGCAGACACTGTGGGTTCTAAAGACCACCTTGCTTTAACGACCGCTTTTGTTTGCACCGTGGGGTGGTCGCTTAAACAAGTTTTTACTGTAGTGTTACTGTGGTTAATGATCAATGCACACTTGGTATTGCGGGTGAAGCCAACATGCTCAATAGTAAATGCCCAAGTGGTGCAAGGGCACACATGCATACACACACACACATGCACACACGAGCGCCGCGCATTCAAGCATTGACACACACACACACACACACACACACACACACACACACACACATACACACACGCACACACACGCACGCACGCACGCAGGCACGCGCCCACGCAGGTGTGGGCGCGCATGCACACAAAACGCACACGCGCACAGCTTTAACACAGTCCCAGTGCATGCCCTACCATAGTACTGGTACATCCATTGCCAGATGAGCGTGTATGCAGTTCCCCAGGCAGGATCGGCCGGCGCACCACCATGGTGGTACCATGGAACACAGTCGGGCACGGCACCCGCTATCTTCGGTGTTGCCTTTGCAATCTGGATCTGTGCAATTCCACAAAGTATGACAGACAAACAATACTCACATTGCACAGCCATGTGACTACTGCAGGATATGTAATGTGTGAGTCCACGGATAAACCTCGGCATTACACTGGTGGTAGATGAAGTGATTCGTCCTCAGTGCCAGGATATGTGAACGCCAAAGAAGCTCATGGCTACAGTACTTGATGCATCCAAATCGTTGCCCCTACGCCAACTGGGCCAGGCCAATGTGACATGACTGTGCCTGCAACTGTCCACACACTCAGTGTCACACACCTGCTCGATCATGGAACAATACTCCGGGACGCTTCAGATACACATGTCATCACGGTGTCTTACTGGTACCTGTTGAGTCAAACCCCTTTAAGACGAACTTCAAGAGACTCGTGAACAAGTTTGTTTGTCTTCTTTGGAGTATTCGTTATCCACTTTCGGCCCAAAGTGGAAAATACTACAAAGAAACCAAAAGATGTTTGCGCTGTGTCTAAAGTCCAGAGAATGGATGTGCTAAAGAACCCTTCATGCACTCCTGTTCTCCATGTAAAGTCAGACATACTTGCGAGTCTAGGATATCTCTCATGAACTTGGTGTAAGATGCACCCATATCAAAGTTGTTCAAAGTCGTCTCAGCTGACAACTGTGCATCCCCCAGCCAGCCACGTCGCTCGCGTTGGGGGCAGTCGGTTGGGATACTGGAACAAACGAGAGTCATACACACACAGATATCATTATGGGTAGCCACTGACATCGTACAGTCATTCGATATTACAATTCGTATTTTATCCGGTTTTTGACCATTTCCGTCATGTTTCCATTCCGACAAGTACATCAACTACACATGCTACAAACAGTGGAGCTACAGTAAAACCTGTCAAGGCGACCACTCGGATAAAGCGACCACCTGTCCAAGAAGACCACTGAAACCAGGATCAAGGGGTGCTATTTCCAGTCAAATGACCCTGGATAAGGAGACCACCTGGTTTCAGAGACCACACTTTAAAGGTTCCTTGAGTGGTCGTCTTAGACAGGTTTCACTGTACGTTATAATGAGCTCAGTTATGTCGCTAGTCTCTTAGTCTTACTCTATGAAGTTGGAGAGACTAGCGGCGCGTGTGATGTGCTGCACACTGTTCAGTATGTGATCGTTGGGCGCAAACTCGATGTTGCCACTCATCTCCATGTCCGTGTGAACAAAGTGAGCCACCAGTGTACGCGTTAGAGATGGGGTACCGGGGAATCCAGTCATCTAATCGAGATAGAAACACACCAACACACTGGGATAAGAGTTCCTTGCGTTGTATTCACGTTTCACCAGGGCCTGTGCCGAACGGTATGGAGGGGTACCCGTTAACTCTCATTCAGACAATGTCAGCTTGGGCTATGCCATAACCCATGTACATGTACTAGCCATGGTATAGGATCGAGGACGTTACAAGTCATGTTGATGGCAGTGCTGACTACAACACGTGAGTACTCCACCTACTATCTGGCTCAGTGTTACATGTCTTACTCTCATCACCAAGTTCCTTCTCATATCACTTCGCCTTCCTCTCACGTAGCCAGAAAGTATATGCACTCTATCTTAAGATCACAGTACACGCCTTACCTGAACATAGCGAAAGCCAGAATACACAAATTTCGGCTCGAACACAATTGGCTGACTGTACACCTTGTCACCAAAGATGTATCTGCGATAGAAACAAGAGCAATGAAGTTCAGGGAGGCTTTGATACACTGTTACACATGCAGAGCTGTGGGTGTATAGCGTATAAACCACACTCCATCTATGTACACGAAGTTCTATTGTACCACTTATCACTTATGGGAGAGGTCCCTCTGCTCATACTGTCATACTGGATGGTGACCCAAACAGGCCGTATTACGGATACAGACAACTCACGTGGAAAGCTCAGCGGTGTTGCCATAGTGATGGTTGACAAAGCCGTTTGGGCTCATGATCTCGGCGTGCAAGAGGGTGACATTGGTGCCGGGTTCACCGGGACTGTCCATAGTTAGTGTACAGATACCAGCCTGCAAGGGGAAACAGCAGGAACCGCAATTCTCTCAAGTTGGGGCAGGATATACGCATTCCAATAACATGAGTGGCAATCCGCATGATGTGACCGATAATATCAAGCATCGATCCGTTCTGGAAGTGTCGTGGAATGTTGCGAATTTATTAGCATCTCACATTGTTCATTGCCTGGGTGAATGTTACATTGTTCATTGCCTGGGTGAATGTTACATTGTTCATTGCCTGGGTGAATGTTACATTGTTCATTGCCTGGGTGAATGTTACATTGTTCATTGCCTGGGTGAATGTTACATCTTCTATGTGATGTGTTTGGTCATTCCTTTTCACCATGTCAACACATTTTTTTTAAAACGTTAACGGTATTCAATGACCTTGCAGCCACTCACCATGTTCTGGCCAAAGTCGAAGACAAACACTCCCGGTGCCGGCTCGCTGAGCTTGATTGCCGCGTAGGCTTGGACTTTGCGAACTGGCTGGATGGCGGGCCATGACAGCACACCCGTAGGAGGAGTAGCCACAGTAGCAGCAGCCGCCCAGCTACTGTCGTTGTATAACTGAACACAGGCACAAGCGCATGCATTCGCCAGACTCAGGAAGTGTGTATGCCAGTATACCATCAGATCATACTCTCGTTCGGACAATCACACTAGTTGAAACATACACAGTGATTCAGACATAAGAACTGAATGAAACTAGGCATGCATACACATGTACAGAACAGTGGCGGATCCAGGATCCGAAACAAGGGGGGGGGGGGCACACTACAGGCTCAATGGAACAAGTTTACTTTTACAATGACTTTTGTGATACTCGAACATGTAAATGTATGGGCACTATTGGTATAATATAACAATCAGCAATTGTACCAACCAAACGGAAAAAGACCTGTTTTATGATGTTTGTGATGTTTTATGAATTGATGTAATTATTTAGTTCAAGTTGTATAGTAAAATAATTAATTTCTAATGCTGGTATGCAAGTGTGAAATACTCGTACTATTAGTTCAGCTATCAGCAGTGATTGCGTTGGAAAGCAGCATACGCCTGGGCTTCATCCGTGCAAACCGGTCGATGACGGCATCCGTAGTTCTGGTGCGCACGGATCGCGGATCGCGGAATACAGATCGACGCGACGAGAGTTGACAGTTCACAAGTTCAGTACACGCGTACCGCGTATCGATCTACGGACCCGGTGAACCAGTGCATGAATGTGTACAGTGCATGCAGTACAGCGACTGGGCCTTGTCATCTACACAGGAAGTGTGCGCGAGCTCGGTTTCGATCGAGATCAGTAAAAAAAAAAGTCGGTCGGCGCTTCTGAAGGGGGGCACGTGCCCCCTTCGCCCCCCCCCCCCCCTCTAAATCCGCCACTGCAGAAACCTGTCGTGACTGAAGTATGCATTACCACTCGTCAAGAACCCCATGTGTACTCACGGTGCTCTCCCAGAATTCAGTCTCCATGGATGCATTGTACATCTGCCCATTGTAGATGTCGTCCGCCACGATCGGACCGGCAATTTGCTTCCAGGCAGTGCTACTAACAACATCCATGGACGTTCCATCGTTGAAATGAATGCCGCACTTGAGCAGCAGTGAGCGGCCGCCAGCATGTACTGATGTCTGGCTGTACCATCCTAGAAGAGACACCGAGGAAGACAAGTGCATTGTACATTTAGCCTAGACTATCCCCACCACAATGACTGTAGATTGGGTGGGTGGGTGAGTGCGAGTACTGGTGAGAGAGCATGACTGGGAAGAAATAGTCCCGAGATACATTGGATTAGTTTGCCACCTTGGGAAAATCAGTGGGTAAATTATAGCAGCTGACTGCCAATGACTTCCGATAGTTCAACGGTTACTATCTTCTTCAAGTGACTCAGTGTTGATATGATTATCAGCCACAAACACACACAAGTATAAAGTGTCATGGTTGAAGATGTGTGTGCATGCATGTGTGCATGTGTGCATGCATGTGTGCATGTGTGCATGTATGTGTACATGTGTGCATGCATGTGTGCATGTGTGCATGCATGTGTGCGTGTGTGCATGTGAATATGTGTATGCTGATGGAGGTCTGTCTACTCCTCATCTGTGGTTGTGCGATCAGATATGTGGTCAAATCTCAAGTCGCAGATGCTTCTGCCGCTGTCAAATAAGAGGTACCCTCTGCGGTATCGGTACTTTTCAAGTCATTACAAATTTTATTGACTTGCTACACAGCGCATGCCTGCTGTGATTTTCCATGTTGTTCTTTCGTTGACTGCTTTGGCTCTTCTTCTTGCGTTCCAGTTTTGAAAGTAACTTCTGTGTTGGCTCTGACTGAATGCTGTATGAACTAAAAAACCCGGAATGTAAGAGGACCTTCTCACGCTGTGATCGTATCCAACACAAGAGCACTGCAGACTGTACTAAGGTGGTGGCTGAGCAGCACACAGCCTGTCAATGTGAGGATTGTGGACCGTAGCTGCGGAACAGAGGTGGCCTGGCTCAAAGCGTACACCTCCCCCCCCCCCCCCCAACCACCATGTAAGCATACTGTTGTGCAAGTTGCACATCCTGCAATGGCGGCTTTCACTCTGGTCAGGGGGCATCACTGACACGGGTCATAGTCACTGGTAAGTCTGAACCAGATATACACTCTCATGTTCTTATCCAGAGTGTTACGGGTGCAGACTTAGGTATTGATGTTACACCCTGAGCACCAGCCCGACGTACCGTGTCCCAGAGTAACGGCAATGACATTACTCTCGCCGATCTGCAAGTGGTCGGTGACATCGTGCGCGTAGTACGGAAGTCTCTCCTCAAACGTCGTGAACGGTCCCAGGACATGATCGCTGACCAGCTTGCCGTTGATGTGCATGGTGTAGTAGCCCAGACCAGCCACGTAGCAGAAGCTGGCAGCAAGGCCCTGCACAAATACATGTACGCACAGATTGCAAGTCAATACAGTCAACCCAGCCGACTGAAATCTGGAGATGACCAGATGGGGTCCCCCCCCCCCCCCAGTCCCTACTCTCGACATCTACCAAAAAGTCTATGCCATCATATAGAATGATTCTGGATAGGATGCACGAGGTGTGCTAGCACTGGATTCGAGGTACACCATGTCAGTGAATTGGGAACTTGTGGCCTTGCACGAGGAAACATGGATGTGGCAAATGGGATTTCGGCCTTTAGCCTCTGGTTGGTGGGTCTGGTCTATCCTCCTCCACCGCCGCTAGGAGCCGCATCTGACACCTGATAATGGGGTGGTGGCATCCTCCGGAAGCGGAACGGTGGTTCTTAACCCGCCCTGTATGCAGACCCATGATTTTTTTAAGATGTCAGCGATGCCAATGAATCGCCTTGCTACTCGCCCCATACATCCTCTTCACAACTCTTACTTCTAATAATTATTACAAGAAGGTACTTCAATTTGCAGTAGTTGGATTCCCACTCCGCGGTTCACCAATAAACACGACTGGAAATACTAAGTCTTGTTCCTACTTCATGCCTGAACTATTGTTTGGGGGTGCAGAAAGGACTTGGCAACGGAGCGTTGACTACACACCTCTACAGTCATGGCAAGCCAAAATTGACCTTGAGAAAAAAGCAGAGCCACGTCCAGCAGCCCGGTGTCCATATTGTGGGCCCCCACAGCCTACGCCTAACACCCAGGGTTCTTATATTCATGAGGTTGGGTTTCACTCGCCTCAACTGTACATGTACTGCATGCGTGCAGACAATGATTGTGGTGTTTTCCTTTTCACTAGGGCACTTATAGGGGCTTAGGACCCGCGGACTGGGTGGGTGTTTATCGACATTTGTGCTGACACCAAATCTTTTTTATTTTGTGCAGAAAGTGCAATAATTGTGGCCGGCCTCTTACTGAGTTTTCCGTTGAAAACATGTTGATGTCGACCTTTGGGTTGATTGTAAACGATGTCCTTAGCTGATTTCCCTGTTCACCATCTAACCACACTGCACCGCTCCAGTCTGAAACCGTCAGTAGCCCAGTATTGAAATACGAACTTCCAGCCGCTGAGGCAACACCTTTGCTATCACGGTATGCCACCATCCATACATAGACACTGTCACTCTGCAACGCTGGCGTACCACTGTATTCGACGTTGGTCGATTGGTTGGATTCCACCCAACCGCTATCCCAATGGACACTTGCCAAGGAGGAACCTTCCATTAGTGACACGAAGCCATCGGAACCCAACATTTGTCTTCTAGCCCATTGCAGACTCTTCTCCACGGCGTTCAGTCCGCCGCTGCTGCTGTTCTGCCATTGCATAAGGGTCAGCTGATAAGCGGTCTGCACCTCGGCACGCTCCGTATGTTCCAGTGCCCAGCTGAATCGAGGACGAGCAACGTCCAGTCCCAGCGGTCTGTCCATGTACTCCACACGCAAACGTGTCGGAATCAGCGGTCCGGCATGGCCGCCGCCCGCTGAACAGGCGGCGAGCATCAAGCTAATGAGAAGCCAAGGAGAGCTCCCCATCGTGATGATTTCTCAGTAAGGGCACGGGGAGAGTAACCACGACTCGATATTACGAAACGGACTGAGTTCTTTACAGATCCGATTGAACTTCAACTTGTCTATAATTATGCTTCACCTTCGGCCAAGGATCGAGGACTGCGACGGGAGGAAGATCGGCTTTGGCGTAGAATCTACGATCATGCCCATTCATGGACCGGTAGAGATACTGCGGCAGCGCCCACTGCCCGTGGCCGCATGATCAACATGATCACTCCGATCCGACATCGTCCTTACTGCTAGCATGCTGCATCGCGTGACCAGGTAAGGACAGGTGACCGGTAGGTCTACGTGACTGCGTGATTCGCCTACTCATGGCCCGGCCATACACGCTCTGTCTGTAGCTGACCTCTATACACTGTACCACAATGCATGTGCAGCCGGCTACAGTCATGATGACAAACTGTGAACCATGGTGAACAGTTGATCAATAATCGCAATGCCATGGAATGATTATGTGCATAAGTATGGTGTTGTTACCATCAGAGTCACAGACGATTATTGCAATTGTCAGCTACAGTGTAAATCAATGGAGAGCGTATTTTGATCACTGTCAGAACGTTGGGCACATCCCTTTCAGCCTTTGACTTTGTGCTTATGCGGGTAGAGGTGCATCATGTACAATGTAGAGCACCAGATGGGACCCGGCGCCATCGGTAATTTTGACATTGGTAAGTGTATTACCTAATATTTCTACATCCAGTGTGATACCGCATTGGAATCTTCAAAAATCATTCCATCAGACTCCGAGAAAATGAGAAACTTCCAGTCGGGTTCAAGCAGCAGCTCCATGATCTTAGCTAAAACCAGCACAGCCACTTCAACTTACGAACGATTTCTCTGCACTACTGGCAACACCACCAGTTTTTTTTAAACATGGTGGTAGTCGACTTGTTTTATTCAAAGCCCCGCGAATAATAGCAAGAAGGTACAAGAGAAGAGCTAGAGAGAAAAGGGAAACCAAGGAGGAGTCCAGGTAGAAAAGGAAAAGTCACTTGAAAGATTAGAACATTGAAAGGATCGGTCACGCAATACGGTTAATTCCCACCGTGGATAGGATAATTCAGTCATGTAGATTCACAAGGGAGTCATCACATGTATGAATCTGCATGTAGATCTACCTCTCAATCATAATGCATGTGCAGGATCTAGGACTGGCAGTTGATACTGCAGGCTATAGCAGAAACCGTGCTGGCTGCTGGGTTTGTCAGCTTGTAAAGAGTTGTAGCCTAGAACTAGTACTAGTGGAAGTAGAACGGATCACAGAGAGCGTGCATACTTACCACTGCCAGGTGTGACTTTGCCTCTACACACTAGTTCCGGCTAAATAACCGGATGTTGTCTATGAACACAGCGCTACTGAGAAACATGATTGTGGAGAACACCATAAAACAAGACACAAGGGCATTACATGCATGCTATGCTAACTAGCTAACACGGGTGACGGATACTGACTGATCAACAGAGACTATCTTAAAATGGAGTTGTCATTGTGTGCAGATTGTAAAGTTTCATTTTCTTTTTATTTACATTTTTGTTTTGTTTTGCTTTGCAGTTGTTGCCGCGGTCAGGCCAGTGAAATCATGTGATCACGTGATTGCCCGTATAAGAGGCTTTAAAAAAATGCTATGCTGTTTACAGCATTGCCAGTGCAATGACCCCATCATGCCGCACCCCTCAGTCTCCCGAGTCCCCTCAGATTCTTTTAAAAGGAGACTCCCTTTGGCTTTGCAAGGCATCCATTTGCTTTGGAAAATCTTTGAAACAAAAGAACTTCCAGCCCAGGACCGGTCGACCCTCACTTGTCTGTTTCCACTTTCCAGCGAAACTTGTCCAACTAACTTGTTACTTGGCGCACTGAATTGGTGCGTTTTATGTCCCCATGACGTCGAGACCTCAGGTCGGCTGAGGGCAAAAAGCCTCACCATCACTATGCTCCCACTATGCAATTTTTTGTCTTTGCCTGTGAGCTGTGATCATTGTAAAAAAAAAAAAAAAAAAAAAAAAAATTCAAATCACTATAACTCAAGAATGGCTGGGCCGATTTGAATTCTACTTGCAGATTGCCGATGTTGCGCCCGGGAGAGTCGAATGACACCAAAAATTGCAAAATCGAAGACATCGGAGCAAGTTTTGAAAATGCATATTATGCGCATGTACACTGGGTTCAGTCACTCACTACTCCAAGTACCGGTAAGTAAGTTAGTTCACGCTGGACTACCTGTCCTACATGTAGGCTACATACACTTGTGTAACACTAACAGTAACACTACTGTCACTAGCAACAGGCTACATACCGGTAGGCTACGTAGATCTACAGTACGGACATACTGTAGTACGTATAGTGTAGATCTACCAGTCTTATTGCCATATTTTTTTATTATTGGCGTAACGCCTCGTCATCGTGGCCGTGGATGGAAGGGTTGTGTCCACCCATACATGACTGTCCATGTATGGGCCCAGTGTGCCGCCTTGCGCCACCTATCGAATTCGAAAGGGAATCGGGACTCACCACAACTGGCGCCAGAGCATGTCTGCATCAGTGCATGCCCCAAACATGATTCCCTGTGCTTCCCCTGCCAATGCCGCGGTATGTGCCATGTTGTACGGACTATGGAGAGACTACATTGTAGGGATATAAAAAGACTGGAGCAGAATATTCTTGTCGAAGTCTTGACTCCGTCCAACCACAGCGAAGCGCCGGATGGCATGCAGAGGACGTGCAGTTAGCTACAGGATGCACAGCCACAGGTAGTACAAGGAGTCTTAGGTGGTGTCTTCAAGTAACTCAACGCTTGCTGCGCTCGTGGCAATCCTGCATATCCCGTGATCAGAGGGATTGTGGTGCTGCATGTTCTTGACATGTAACTATTGAGTGTTGTTCCGTGCGTCTGCCTACACCAACTAATACGTGGTGAAACGGATACAATAGCAAAGCTGTCTTGGCTGTTTCACGCACGAGCGCTAGCGCAGTCTCTTGACTTTAGTTTACCGTAGGTGTTCGATACAGGATGTTGAGCTGGTAACTCGATCTCAAGAGAAAAAAAGCTGGGGTAAGAGCCTGTCAAGGCCGATCGAATCTGTAATCACGTTACAGTCGTACTACAAAATAATTATAGTATTTCGTTTTCCATCCGCCCGGTGCCAGGCCTGTGTGCAGCATCGGAAGCCCTCTTCAAGCAGTGAGTTTTCCCGCTGTACTAGTACATTTTGTAGAGGCTTGTACTTTGTAACCAGAGTTTTCTTATTTGCAACACGTTATCGCTGCAATCCCTCTCTTTTTCGGCGGAGTTCCAAGGCGAGTGGACCAAGAATGGAACGCATCTAACATCAAGTCCTTGTAGCTCTGACTTCTCGGTGACTGAATGCCGGAGCACATTTCCTCCGCTGCTCTCTACTTTATTTCAGCGTTGGCATACCTACCACCCGTTGATGCTACGGAACGCGGTCGTGTGACAATAGTGATTGTGGTCGCGCCTGCAGGCTGCAGAGACGGAGAATGACTACCGGTATGTGAGAGCCGGCGAGTCGCCCGTTTGCCACACCGGAGAGCTGTCCCACGCGCGCTCACTCGCGCATTCGATTCCTACTCCTAGAGAGAGACCTTGGCCCTCGCTCTGTCTGTCTAGCGCCTGGAAGTCTCTAGCTCTGGATTGCTAGATCCTGGCAGACCACAACTGGTCACCGTGCGTGTGCCTCATGCTGTGGTTCGACTACACTCAAGCTAAAAAATAGCCGGAGACTTTGAATCAATCATCCTCGGAAGATTAGGCGGTGCTGGACAGCGACGAGTGTGCCTGCCCCTGCATGTATACGTGGCTGGTCACAACCACCACACATCGTCGCTCTGTGTGCAAAGTTCAGCAGCTATAAACAACCAACTGTTGTAATAGTCAATAACTATTGCCCATACTCGTATTATCACCAACAATGGCGTCCTGGGCGACTTTCTCACCGGTCTTTGTCAGCACTTGGATGACGCACACAAGTACGGATGACTTTGATAGCTCGAGCAATGGCACGTCACCCGACTGGAACCAATCCCAGCCTGTGACCGCTGTTATGAATATGAGTGCTGCACCATTCAGTGGTATTGTTGACACGTGGGATCCTACGGCAATGATACTGGGTTACCCCGGGGCAGGGCCTAGCACACCGAAAGCCGAGCCGCACACCAGTACTAAATTCAACTCTACCCCAGTTGTTGCCTTCATTGCAGTCTGTGTCGTTGTTGCAATTTTATCGTCAGTCCTGCTCATACGCCAACGACGGTGGAAGCGCAACAGGAGCATTGGCGACAAATCTCCCATTACCGAAGACCAGGACAGCCCTGCTGTATCCGAAGGGCTCCATGGTAGTGGTAGCTGGAGTGATAGTAGCAGTTCGTCTTTCTCCCAGCATGCAGTCAGGTACATGAATGTAACGAATGCTGACGGCAGACGACAACCCGTGTCCGCACAAAATCATATCTCAACGTGAGTATACATTGTAGGTGGTTGCTGTGTGGGTATGTGCATGCCGGCATGTGAAGGACGGTGAGCTACTGGTATACCGTAAAATTCCGTAAATAACGCCCATGTCCGATAATAAGCCCAGTTTTAGGCGGTGTACACTTCAAGTCCGTTTTAGCGCCCATGCCCGAAATAAGCCCAGGGCGTAAATTGGACTCAAAATGACCAAAGCGCGAGCGTGCGTTCGCGTACAAACTGGAGAACAGTTGTAGATCGAGTGCGTGCCATCCAACTGCACGCAGCACAGTGCAGAACTCAACACTGTCACCGCGCGCGAGGACAGCGATGTTCCGTTGGAATGTAGCTTGTACTTACCATAGCAAGTGGTTTACCTATCAAATCTGTAATTTATCGCTACATTCTTGGTTACGACCAAATTTCTAGCTGTAGTTTGATGTACCGTATTTTCCGGGGTATAAGCCGCACTTTTTTTCGCTAAAAATCAGACCAAAATCGCCCCTGCGGCTTATACACCGAATATGCTTGCGCGAATGAATGCTTAGCATACATCAGTATGCATGCTGACGTCATGTGACATGTCATTCGACTCAGCTCAACATCAGTGGCAGCGAAACAGATAGTGCAGATGACATGGAGTGATCTGTAGTCAACACAGCAATACACCAACATCTCTGCAGCAACCTGTGGTGCACTAACACTTCATAATCTGATCTAACATGGTATTTAGCTCCATAACCATAATAAATTTGTAGAAAGGCCATTTGTCAATGAGTGTGAAAAATCTTGGTTTGTGGGTGCGGCTTATACCTCCGAATACCAACTTTTAGTCAATATTTTGCCTCAAAAAGGGGAGTGCGGCTTAGGCCCCGGTCACACCGAAACAAGCCACTTTGGGCTTGTTATCGCTGGCGCTCAGCTGGCTTGCGTGGTCCCTGTGACGCGGTCACACCAGACCTTGACTGCAAAGCTTGAATGGCTTGTTTTTCTTACCCGCCAAATTTTGAATATCTCGAAGCACACCAATGTTTGCAAGAAACCGGAAAGCAGAACGTTCGCGATCTAAAACTGTACTTGTTCTTGTGTTCAGTTTTGATGAAGAAGCAAAGGAAGCCCGGATTCTGAATTGCGAAGTCGTGCTCTTTTTATTTGTTCGGTGTGCATGGACGCGATGGTTCGGGTGGTGTTTCCTGATGTCGAGCTTTCTGCCCCGCCGGTTGCCGTTCTTCAACTCAGTTGCAATCCACTCTCTTCTTCGTACCCGGCTTTCTTCATGAATTCGGTCGTGAGTGTGGTGCCTTGTCTTGGCCTCAAACCACAGCTCCAACAATCTACGCAGCAGTCTAGAGGCACAGCGGCAGAAATCCATGGTCGTCGGACAAAATCCAAATCAAACTGAATACAGTGTAGTTGGATAGACAGACTCACGGTCAAAACCAAAGGCGCAGGGATAGCACGGTTCCACGGACACAAGAAAGAACATCAATATCAGTTCATCATGTCAACTAGCTACATGGTGTGCTCCAAGCGCACTCAAATTATTTTTTGAATTTCGGCTTTCAGCCGCTTGTACAAGCTGTGGCTGAAACAAGCCGAAAAAAAACGGCTGAGAGTCAGCCACGGCTGAAAGTCGCTTGTTGGACATTTTTCAGCCATTTCCATGGTACTAGTGACGTAAACAAGCGCTTTTTTCGGCTGAACGGCTGAATCGAGCTCGGTGTGACCGCGGCCTAATACCCCGGTGCGGCTTATACCCCGGAAAATACGGTACCTGTGCCGCGCTCAGTGTGAATGGTGGTTCACTGAAACTAGTGGGTTGCTGATAGATTGATCTTCTGCAGATTGCGTCCGAAATAACGCCCATGCCCTAAAATAAGCCATGCCCAAATATACACCCTGTTTTTGACGCTCTGCAAAGTATACGCCCGGGGCTTATTAACGGAATTTTACGGTACCTGTATTATGCGCTACGGGCCTGCTGGTTCCAACATGTTTTTAAATGTATGAAAACCACTCAACCACGGCTACGTCCCTGCACCAACTGAAATAGTGTTCTGCGTTGAGTCCTCAGTGGACGTCTTTGTTGAATCCTGCATGAATCTCCTACTCCGCATAACGTTTTAAATAAGGTAGCCCGTGTTCAGTTAGTACTGTAGGGTCAGGATTCCCGGTGACGTTGAGCTTCCCTGTGCGAGTAAGGAGTCTTCATAACTACTCCCGTGTTTTGCATTACTACTTGCAGACCTGTAGGTTCACTGCGCAGCACTGACTTTTCACGCACTGGTCTATCACTGAGTACCTCTGGCAATCCGGTTACCACACCGCCGAGCTCACCAGATGGCTCGACGAGCCGATTCTCACCAAGGCCTCGCAGCCTCCATCTCTTCACAACAGGTATGCCATGTACACTGATCCAGTGCAATCCTCCTTTTCTCCATGGCTGCGACGTTAATTGCTAGCTCAAAGGTTGCATTGCCGGCCGACCTAAGTTCAACTTACTTTGAAGTACGTGTGCTTCTGTATGATTGGTACTGAATGACAGCAAGTGGTGCCGGATTGTGTTCAGGGAATGACTTTGTCTTTATGGACTGTCTACTGTGTCTAGCTTAGCCGTGCATCAGCAGCCAGTACTGTACAGCTGATACGGTCATGTGACAGTCATGTGCACTTAGCTGTAGGCCCGGAGCCGGCTCCTGAGAGGTGATGCGGGCCCCCAGGTTGACTACAGGGTCGATCATTGCCCTTTGCACAATTTCATTATCAGAGGAGGATGCATCTCTAGTTCCATGCATCACATCTGGCTATTTGTTTAGCAATGGCATTGCATTCCACTGGCAAGACACATTCAACTAGCACAGTAGTGCCAGTAAACAGGAAGGCAGGGCAGGTTCAGTGATGATGGGTAACTTAGACTCCAGTCAGGAGTGTATGAGGATAGCTTCAGTACTCCGCACAGTTAGTTTCACACTCGACATTAGTTCAAGATGGCCGTACCTGCCATACCAGCGTTGCCGGCCCTGAGCTAGGATACCTGTGCATGTGGCACAGTGTGTTACGTGTAAGAGTCACACTGTATCTCTTCATGTGCTGTTTTGTCCCATTCCGTCATGTTGCTGTTTGTTGCAGACACATCTGCTGCTGACAGCTTCTCGGCCGCATCCATCCCTATCTTGCCCAGTCTTCAGCAACAGCATCAGGAGCATGAGCAGCGCACGCCAGAAGCATGGTCAGTCTCGTCACCGAAACCCGTTCCTAGACCTGCGTCAGTGCTGCAGACCGAGCCAGATTTAGGCAGATCAATGACTCCAGGGTCATTTTCAGCGGCGACACTGCCACCTTTTATGTCCGCTCTTTCGGTTTCGCCACTGGCACCACCCATCATAGATGCCTCGATAAGGGAGAATATTGCATCACTTCGCTCCATTGACAGCCAATACTATGATCTAGTGTATGTGGAGCATGCTAGGGACCCTCTTTGCTTCGAGCTGTATTACAACAATGCTACACTGACGTTCCCACCATCTGTGAGTGACTCGGCTTTCTTGCCGTACTTTGTGCACGTTAGCCGGTTGGTGGATGTGGGCGAACTGCCTGCAATCGGTGAGTTGGACATGCTGACGACTCCCATTGCCGTTTCACTGGTATCAGCGCAGACACAGATGAACCCAATCTTTGACCTCGACCAGGTGCTCATGTGTGATATACAACCATTCAGACAACACTCTCAGTATATCAGTGTAGTCCTGATACAGATGGATAGCTGGTCGTCCACGTGGACGGTGGTGGACCGTGCCGTTGCCCACCACCAGGACGGCAGCAGGCAAAGACACACGGCGTGCGCTGCCACGTACGGTAGCTACATCATGGCCGCCGTGCCTAACTGGATACTGGAGAAGTACGGTGACGACGGCATACCCACCGCAGCGTCATTGCCAGTGCCGCCGGGTGTGCGGCAGAGCATGCTGCCGGCAAGACACGGCGGCGGTCCCGGTGTTGGAAATTCAGGCAGCAGTGCGCCAAGCAACGGTGCATCCACTGCTGGAGGTGCAAATGTGCAAGCACCGCCTGTAGCTGAGAGTGACGGACGTCAAGGTGGTGAGGAGATGCCAACAATGGCACGTGAGCATGCAGCTGCTGAGGATGTCCACTCAGCAAAGTAAGTCCACTAGCGTACTGCTATTTGGCTGCGGGACACCTGCGACTACAGGTAGTTTCAGTCTGGTCCTTGTGCTCCATCACTGCTTATCACTGCTTAGCCGTGACTGTACAGCACAGAACAACTGTGAGTAGCGGAGTCAGTGGCTGGTAATGCTAGAGGCTCTGATACATCTGGGTTTGCAGGTAAAACCTGGTTTTAAGGGACCACCTGGTTTCAGCAGCCACATACATGGTCTGTAAGACCGCTATTCTTTTGGTGCCATGTGTGTGTGTGTGTGTGTGTGTGCGTGCGTGCGTGTGTGTGAACTGTGCGATGGTCTCCCTGGTTCCAGAGACCACCTGCATTCAAAGAGCACAACGACAGGCTGGTCCCATGGGTGGTCTCAGAAACCAGGCTTCCCTGTACTGTCAAAGGGCATCAGTGTGTGCCAGATATAGATCAACTGGACCTTACGTGACTCGTTTCTGGTTCTCCTGGAGAGATTGTGTTCTCCTGGAGAGATTGTGGATAATTTGTAGTAAGTATCTGACCTCCATCTAGTCAAGCGCACTGTTTGGCAAAAGTACTTTGGAGTCACATGATCATGCCATCATATTTTAAAGTACACGCCACCCCATTGTGTTCTTCTCTCCGTGTTCTACAGACCTGTTCAGCTTCTTCTCTTCACCCAGAATGATCCTCTGCTGACCTTCTATGACGATGAACGTGACTGGACTGCCAAAGCCTATGTCATATTGGAGAATGACAATGCAATAAAGAATGTAAGAAAGAGCAGAACGCGACTATTAACCGTCGTGAAATCAAACTTCAACAGTGGGTGTGTATGTGTGGCCACAGACTCACAGTGCTCCGCGAACATTTGCCACCGTAAACTCGCTGGTTCTGAGAGGTCGCAAAAATGTAGTGACGTGAATATTGGACGGTTTACAGTATCTGACTGTGCATGTTCTGGTGTGCATGTCTGCTGATTGAAATACTTTTTGCATGCTGTTCAGGCCATTGAAGGACGTGAGTTGCAAGAGAAGTTCTATCTGCAGGGTGGTACCGAAAGCACGAGAGTCCGCAATGGTCTGTGTCGCGATGAGGAACTCGTGCTGCAGGTGCAGATCTCACCAAGGCTCAAGCGTTTCTACAAGTTTGACCTGCCAGGGGTATGTAGTATGTTATATGTACCAATGGGAGCTATGCATTACCTTGCTGCCAATTATTTTGGTTTTGCGGTGCAAGTCCACTTCAGCCGTACACATTTTGTTACCAACCCTGCGTGAAAGGTCATGGACTGTGTTAGGTCATGCTCACAAGTGCACCAGCGCTGGCTGTGCTCGTTCTCCACGTCGTTTTACATGTCTCATCCGTATAGAGTATTTTCTCCGGTCCGCCATCTTGGGTTCTCAAGTGATGTAATACAGTGAAATGCTGGGGTCTGAAGGGATGTTGCAAATAGTCTCTAATCGGTTCTGTCTCGTGTTCATCGTATCACACAGCCACATATTTTCAACCTGAACGACATTGAGGGTATCACGTGTCGGGACAATCCGGTTGTGGTTACTTTGGAGATGCTAGAGGAACTGAATACCTCTAGCAAGGACCTGATCTTCAACACGACTCTCTCCAAGGGCACTCAACCTGTCCGGGTGGAACACATTGAGCGGCAGTTGCTGCTCACCATGATGTCACGCAGGACCAAGGTGTTTTGCAACACGGTGAGTACATGATGCAGGTTATGACCCTCTAACCAACCGTCTGGCTTTCCAAGTTTGTGGAGCTTGTGACATTTCTCCGTTATTCAATTGTGTTTTCGGGACGCCATCTTGTCTCAAGGAACACACATTGAACGCTGTGAGTGACAAGTCATTCTCCTTCCGCTCCTGAAATATTGTAAGGTGTCACTTTGTGTTGCTGACAAATACCAGTTTATTAGAAAATCAACTTGTTATTATCATTAGGTCTGAAAGATGTGGCTTGGTTTTTCTTGTTATTATCATTAGGTCTGAAAGATGTGGCTTGGTTTTTCTTGTTATTATCATTAGGTCTGAAAGATGTGGCTTGGTTTTTCTTGTTATTATCATTAGGTCTGAAAGATGTGGCTTGGTTTTTCTTGTTATTATCATTAGGTCTGAAAGATGTGGCTTGGTTTTTCTTGTTATTATCATTAGGTCTGAAAGATGTGGCTTGGTTTTTCTTGTTATTATCATTAGGTCTGAAAGATGTGGCTTGGTTTTTCTTGTTATTATCATTAGGTCTGACAGATGTGGCTTGGTTTTTCTTGTTATTATCATTAGGTCTGAAAGATGTGGCTTGGTTTTTCTTGTTATTATCATTAGGTCTGAAAGATGTGGCTTGGTTTTTCTTGTTATTATCATTAGGTCTGAAAGATGTGGCTTGGTTTTTCTTGTTATTATCATTAGGTCTGAAAGATGTGGCTTGGTTTTTCTTGTTATTACTTCGAAGTATCATGATTAGGTCTGAAAGATGTGGCTTGGTTTTTCTTGTTATTATCATTAGGTCTGAAAGATGTGGCTTGGTTTTTCTTGTTATCATGATCAGGTCTGAAAGATGTGGCTTGGTTTTTCTTGTTATTATCATTAGGTCTGAAAGATGTGGCTTGGTTTTTCTTGTTATTATCATTAGGTCTGAAAGATGTGGCTTGGTTTTTCCTTTTTCCCCACTTGTATCCAGGACCAGGGCTTGTTGGATTCTGACACATTTTTGACAGGTATGTTGTAGCACTGTTTACATCATGCTATGCCTGGCCGGTCTTGGCATCTTGGCATCCTGGCATATCATTCATTATGCTGAGTACACGGCAGTACTAGTTGGGCACTGATACACTGTCACGAATAATATGCTCCAGTATACAGATACTCCAGCTTAGGACGAGCTTTCGAGTTGTGTGATGAGTCCTTTCAATAATGCTTGCTCCATAGACTAGTCTGACGTGGCTCACTAAGAGTGACAGTTGCACGAAAACATGCAACATTGTCTTCACAGTAACAAAAAATCACCGGCATATTTGAAAGCAAGCGATCGCTTCCTGGATACACAAAGTGGCTTTTGATATTGCCCTCAATAGCACACAGTCAGTTGAATTCATTGCAGAAGCTGCACAATTCTGACAAGGGGAAGGTGGGAACTGTCCTGGGAAACATTAGTGTGAGCCCATGTCTCATTTGCTGGAATGTGCAGTAGTAATTTGGATTCATTGTATTAGCCTACTGAGGCTGGTGGCTTCTGTCAAACTTATTCATATCCCTGTATCTTCTCTTCCCTATGCTGACCATAGCGGATGAGTCTATTCCATCCATTGAGCAAGGCACACACTCAGTTCCCGCGAGAAGTTCTTCTTACCGGCCCGCCATTCCTAGGCGGCAGTTGGCCCGTCGCAGTCCTCCTCTTCCGGACAGCGTCGATGAAGAGGAGGGACGCTTAGTTAACCCGGTCCAGGAAGTTCAACGCACACAGCAGCGGGCGTTGCCGTTTCTATCCACCTCACAACAAGACCAGCGGAGACAAAGTCAATTCTATACGGAGTCCGCCAGCATCGACTCGACTATCACTCCAGCCAGTGTTGAGCAGCCCGTCCGGGCGCAAACCTCTGCCGCCATGCATCCATCGCCTGCTGCACGGTCTGTGAATACTCAGCCATGGACTCCAGCACGGTCGCACGGCTCTGCAACGTCTCCAACCGTGTCTGATCACGGTTCACTTTCCATGGTGCAACCAACCAGCCCGGAGCAAGAATCTGTCAGCGAGGCCAGCTTACGAATGAGGAATGCCAGTTCAGCGAGTCACATGCACGGCATGGAGAAACAACATTACTACGCCCGGCGTCACTCGTTGCACAGACCTGCGGTGCGACGCGAGAGCTACCCGCAGTCGGAGAGCGGTGATAGCAGCACATCTAGCCTGGTGCTGGGCAGCCTGTCCTCCGACAGCACAACCCAGCACTACTTGACAGCCAACTTTGAGGGAAGAGCCCCTGGACAGATAGCTATCCACCGTGCTTCCCAGTCGACGCTTAGCAGACAAAGCTTCACGTCGGGAGAGTTTACCACTCCTGCACACATGTACCGAAGTGTGTCCTCCCTCTCAGGGAACGTTTCATCATGGCCAAGCTCAGTGCATGTGGCGAGTTCTTCGGCCCGTTCACCAATCAGTGAGCATGATGCCAATGAGATTGATGCTACTGCTGCAGACGGGGCGGGCAATGGTTCCACAGCCACCAGTCCACGTCATGCCACACACCAGACTGCACATGTGACCGACATTTGAATTGAAAATTGAAATACTCTACAACCTATCCAGCGCCTGCTCGATTCGGACTTGATACAGTCATTGCTTGCTGTCTAGCAATGGAACTTGCACATTGCTGCTCACAGGTAACTGTGCGAATTGCGCTGAACGTGACATTTCGAAACTAGTACTTCGAAGTATATGTACGTTGAAGCACAAAAATCTCTGCTATACATATATGCGTTACTTGATAATTGTAGTATTGAGACTGTCTGGTCATTGATTCTCACCAGTTGCCATCTAGGCTTATCTTTATTTTTAATTCTATTCTATTTTCAGACGAATACTCAAATGAATGAGTCAGAATGAGGCAAGCTACTTCACTACAAGACTAGTATGGCAACCATTTGAACACCACAATGTAGCATTTCCGAGTAGAAATACTAAATCTGTAAAATTGGCCAGTGCCACTGCTCGCTAGTAGTATTCGCAAGTGGCCTGTTGTTGAGCACATGCTGAATGAAAATCACACCGTCCTGGCCAGAGAAATGGGACCTCATGAATAACGCACACCGTGTTAGAAAACATGGGGGAGTGAGCATGTGTGGTGGTGCTAGGGCTGTGTAGTGCCCAGCGCTACTTTACGTGATGAGGTCAAATTCTCCCAGGTGACTGTACGCGTACAACTGTTTTTCTCACAAGTGTAGCCAAAGGGACATAGCACGACAAATAAAGACATGCCCACAACTGAAGCCTTGGTTCGCATATCTTTTGCTCTGGAAGTCAGAAAGAGGAAACACATTGTGGACTGTTCCAAAAGAAGGGGTGGAACGGATCGTGGTCTTATACACATGATAATTATGTACATTTCCAAGAAGCCTCTCTGCCAGCAGAAATTACTCTCGTCTGTATGCATTTCACCGAAGTGATATTTTGGTGACAAAGGGCCACCAAACGAAAATGTGAAGAAGAATAAAGAAAGCTCAGCTCCCATAAATACAAAATTTAATTTAATGTCAAGTTAGTTCAATAAATAAGTGCAAACATACAACTGTTGGCCAGCGTATGAGAAGAATATAATACACTCCATCACTTACTGTATAGGCTATGAGCAGTATTGGACGGCACGCTGGAGAACGACGCCAGCCATATAATCCTTTAAAAAAATCAATTCATCTTTCGAGTTCAATCACTTGTACACTAAACAGCAGCGTACTGCAGCACCTGTCCTTTGCTCCACGTGCACTCATCGCAGTCTAGGAGATTCAGTGTAGCTGGCACCACTGCTAGAGCGACCGCGACCGCTGAGCATAGTTTGGTTGAAAAACACCACCACGATACTTATGTTGCCCTGCAAGGAGAAAAATCGATGGTGCAAAAGCAATCGGATGCCATATCTTCTTCTGCACTTGCGTTTTCTTCCTACACTATTTTAAAGTGGGTGGGGTTAAAAGTTAAAACTAGGCCTGAAACGAACCCAATAGAGGCGAACGAAACATTCTGACGAACTGTATGCTTCGTTTGACAAACACACAAGCTATTCTTCACAACAAAGATAAGGCCCCCACCCAAGTCCTCACAAGCCCTCCATCACCGGCACAAGTTACTGAGAGAACTTCTGACTCAAAACTGAACTGTAAGTTCAACTATGTAAAACAACCAAGAATTGGACAATCTGCAATAACTGTCTTGTTTGAATAGCTGCTGTGATGGGAGCATGCCTGGGGCTGAGGACTCAGTGGCTGGCTGAGCTTTGAGTGATGTGCATTGTTAGTTGCAGTACGAGCATGGGACGGCACATACCTACGCATGCATCGACGAACGTTCGATGCCTTGAAGTAGCGAATCGAATTCTTTCCAACTCCCTTTTGGAGCGTGCCTAGTTGAACGTTCTAGTATCCCCTAGTTAAAACGCAGGTCCTTCTTCAACAAACACGCTTGATGGCATGACTCTTGAGGCAATAAACTTGTTTGCTGTGACTGGGGGAACTGAAGGACCAGATCAGACTGAGAAGGCAGCTTCATGTAAGGGTGAAACAACCATGCTGATTTCGCGTCACTTAGTCATTATGGTCGTACTCGATGTTCGCAAGAAGTTGCAAAATGTGCGTATCAAGTACTGAGAAGGCATTTTAGCCACCAAAATGCTAGAAACCAGGCCAGCCAAGCCGCCCTCATAACTAATCATGATAATTATCTACAATGGGGACCTGTGATTCCGACTGGTCTGGCAAGTCTGTGGCCTCGTTATTCTGATGTGCTTCCCTATTATTTTCGCACAAACAAGAGGAGAGTAACTCTAATTCAATGAAATTGGACAACTGAAGTTCGTTAACCAGACAACTCGATCGTAGACGAATATCGGTATTCGATAACCAATTTTCAGTGACCGTTTCACCCCTAGTTTCATGACCTCAGAAGAATTTTGCAGGCCAATAATGTACTATAACTAGACTGCATGTGATAGGGTAGCCAGCCTCACAAAACACACACACACACACACACACACACACACACACACACACACACACACACACACACACACACACACACACACACACACACACACACACGCTTCCTTTCTTTCTTGAATTACATACCTGCGATCCATACGCCTGCGCCAGATCTCTCAGTGCCTTGGCTGCTTGGCTGGCCGAGCTGCACTCACGAGCCATGGCCACGGCGTCCTGGTGTGTTACGTGCAGCCACAGGCCGGCACAGCCAATAATCAACAGCTCATCCTCGGCAGCCAACTCGATGGAGAGCAGCGACGGTTCGGGTATGATGTAAGGATTCAAAGATGCCGTCCCAATGACCCGCGTCGCTGAAAGCAGCCCGTTGACCTTGCCCTCCTGCAAGGAAACATTGAACAGTTGTGCAATTTTAGGAAATGCATTTCGCGAGAGCTAAGTTTCCACTGCCTCAATATGGTATGAGTCTGCGGCATTGTCGCACCCCTAGTCAGCTAGTCAGCTAGTCAGCTCCCAATGCGTAAACATCACGTACCGGCGTGATGAATCCTCCGACGCGTGTAACCCTAGTGCGCTCCTCGGCGCTATCCTCCGTCGTGTGTAGCTGTGTCAGCGTCATTGCGCTGCCCGCACGACTCAGCACCGCCTGCACATGGCCCACGTTGGCTACATTCAGGCGGTAGTTCAGCACGCCGGAACGACGCGCAGCCACCGATGATGCCGTGGCCCCACTCAGGCAGTAGATGTGACAGATGGCCAGCGACGCACCACCCTTGCGCACCATAGGACCAAGACGGCTGCACGGGAAAATTGGCAAGGCAGCCAGTGTGTCAATAACGACGTGAACTCACTGCAATCAACAGTATGCCTGTGGTCATGGAATATGCATGGGCAATCCCATCTATTGTAGCTCCAGTTCTGCTCAAATTAAGTCTGTTTCCTTGCCATGTTCTAGCGCACAGGCAAACATATGGGTCACACTACACCAAGATCTAAATGTGGCCCATGGCCACGGGGAAAACCATTCATTACCTGTGAGCTGTGAGGAATGCTTCCTTGAGGTAGTTGAGCGGCTTGCTGCCACTTCCAAACTGCTGCTGGTTCGTGAACTCCTCCAGGACAATGGAAGCGAGGTTTTGCCTGAGGAAGTGCGGGATCTGCACATTCTGACCACTGTTGAACACGCCATAGAGTCCTTCACGGCCGTTGCGGAAAGCTTGTGACTTTACCTGGGCAAACACAAGACATAGTTGCCACATACACAAGCTGACTTCAACAAAGTAGTGCAACCTGGCAGAACATCTAACACTATACTTGCAGCTTTACTTAGCTGCCATTAGGAGAACAAGTAAGTTACTGTCACGTCAAGATGAGTCTGGACACTAATTGCGTTCATGTTGTTGTTGTGTCTCTAACCAAGAGACTGTGGGTTCACACGTAGAGTTTACATCCAAGTTTATTCTACGGTTGCAAAGCGATGTCTCCAGCGAATATAATTGAGCTAACTGGTGTTGTTGCTATGCTGTTCCCACATAGAAATTTCTGATAATTCGAACCTCAAACTGGGCATGTCCGGTTAATTAGAAGTCCCACGGAATCCACTTACATAGAACATGTGTGGGATTTGTACTGATAATTCGAAGTCAGCAAAGCCTAATCCAAAGTTCACTGCACATTGTACCAGTCAGTTCAGTTTGCATGAGCAGGCAGTTCAGTATCCATGAAACGTGTGTCTAAGGTGCGTAGTGCAACTCTGCGTGAGAACTGGAGCATTTTGACATACATAGTGCGTTGTGGGTATTGGTTTGGATAATTAGAAACTAGAATGCCCGCGGATAATTAGAAGCTTTTCCCTGGCATTTCGGGGTTCGAATTATCAAGATTCCACCCGTAGTGAACCAATCAGAGAGGTACACGTAGGGTAGGATAGTCCATGCATTATTCCATGATCAACTGTAGTCCATGCATTATAGGCCTTGGCGGATAATGCTCGAAAAGGTGGCAGATTCTGCTTTTTTTGCACCGAAATTGGCAGAACCATACAAACCTTATGGCGGGCAATTCCTCGAATTCTGCTCCATTTCTTTATCCACATACCAAACATGCATGAAACTTACCAGAAAAAGTACCGAATTCTGCCAATTTTTCTGCCGGCATTATCCGCCAAGGCCTAATGCATTATTCTATGATCAACCGTAGCCATGCATTATTCCATGATCAACTGTAGTCCATGCATTATTCCATGATCAACTGTGGTCCATGCATTATTCCATGATCAACTGTAGTCCATGCATTATTCCATGATCAACTGTAGTCCATGCATTATTCCATGATCAACTGTAGTCCATGCATTATTCCATGATCAACTGTAGTCCATGCATTATTCCATGATCAACTGTAGTCCATGCATTATTCCATGATCAACTGTAGTCCATGCATTATTCCATGATCAACTGTAGTCCATGCATTATTCCATGATCAACTGTAGTCCATGCATTATTCCATGATCAACTGTAGTCCATGCATTATTCCATGATCAACTGTAGTCCATGCATTATTCCATGATCAACTGTAGTCCATGCATTATTCCATGATCAACTGTAGTCCATGCATTATTCCATGATCAACTACAGTACTGTCGGGTGCCGCAGAACGGCCAGCCTAAAATTTCACAAAGCACAGCATAGCAATGTATACATGGTGACTCAACTGCCCATAGACCGTCACAATACATGAAAATAAGAAACGGTCCAGGCTAGGAGGCTGACCCCCAGTATTGTACAGTGCATGCCAATCAGTATTTACCTGTCCAGCACAGTGCTTGCCACGATTGCCCGATGCTTCAGCTGATCCATGCGTCCACAAACCATGGGCTGGAATGCCTTGATAGTCTACGTGCCGACCTACTTCTGCAAGGTAATCTTCTGCGTTGGGAATCTCCTCAATCACAACACGTGGTAAACCCCTGATAGGAAATGGCAGAGGGATTCAGAGATTTGCAGTGGCGATATTAACAAGTGCATGTACTTGGAAGTAGTACGCTATAATCCAAGAAGAAGCTGGATGTTGAGTGTGTTCTAGATGGCAGACAAGTACATCAGTCTTCTTCACTTGCCTAGAAACAATTCCACTCGGAGGTCTCTTCACTTTATTGTTACGAACTACCAGCCGCATGCAGTGAACCTACACAAGGGGTAGTCATCTGTTGGGAACAAAACTGATGTTGAGGTAGAAGTGCCATGAAACGTGACCCAGTCCATGTTACCCAGTCCATGTGACCCAGTCCATATTAACTTTCATCATCAAGTTGTGCATATCATCTATTCTGAAAATGTAAAGTCGGACTTGACTCATTTGATTAGTGCTGGACTGCAAATGCACAGAAACTTTGCAGGTAGGAGGCGTAATTGCCCCGGCTTTGAGGAGGTAACCAGTCAGTTGAACAGCCTCGGACTCACTTCAAGGCTGTAGACTCACTTCAAGGCTGTAGGCACGCCAGTAGTCAAGTTCAGGTTACGGTTGGCGGACAGGTCCAGGCCATGTAGCGATGAGATGATACTTGTTACCTGAGCACATACACACCGCATCAGAGTTGTGTAGTTTTACTCCAACAATGGAACGAACATCAGAACAGCGGCCAGCTTTTCGGGCAATGAGAAAACAAAAAACTGAAGAATGCAACCATTTTGTGAGACGCCCGGTGACCCTCACAACACAGGCTATATGTAACAGTAGTAGGTTGTGAAATAAGCGGCAGTGAAGACTGCAAACTAACAGCAGTCACGGTTGCGCAGCACAGGCATCCCAGAGCATAGCCATGCTATCAAGTTATAACTGAAGGCTTGGCTAAGGCGTTCATGGTGATCTCTCAGTTTTCCAAGATACACCTTTTAATTTGCTCTATCAAGTGGACATGCATGACAAACTCTATCGCGGAGCAGCCAGTGGCTTGACGACAGTGCGCTATTCATTGAGGATCTGCTGCGGCAGGTGTTCATCTTTGAAGCATGCTTACGTGATCAATAGTTGTAAGGTCATTGCAGGACACATCCAAGCGCTGCAGCAAGCAGACAGAGTCACACATCATTGGTAAGGTGAAAGTGTGACAACACGTCATGAGTACGAGCATGTCACCTCACTGCTGGTAAACTGTGCATAATACATTTTGGGGCATGAACATTCGGGCCTTCTCCAACAGAAGAGAGAGGGGAGAGAAAGAGAAAGAGAAAGAGAGAGAAAGTGAGAGAGATTCGTACTTGAGCATGAAGAGTTTAAAAGAAATCCCGTTGTCATGGCCTGTGGTATCAGATCTAAAGTGCTACTCACCACCAGCTTGCGGACTTTCCGGAAGTCACCAAGTTCTGTGATCTGGTTAGAGTGCGCCATGATCCTCTCCAGTTTTGGCAACTTGGCCAGCGACTGTATTGGCAGCTGTGTCAGCAGGTTGCGGGATACTGTGAGCTCTTGAAGCTCCAGCAGCTCATGTATGCACCTGAAAGCAAGCCGCATGATGAGCACACAGGCAAGACCAACACATACCAACACAGAGACGATTGATGTTCTGATTGTGAATCATCGCAGCTTAATTGATGTGCCTATGGTGCTCTGCACACGCCTATTTTCGGATGGCAGGCGTGCTGTATTGGACTGACATGGCCTACTGTGGCCTGATGACTCGTGTCTATTTCTAGCCAGTCACTATCCCTAATGGTGTAGAAGTAGAAGCTTTAGTTTCGAATGAATTGTTCAGTAATTTCGTAGCACGGTTAGAGGAGCGAACAAAAGTTTCAATGATTCAGATAACTGTAACTGACAGTTGAACAGGGCTACTCACACTACCAGACTCTGTTATGAATTTATCAACGAAGTTCCCGTAACTAAGCGGTAAGTGGTATCATTCGGCCTTTCAATAATACAATGTTCCCCTATTCCTATGTTCCATGCACTCTTCAACCGACTGTCAAGGGTAGCAGCTAGTCAGCTGAAGAGTGCATGGAGGAGAGAGGAGTAGAAGACGAACATTGTAAGTTCCCAAAGAAAAGTCATAAACTAGATTTTCTCTGAAAGTAGATACTACTACATGTAGGCCCCACTAAGCCTCAAACCATTTGTTTGCTTTTCAAAATCTGTACTTCTAGAGTAATGAAACCCATCTAAGCCAATTGCCCAAGGGAAGCGTGAGCCATTGTCCCCGGGTTCAACAGTGAGTAGGGTGGCTCCTTTGTCCAGGGCGGTTTGGTTGGAAATGACACGTATTGGTCCTGGTACTAGTGCCTAGTCAGTCGTCTTACCCGAGTCACGGGTCGGCAGGTTTTCCAAGACACAGTTTGACATTGCATGATATTCCTAGGATAACACAACTGAAGATTTGCATTGCTGTCTAAAATATATATAGTGTTAAAAGACAGCGCCTGTCTGCGCTAGCACTGAGAGACACCATGGATCCAATCCACTCACTTGATTGGAAGCTGTCGGATTTGATTCATGGCTAAGTGGAGGATTTTCAACTTCTTGTAGCTGCAGCAGAAAAGCATATCAGTCCGGCACACCATCAGCGACGCCACATTCAAAGACATTATTAGTGACCTGACGCATACAAACATGACATGAGAGGTTCAAGGGTCACTCAGGTCGCACCATACCATGATATTTCGTTGTATGTGCTGGCATTTAGACATGAACCCGGCATGTTGTTCTCTTACCAGTCAGTGCTGCGACTATGCTTAGTCCATGCAAGTATTGGGGTTATACAAGTGGCAATCATCATTATTTATTTATTTATGCATTTATGCATTGTATCGAATGATTAACCACTGTGTACCTTGCCACTCCATATACTAGCGCAAACACACAATGCCTCAAATGAAGGCTGTAGTGTATAGTGCTTGTCACTGCATTGTCTCTCTCCGTACTGTCTCTCTCCTCTCTGTTATATGCGCATGCTCATTGTAAAATATAAATCAGTCCTTGTCTAGTCCCGAAATGGACTCCTGCGTGGCTTGCAGGCCGAACATAACATGAGAAAGACACCATTTTAAATCACTACAGGACATTGCACACCGGTCACTGGCGTGCAATCACTCCGTAGTCAGTACATGTATAATAATATTGTATATACATCCAGTTTACCCAGCGATTGTAGCGAAGCACTGCTCGTTCAAGCTATTGTTGGTCAGCGCAAGCTCTTCCATGTGGTAAATCTCATGTGCCGGTCCGATCGGAGGCAGTCCAGTCAGCAGATTGCTGCTCAGATTCAGCGCTATTAGCCTGTGGCATAGAACGAGAAGCAGAGAATGCAGGTATCACTAAGCACGGTGTGAAGTTGCCAGCCTGTAGTTACACTGTCAATGGCATAGTCTACAGTAAAACCTGTGACTAACGACCACCCCTTGGAGCCAGAGAAAGCGGTCTTTAGTGGCAGGTGGTCCTTAGTTAGAGGTTTGCACCGCACAACCATATAATTATGAATGTGAGACCGTCCGTGCCTGGCGAAGTGGTCTTTAGTACCAGGCCGGTCGCTAGTCACGGTGGTCTTTAGTTACAGGTTTTACTGTATATCACCAAGATAACACGTACATATAGCACGTTCACGTGTGATGTGATTGAAACTGGTAAAATCACGGACACCGTTTGTGGTTGCAATCATCCATGCACCGCATCTGTAAGCAGACCATGTCATACTACAGCTGGTGGAGCATCAGCACAAGACAAATCTAGGTGGACATTACGGGGCCCGAGATTCCACCCCGGCGCCATGTTTGGTGGGCTATCAACGGCTCTGAATGAAGCTGGATTTTCAGCCGGCAAGCTCTCACACCGTAAGACGTTACTTACATGTTTGCACGCATCAGGAATGCAATGGGCAGTTCTCGTATCCGGTTTCCGTGCAGATTCAAACGGGCCATCTGGCAGTTGTCGATGCGCTCCGGCAGACTCTGAAGACGATTGAAACTGGCGTCCACGCCTCTCAAGCACGGCATATTCCAGAAGATCCTAAAGATACAGTCATGTGGACCCAATGGCAGCAGTACACTACTCACAGGTACTCAAACATGCGACATAGAGATGAATGAACTACAGTAATGTCGGGTGCCAAAGAAATGGTGGCGGTGGTGGTGGTGGTGGGGGGGGGGGGGGGGGGGTCAGCCTCGTAACCTAGGCCGTTCTCACTTGTAGCATTTTCATCGGTACTACAGTTTGTGCACAGTTGAGCAGCGCATATGTCCGTATGTTGTGCTTGGTGAAATCTTAGCCTGTTTGCTCTTCGGTGCCTAGCAGTACTGTGCTGTAAGCTAAGCATACACACACTGTTTCTGTGACATGATTCGACATCGACTTGGCATACTCGAGCTGATGACACAAGGTTGCAGTGGGGTACTAGTATCCTGTGCTCCACTGCACTCATACGAGAAAGGAGATTGCTCGCTACTCCCGCCAGTATAGACTCATGATTGGCATACCTTCCTCACCGGCAGAGAGTATATTACTCCTGTAAGGAATTGCCTCTCTCCAACTATAGTTTTACAAGTAGCAGGATACAAGTGCTGCCTACCTTGCTGGCAGCTTAGTCAGGTGATTGTGGCTGACATCTAGGATCTGAAGCTTGCTGAGGTCACACAGATCCTCTGGAATCTCCTTCAGTTGATTACTGAGCAGTGGGCAGCAATGAAAGAACATGGGTGAATGAGACCAACACAAAACTGTTCTTGGAAAAACTGGCAATATCAAATTGTCGGAACTATACTACACATGATACTGAGAGATGCCTGGTAGCTAACTGCAGCCATCTGCGTTTGGAAAGACAATGTATGATGGTCAGAGGTGTAAGTTAGAGCTTGCCATGCTCTAGCTCTACTGGCAGTGGCTGCTGAATGTGTCCGAAACTCTGAAGCTCTGATCTCACCGAGATAGAAGTAGTCGGGTTAGATTGGTGGGCTTTGGTGACATTCTCAACTCCTCGATTCCTGTGCCGGACCAACAAGAGGAGCACAGCAATTCAATCGTAAAAGCGGCCCCGGTCCGACAACCGCCCCAGAACCAGCGGACCCCACAGAAATCCATCAATAGGTACGTACACACTTTCGATCCGAGTGACTCTATACGTACGTACTCTCGAGCACTTTACTTACTCTCGGGAGTGAGTATTCTCCAGGTACGTCCTGGTGGTTGTCAAAGAATCCACACAAGATAGTGCTTTTAAGCACTATTTTTATAAAGCATGTCATGACGTGCATGCAAACGACTAAATAATACCTATGGTACTGCTAGGGTGTGTACATGGTAAAATGGTTAGTAGCCGCACCAACAGCTTGTAGCAACCCCATGAACTACTGACTTGGAAGTAGATGTTACGCTCCATTGGGCAATTCTGTCGTAACCGATTTCAGCACATTCGGTACTACTTTGCAGTAGTTTCGTACGTTAATGGTACTTAACTGTATGCACGTGATCTCTGTTGGAATTGGGGCTGACCAGAGGCTGGCCCACCACCAATTTGCCTTTTGTGAACCAACCCTAACAGGACCTTCCCCCAACAGCTAGGAGCGTAAGGTCCAGGCTTAGGAAGGGGATGCATTTTCGGGCACACACTTGCACGAATCTACATTTTTACGGTACAGAAAGAGTGGGGGGGGGGGGGCACTACCACCACACATGACATGCCATTATTAAACTTACTATTGCAGTTGGCCAGCACGGACACGAGTGTTGGATAGAACATTGGCAACGTGCTCAGCTTGTTGTGACAGCAGTTCATGCTGGCAATGACACCAGCCTTGGGCAGGTACAGACTGCGAATGCCCGTGTTGTCCAGGTCGACGTAAGTCAACTTGGTGGTGAGCATGGCGTCTTGCATCGCCTCCATCACCGGGACTAAGCGTGCATCCAGCGCCTCAAGATTACCTATCTTGCCCAGGTCCGTCCAAATGCTGGTTCTGCAATTAGAGGAAGGAGTATCATCATTGTTATACTTCGAAGTAACTGGAGTCAGGCAATGCCAAAATAAAGGCATACTATAAATCAGTTTTCCCTGACCATCAGACTACCCACTATTCCGGCAGTGATCACTCTTAGTAAAGGGGAAGTGCATCGATTTTGTTCAAGTATGGTTCAGATGAAAGACAATTTAATATCGGTTCGAATGGCATATTACGCACATTCTGCTTAGCTCCGTGAGAGAGAAGGTCGATCACTGCAGAATTTGATCATTTTGCAATTGGTTTATAACATTCACGAAGTGAAAGACGTGCTGTGCTGTGTTCAAGACATCAGAAGACAAGCGGAAATAGTGACGAACAAAGTGCTGAAATCTTGGTTGGGATAAATCAGATGTTCAGCATTTAACCCAACCAAGGACCATGCCGTTTGCTCTTTCCAGTTCCTGAAGATGGATATGATGCTTCCTGGCAACTCTCCTATCTCTCGCAACATCTTCTGAAGACAGGTGAGACGACGGGTGGTGGAGATTGACGAGCGAAATAGTGTCGCACCATTTGAAAGTTTGCTGAAAATATCTCAGGAGAGATGGCGAATACCAAGCATCTTCTCCTAGAGGAACCATTTCGTAGGCTACAGTCGGCCTAGGGAAATGCAGGAGAAGGCCGATACACAGTTCACGGCACTAACAGCATCGAACACAGCACTTCTTTCACATCGTGAATACAATAAGACAATTGAAAATGACCAAATTCTACAGTGATCAACCTTCTCTCTCACGGAGCTAAGCAGAACGTGTGTCATCACTGCGCTGATTGCTATGGCAACGTGAGCATACAATTGGCGATTTGGCAAGTTTGGCTTATCGTATGCAAGCGAGAGACATGCCATTCCAACCGATATCAAATTGTCTTTCTTCTGGACCCTACTTGAAAAATCGATGCAAATCCCCTTTAATTTTTAGGGAAGAACAATTTCCACTTGCCACATCTGCGGGTAAGATTGTAGGGATAGAGTTCTGTCATGATGCTACTCATTACACTACAAAGATGGTTATCAACTTACCATCAAAGCTGGATACATACCCTGTACAGGACTCCGTTGTTTAAAAGCTAAGTTGCTATGAACAGGGCTGACTTGCAAAAGTGCTCAATGCCGCGGGGGCAGAGCCTAATCGGACACAAGTCTAAAAAGATTGGCTGAATAGCCATGAAACCCTGAGTGACAACAAAAGACAGCCCTGTTCCATTGCAAACTTGTGTACTCTAGTTTGGATGCGTTTCGTTGTACTCCTGTGTTAATACTCATCCCAAGCAAGACATCAAAATATAGCTGTTAAATGTACCTAAGAAATGAGTAATTCACACAATATAAGGACAAAGCTCACCCGAAAGAGTTCCCAGCAATGACAAACTTGCGGAGACGTGTCAACTGATGCACCACGTCCGGAATGACCTTGAATCGATTGAAGCCGATGCTGAGAGTCGTTAGCTGTTGCAACTGAACAAGATCTCTTGGCAAGTCAGATAGCTTGTTAGAGAATAGATGCAGCACCTGCAGACTGGAGAGAGAGAGAGAGAGAGAGAGAGAGAGAGTGTGTGTGTGCGTGTGTGTGTGTGAGAGAGAGAGAGTGTGTGTGTGTATGTGTGTGTGTGTGAGAGAGAGAGAAAGAGAGTGGGTGGGTGTGAGAGACAAAGAGAGTGGGTGCATGAGAGAGAGAGAGAGAGAGAGAGAGAGAGAGAGAGAAAGAGAGAGAGAGAGAGATCAAGGATACGTTACCCCTTGGAAAAGCAGAAAAGAACTCTTAAAAAATGAACATTGTATATGATCGGACATGTACATGCTACATGTAGTGCCTGCGTATGCACCAAGTCAATAACATGCACCAAGTCAATAACATGCACCAAGTCAATAACATGCACCAAGTCAATAACATGCACCAAGTCAATAACATGCACCAAGTCAATAACATGCACCAAGTCAATAACATGCACCAAGTCAATAACATGCACCAAGTCAATAACATGCACCAAGTCAATAACATGCACCAAGCCAATAACATGCACCAAGTCAATAACATGCACCAAGTCAATAACATGCACCAAGTCAATAACATGCACCAAGTCAATAACATGTACCAAGTCAATAACATGCACAAGTGCACATGCAAAAGCAATCTGGCACTTGTTGGTACAAGACACTACAAGCAGTTATCACATCACCATTCAGTCTTGCTAGAGAGCTGCACAGCACAAGCTCCCTCTAAATGCCTCTCGTACTAACCCTCTGAGAGCACCGATGCCTGGAGGTATCTCCTTTAGGTCATTGACTGCAAGGTTCAATTCCCGTAGTGTTATTATAACGTAGAGCACAGTGGGGACGGTCTCCAGGCAGTTGTCAGCTAGAGTGAGAGAGCGGAGGTGACGGAAACGCAGCAGATCGTCCAGCCAACCAGACTTCGGCAAGGCAGACTCGATCTACACGCAGATTTGCACACACGTACACGAAACAGAGAAAGCATTGATTCTCTGTCAGTGCGCACAAGGTATGCCATTGAAGAAGTTAGGGGTCGTCGCAAAAGTTTGTTGTCGGCCCTGAAACGAACATCGTTAGTTTCGTACTCGGACCCCTCCCCTCCCTCTGAAACGAATACAGCTTGCTATGCTGGACGATGAAAGTCACATGCACGTACGAGTACATGCACACAATGAACAGTGTCGGTCAACTCCCCCCCCCCCCCCCCCCAAACGAATAACGTTCGTTTCAGGGACGACAAGAAACTTTCACGATGACCCCATCTTTACTAGGAGTAATATCAAATTCTACAGTTGCATTCTAGAGTTCAGTGTTTACACTGCTCAAAGAACACTTTGGATTTGTACCAACCGAGCTGTGCAGAAACGGATGCTTGAGATCCTTCATGGCACGCAATGATCGTATGGTAGCTGGTTGATGGTGCATGTTCTGTGGCTTGATGGGGCGGCTGCGAATGTAGTTGCGTGTCAGGTTGAGAATATGCACGTTGTCGTCGTACAGTAGTACGTCCGGTAGTGCTTCTAGACTGCAGCCTGAAAGGTCCACTTCATGTTCACGCTGCTGGGATAGCTGCAATAAGTCACAGACAGTACAGGCATGCACATGCACATACACAGCCATTCAGTATCACATTGGGGCGAGCAAATAGCCAACTTCAAACTGTGCCATTGATTGCAGACGAACGCACAAACAGCAGGCCTCCCTTACACAATGATTTTTGGAGTTGGAGTTGCCATGCTCTTGTGATCACATATTTCCTATATTATTCATAATGGCTCACACTCGAAAGTCAAAACAAACAGACGGCAAATAAGACTGGGAACCCTGCAAAAACAGCCCCTGCTGCAGTTAGCCTCCCTTTCATGTATACAATCACATGGTGTACATGTTCTTGGCTTGAATGGTCAACCTGGCCAGCACACAGGGAGGTATTACTAGTTAACTTATAACACGTATACTGAAGTATAGTGTCATCCAGCATGCCAGTATGCTGCATGCCGTATACACACTGGCATGTTGGTCCACTACATGCACACTAGTATTGCTGTCAAGGCTCTCGGCTCTCGGCAGCAGCACTGCAGCTTACTCGTGGTAAGAGCCGCATCCACTGGTCATGTTCCGACCAGGAGTCGAACGAGATGAGATAGGAGCGCTCCGGTGTGTCAGCAGTCACTTGCACAGTCAGGCTGAGGCAATGCTCGTGGGTCTTGTCCCGGTGCTGGACTGCACGGGCGTTCGTCAGCACCTCGATCTGCCGGCACCATGGGGTGTACACAGAGAGAATATCTGATCAGAAACAGACCACCTAACTCCGTACTCGGATGACCCATTGAGGGAGTACCGTATACTAGTACCTGTACGTCAAGTGCTTCTGGCTCAGCCATGCCAAGCCGTAAGCTAAACTGCTTTCTAAGCTACATAGTACATGGCTGGATGAAATTACTTGAAGTGAAGTGAAAATGGCGAGTTCAATGGACACAGAGGTGCCCCGATGAAATTCACTTCGAAGTGCATGCACATTAACACCAGTGATTGTCGACCACTCCACTGTATCTAGAGAAACACAGTCAAAATTGAGAGAGGGAGAGAGAGAAAGAGAGAGAGAGAGAGAGAGAGAGAGAGAGAGAGAGAGAGAGAGAGAGAGAGAGAGAGAGAGAGAGAGAGAGAGAGAGAGAGAGAGAGGGAGGGAGGGACGGAGGGAGGGAGTTGATCTACTTGTATCTTGGCAGGTCTCAGTGTTATGATAAACTGAGCGAACTCTTCGACCTAACCTCACCTATCTCCTCTTAGAACATAGTTTTACTGTATTGCACATTCCCAAGAGACCTCCATGTACATGCAGGTCTCTTCAGCTTTTAAAAGCACATACATCTAGCATCTAGTGTTTTCAATCTTGACACCGCCCCAAAGAACCGTCAAGGCCCCAATGGATACCCTCGCATTGGAGTTTGCCATACGGCGCTGTGAATCTCATTCTTACTTTGCTGGGCTTGCCTTTGCCAGTCTCGTTGGAGTAGAGGAACAGGCGGTTGCCGCAGATGCAGCAGTAGCGCCGACGCCACATGCTGTGCCATGCCTTCTGCTTGATACGCACCAGAGATGGCAGGTAGACCTGGTCCTCTCGCACGTAATTCACCGGCTTGCCTGGCGAGGCCCGTGCGAGTGCGACGACGCAGCGACGCAGGGGAGGAAGCAAAGCGGGCATTAGTATACAGATCAAGCCGCACAAGAATGCAGTGAGGCAGCTATACGAGTAAGTGTCACACATAAGGGCTTCAATGCAATCAAATGTCCCGTGCTACAAGCAGTATAGACTGGAGTTCCTCAATGCATTATGTAGTCACATCCAAATCAAAGCAGGTCACTTGAAGTAAAGCTTGCTACTGCTAGGCTTATACTGTAGGCATGCTACCATGGTTACATGCAACGAGGACATCCACAGCCATGCATTACACACAGGACAAGTCTGAGGTACAGTGATAGCAAATGACATTCAACATTATGATTTAGAGCCGCGGTTGTTGCACAGCCTGGCGTTTGAAGTGCTACGGCCGAGCATCCCCGGAGTTGTATATTCACGAGGCTGGGTTTCATCAATGCCACCACTGTACATGTACTTATCTATGACATGTCCACAATACAAAACGTGATCGGGTCCACAATACATTAGGGGTCGTCCATAATTATCGAACTTTTTTTCATGAAAGGAAATCATTTCGTTATGGGGTAGGAGGGGGTTGACCAATTTCGTTTCAGAAAAGTTCGATACATGCACATGGCCATAGGAGCAGTGACACACCTGCAACTTTTGTTGTATACATGTACGCATGTATATGTCAACATTTTTTTTACGTTCTGAGGGTTAAGTGCATACACTCACCATCATAGAAGGATATGCAGTGATCAGTCTCTGCGCTCAGGCCACGTCGCTGTAGGCGCACACCTTCGTACCCCATCTCGGTCAGCTTGCGCACCTGGATGTGCAGCGGCCTTTCGTTACCGCCGAGTCGACGCACCATGCCGCTGCTGTTGAACACGAACAGCCACTTGGAGCCGATGCGCTCGGCTAGCTCGCCGGCCGTGGTCTCCAGTGTGCAACGCTCAGCACCCGTGTACGACCCGTCGCTAGTGTGAACACGTACAAACCCTCGGTCAGGTGACTGCGCCAGCCAGTCCTCATTGGACAGGGCGGCGGCGGTACCCGGCTGCTCAAACAAGCGCATGTCGCCAGCATCCAACAGGTCATCCGTACTGGGGTAACTCGCCGATGACGATATTGGAGTAGTGGTACCGGAATCCGGCGGTGTGATTGCACTCGCCGCGTCGCCATTCAGCTCCGCGATCACACTATGACGCTGTTCGCGAGGTACGACCCGAGAATACACTGCCTGTCCAGCGGACATACCGTGGCTGGAAGCACTGGGCAACGCTGCGGCCGTGTTGGCATACGCTGTACCGAAGTATGGAGCGTCGAATGCCCTGTTCACTGCGCCGGGAGGTTGTTTCTGGCTGCCGCTGACTGACTTGCGTTTCGTGGAAGCAATGCGCTTGGGGATGTGCAACGGACCAACAGCACCACTGCCACCAGCACCTCGTTTCAATGACCCAGTCTTTTCCTGTCGCAAACTCACCACCGGCATTCTCCGTGCGTCCCGCCCTGCCAAAGCACCGCTGGACGACGAGAGAGACGAGCGACGCGTTGGGATAAATGGACCGGCGGCTCCAGTAGCACCCTGCTGCGCCGCGGAGCCTGCACCATTACTGGTCGCACTGCCAATGGACAATTGGCTTCCCGGATTGAATACCGAGAACGTCGAGCGCCTACCAATCGAACCACCACCGCCACCCCCAGCTCCGTCCATATTGCTACGTGCCTGGCCTCGCAACAGGCGATTCAATCATGATCGGCAAACACGGTTCCCACGGGAAGATACCGGTCTACGCCGGAAAGCCAAGGAGAACAAAACTCGACAACATTAATTTTGTGTTTTTGGACTCACCTCGAAGCTGGTAGGGAAGTAAAGATGTACTTGTGGCGGTTGTGCCTCGACAGTTACATATCGGTAGTCTGACTCCTACATGATTACTGACACTACTCATCTCAGTAGACCTCTACTGACTCTTGGCTTCCTTGGCCAGGCCCAGGCCAGGGCCTAACGATCCGGAGAACAGGCCTGTGGCCTGTGGGGGGAGTGTGGTGAGTCTGTGAGCGGTGACAGTCTAGTTTTCACAGGTCTGTAGCGATGACGTCCCCACTATCTATCGTCATTGTGGAGGGGTCACTGTGGATATGTGTAGACTATTGTATGGAGTATGGTAGATCTATACTCGTGATAGAGAAAAGAGAATGCGGGGAGTGCTAAAAGTAAAACGGCTTTAGTACAGACTTACTACAGTAGGTCTACGAGTCCTCCAGTAGTCACAGTAATTTTTACAATCATGGTGTGGAGCAGCTGTCAGAGTAGAGCTGGTCACAGACTCTGATGGCGCTGGTCTTGTGTTGTGGGAGACATGGGCATGTGGCATCTACAACTACTTGTAGTACTTCTTTACAAGCTGTTGGCATTCGGTTAAAAAAAAGAAGTTAGGTAATCACATACATTGTTTTGTACAATGTAGATCTACAGGACCACAATAATAATAATGACACCGGTTGACAATCTATACATTGTATAGGCATGTAGATTGTCAATCGGTGACAAACATTGGTGCAAGTGACTTAGTAGGAGGAGCTGTACCCCCCCCCCCCCCCCTAATCAAAAGAAAGATACTTCAGTCTTCAGAAGAAACTGAAATGTGTAACCAGTACATGCTGGTGGTGTTACGACTAAGGTACTGCTGCTGTGGTGGTGGGCCGTAGAAAAAGATCTAGCCTACTACTACATGTACTTGTACTTGTTGTAGTACTCATGCACAGACCTTGCAAGTAACACTTCTGGCCCCGGGGAGAATGGCGGAAGAAAAACTCAAAAATTGCGCCACAACTTGCGACAGGTTTTGGTAAAATTGCAAGTGGTTTGGCCGATCTGCCGGTTTACCCGCCCGAAAACTGCATATTTTCACAATGAAGAAGGTTGAGAGAGTGAAAAGGAAATTTACATCATGAAATGCATGCGCTTCAGTCCTCAAGTAATGTGCCTACACGTACTACTCATCATAAGCAGTGATGCATTGTATTATACAGACTCGTGAGTGACAAGACCTCGATCATATGAGGCAAGCATAGTCTTCGATGTTTTCATGCAACAAAACTCCAAAACATTCACGGTAAGGAAATCGCGGATTTATAAGAAATCGTCAAAATCACGGAAAATCTGGATCCGCGGAATCACGATTTCCACCGGGGACAGACAGTTGTATCAGTACCAGCAAGAACCTGGTTATCTCCCTTGATAGCAGGCATAGTCGGTCTGGTCTACTAAAGTTGTCGCCAAAAAAATTAATACCGGTAGGTCCGGTACAGTTTAGTGGTATGGTATGCGGTGCTACATGTACTGATATTAGTACATGGTAGCATACTTTCATGTCATGTGCTAACTGCAATGATCATGCTATTGACTCGCAACAGTGAGTAGCTGAGTGGGTTTCTGTCAGGGAGTGCTATTTTTACTACTCCACTGGTTGCTAAAAACAGGCTGGGAGCGCACAACAGAGACATACAGTACTCTGCCGGGCGCCGAAGAACTGGGGTGGGGGGTCAGGGTTCTAGCATAGCCCGTTCTTATTTTTAGCGAACACAGCAGTTTCGTTCTTATTCGATAGTACAGTCTTACGTGTATATTTATACAGAGTCATACGTCTGAGTGTACATTATAGTGTATATTACGGTTTCCGTTCTTATCTGTAAAACCTCTAGCCTACACCGTTCTTAAAATTTGGTGAAATTCTAGCCTGGCCGTTTCTTCGGCGGTCCGTTCTTCGCCGCCCAACAGTACTGTACTGAAGAAACACCATGCACGTGATGTGAGTTTTCGCCGTCGGCTGACCCCAGTGAAAGTAGTCTCCGGAACTGCACACTCTTCGGAGCACTTGATACTTTTCCTGTTCATAGTATGTGTGCAACACGCATTCCATCAATAAAATATTCGGTGATGAACCCAATAGATCTGTCAAAAGTCAATATTAAACTTCAGTAAAAATAAAGTAAAACAAACCCAAAGATGACTTGCGTGTGCCGTCCTCATCACTAGAAGGCCAATAGTAGAAGCTAGGAAATTAAGAAAGCAAGCACACACACATGCTCTCTTTCTCTCTCTCTCTCTTTCACGCACACACACACACACACACATGCACACACGCACGCACATCCGGCACAGGTGGCAGCCGGAATGGAAAGATAAGCCATACGAGAGCACAATACTACGTGTAGTTGGGCTCGAATGGGAACTCCTCGCGGCTGCCGGTCGGCTCTAGGATGTGTGTGTAGACCTGCTTGAGATGAGCATTACCATCACCAGCAGTCTGCAGTGAGGTGAGGCGATCTCTCAGCACGTCCAGCAACTCCTTCACCGAATCTGAAAACAAGAGAGATATTGATACAAACATCTACTAACATGAGAAGGCAAAACAAGCAAGCCACTTGGCTGTAAATGTACACTCAAAAGCTGCTTCCAGCATAACAAGTCAATCTGTTCATATCGTTTCAGCCAACCTTGGCCATCTTCAGGAAAATGGATGTCAGCAGCAGCAGCAGCAGCAATTCCCAAGAATACAATCATGCAGGACAGACAAACTGAAACCGGGAAAATATATTGTAGAAACAGCAGCCATTCCGGAATCTCCTGTACCTTACATACCAGTAAGGGCAATTGCAACAACAGAGAGGTTCCGCACTACGTAAAGTTGAGCAACTTTACGTAAGGCCATCATTTTTTATAGCTATGTTTCGCGTCGTCCGCACGCATACGTTTTGATTTTTTTCGGAAAAAAATAAAAAATCGAACATGCACAGTGAGTGTACGATCGTGCGAGTCATCGGTGTGGACAGGTTGCATACGGCGAAGCTGGGATTCAGAAATGGCCCCTAGCCTAGGCCAGCGTTGGTAAATCGTTTGTTCGGCATCCGGGAGCAATATTCTATGAGCTTACACCAGACCGCATTGATCGCCTAAGCTGAGAGGATGCGTCGTTCCGGAGCTCTTTGCACCGCTGCTGAAGTCTGAGTACAATATTCCAGCGAAGCATAGGCACCATGACCAACGGTTGCCTCCTCTGCCCAAAGTGAATATTTACTCATGCTGATAACCCAGATGTTGTGCTTCGATGTACGATTTTTCTTTCGAATGTACACCATGCACGAGCTATTGTACTATGTACAGTGCATACACCTCTGATGAGCCTTTTTTATTATTTTGCAACTTTTTATTTTTTTCCACCTCTCGCATATGAATCTGGAAGTTGAACTGACGCGAAACATAGATATAAAAAATGATGGCCTAAGTGGGTGAGAAAAACTGTGAATTCGCGAGTTTGCATTCCACTTACGGAAAGTTGTCTAGGTAGAGTGCGTAAAGGGAGCTCTACTAACGGACGTGCTCCGTAGGTGGATTGGGGTATACAGGTATGACTCTCTTCCTAGCTCGTACACGGTCACGTTTGGAGTTGCCAAGGGCAGCTCCGTGATTCGAAAACTATGTACTGTAAACCGCCCAATATTCGCGTCACTAAATTTTCGCGATTTCTTAGAACCAGCGAATTTGCGATGGCAAAAGTTCGCGAAGCACTGGGACCACTTACATACACCCACTGTTGAAGTTAGATTTCGCGATGGTTAAAGGGGAAGTTAAGGCAAAAATTAAAATTTCACCAGTTGTAGTCTTCGGGGTGCTGAGTCGAATGGTCGTGGTCCGAGGAAGCTGAGACGCTCCCTTCCTACTTGAATCCCAATCGAACTCGCGCACTTCCACCGAAACTGGGTGACTGCGCCCTACTAGATGGGGATTTGTATGCAAAATGTCACTAAAAGCGTCATTTCGTTCTTATAAAAGCACGGATGACCGCGATTGGCCCATATGTTGTAGTCTTTTGGACGCTGAGTCGACTGGTTTTGGTCCGAAAAGGCTGCGATGCGGCGTTCCTCCTTTATTCCCAATCGAACATGGTTGAAGAAGCGGTCACGTGCTCCTGCGTACACCAGTCACCTGGTCACCGTGCCTGCAGGATACAACTTACTAGCCTGTTTGACCTTTTTTGGGTGCAGTCCTGTCACTCGAGTTGAACTCGAGTTGAACCTTGGTGTGAAAGTTGTCACCTGCTGGCGTGGTGACCAGGTGATTTGGGCACCCAGGACCACGTGACCGCTTCTTCAACCATGTTCGATTGGGAGTAAAGGAGTAACGCTGCATCGCAGCCTTTTCGGACCAAAACCAATAGACTCAGCGTCCAAAAGACTACAACATATGGGCCAATCGCGGTCATCCGTGCTTTTATAAGAACGAAATGGCGCTTTTAGTGACATTTTGCATACAAATCCCCATCTAGTAGGGCGCAGTCACCCAGTTTCGGTGGAAGTGCGCGAGTTCGATTGGGATTCAAGTAGGAAGGGAGCGTCTCAGCTTCCTCGGACCAAGACCATTCGACTCAGCACCCCGAAGACTACAACTGGTGAAATTTCAATTTTTGCCTTAACTTCCCCTTTAATATTCGCTTTACGCTCTTCTCGCGAAAATAGCAAACATTAATCCGTCGCGAATATTAGGCAGTTTACAGTAACGTATGGCGGAACACAGATCCGCATGCAGTGTACGTAAGACTTTCCGTAGATCGATTCGGATTACTTCAAAAGAAGTGCGTTTTTTACTAACGTAATTACGCTGTGCGGAACCTCTCTGCTGTGACAAAATAACCATACAGCAAGCCTTCAGGCACATGCTCAGCGTAGTGGAAATGGCAGGGAGGGAGCACATATACCCCTGTGTGTGTGTGGGGGGGGGGGGGGGCGGCATACCCTGAATTCAATACTAGTACAGCTCCACAGCTACTTCGAATACATGTACATGACGTATAACTTACATGGTGATGATTTATCTGTGACATCTGCATCTGCACCATCGTCCTGCAGGAATGGAACATGCCAGCATGCCAACAGCATTAGACCAAAAGCAAGCATCACTGTAAAACAACAGCCAGGTAGTTTATAAAGACTTCTACAGAAGTTTTCTCCAACACTCGGAGGCTCCACGGCAGCCAGTCAATCATCTCTGCAACACCCTCACAACCAAGGTCTTCCTTCCACTGCAACTGCAATTAAATTAGTCTCCAAATTGTCGCCCTTGGGGCTTCATCAGGGAGTACTACTCCCTGATGAAGCCCTAAGGGCAAAAATTTGGAGACTAATTTAATTCTACAGAAGCAGTTTATATACTCCAAATACACAGAACAACAAGGGCAAACCTTCCAAATATGGTCGCAAGGCACAACACCTCCAAATAAAGACACCGTACACCTAAAGACCGCTTTTTCGGCCCCAAGGGGTGGTTGTTAGTTACAGGTTTTACTGTACTACGGATCCGCGCACCGAGCGGGTCAAAAGCCAACGCTCCGTAAACGCGTTTCTGTGGGACGCCCCGCTCCATGGACAGGCATCAGATGGCACGTGTGCGCAGTGGAAGCAAACTTTTGAGCTCCGATAGTGATATTTTTTCTGCAGAAACTGGCTGAAGTACAATGCAGAATTATTCGAAGATGTATAGAATCTGTTCCATTCAGCTGAATGAAGGGTGGTCCTCGAAGAATCATGCCTTTTCCATCAGACTTCTTCCGTCAGGTGGTGTAAGATCTGATGATATCAAGCAAGTGGATCTGAGTGGAAGGCGCAGATTCTGTAGAGCTTCGTTTCCTGCGCTGCCGTTAGGGACGAGGTGCTGTTGAGAGGGATAGCATTTGAAGGAAAACAGTTAGTAATAGTAGTTGGTGATGAAGCAGTCACGTCCGTGCTTGTATTTGGTGTGGAGGAAGTAGTAGGCAACGAGCGGTCAAGGACCTGAACGCTAGGAAGATCTTTCGACAAGATGCAAGGATGACCAAGTTTACGACCAAAGCTGTCCAGTTGTTAGTGATCTCGACACGGGTCACATGTATTGTAGTACGTGTCGGCACCATCGATATTGATGAACAAGGCCGTCATACTAAGATGCCTGAAGTGGTCTGTGACACCATCGAAAGCAGGAAATGGAAGGCACCTGAAAGCACCGCTCATGATGATCTGTCTGAAGCACTCGTGACGATCCAGGCATCTGAGACATCGCCTGTAATTTAAGTGTGGAGAAAGCGCTCGTGGGCCGTACCTTCTGTACATGTCTTTGATGACTAAACTCTCTCTCTCTCTCTCTCTCTCTCTCTCTCTCTCTCTCTCTCTCTCTCTCTCTCTCTCTCTCTCCTTCTCTCTCTCTCCCTCTCTCTCTCTCTCTCTCTCTCTCTCTCTCTCTCTCTCTCTCTCTCTCTCTCTCTCTCTCTCTCTCTCTCTCTCTCTCTCTCTCTCTCTCTCTCTCTCTCTCTCTCTCTCTCTCTCTCTCTCTCTCTCTCTCTCTCTCTCTCTCTCTCTCTCAATACTTCATAGATCTTCGACGATTTCTAAGCGTGAATTCTCTCTCTCTCTGGCGGACGACACCCCACTGTCGGCCATTACGTCCGCGATGGAGATTTGATCCATCATTGGTGTTCCAAAGCGGGAAACAAAGGCTGTGGAAGGCTACACTTTCACAACTGGTACTATATTTGTGAACTTAGTACCCACAGCTACCGCACCCTCCACCATCACGTAACGTTGTCTGACTCCTGTCAGAAACTGCGCGTTTGGCACAGGGGGCAAGTTCCAACGTGTTACAAACGTGGCTCCAGTGCCCATATCGCCAAACTCTGCACCCCCAGCCAAGTGAGGAGGCCCAGTCCATACGCTGATGCAGCAGCCAGCGCGCTGAAGAGTACTCTGGGCCAGGGGTCACTGGATGACACTGTGGGTCCAAATTCAGAACCGATAGTGAGTACAAGGCAGTCAGCAAGTGGTACAGCTTCCGCACCTGAAGCTGTGACACCTCCAGTTTCTTCACCTAGTAAAGGAGGCTTTGTGGTGGCCGAGGGACGGAAAACCTTCAAAGTGCCAAGAAAGATGGTTGAAATTTCAGGAAATGGGTCACTAACCGACTCAGACATGGAACCGGAGGACAGGGATGTCAACGAGAGCAACGGCCGGTATATGACTGTTGACGATCTCACCATATCCTATCAGACCAACCCCTCTATCTGCACTACCAACTTCTTCAGCAGGTCCAACTCCATCCCTCCGGATCCTTGTAACACATGCGTTTAGTATCACCAACAAGATTGGTAACCTGCAGCATACAGTGTCCCAGAACGAGGTCGACATCGCTACTGTCACAGAAACAAAGTTAGGGAATGGCACTCTGGACTCGGATATTTCACTGCCTGGATACAGTTGCTCGTAGCCTGACACTTACGAGGGCAAGGGCTATATATGGACGGCCACCTTTAGCCCCAGCTAGTGACCTCCTGGAGGCCATGTCGGTGTACTGAATCTCCGAACTCCCACAGCCAGAAGCTCCTGGTGCTCGTGTGGAGGTGCATTCACGGACACGCCAGCCCGGCTCTGCAGGCATTGTTTGTGCGGTGTAGAGGAAGGGCAACTTGGCTACATCACAGCCTTGGTCTCCGGCAACCAACCTCAAGCAGCCACGCAGGTCAACGACGGCCCTCGCCGCGCTGCTGTGCTTTTTGGAGCACACTGCCTGACAGCGTTCAGGAAATTGGCATGGTATCTGCTTTCCGCCAGACTGCAGTTCCCTACACCCTGTGAAGGAGCTACCGTACATGTACCTATCACAGCTCCGCCACACGTCACACTAGCACCTTTTTAATTTCTCTCTTCTTCCTTTTTGTCGAAAGTCAACTACTGTAAGTCAACAAATATTTGGTGCGTTTTTATTTTCCGCTATTTTCAGCCTGGTCATATTCGGCCGAAAATTTGTTGCGGCCGAAATTTTCTTTCGCAAGGTTAACCCTTTGGCTCCCCACTATACAAATTTCGACGGTATTCCGTCGATGACTTCAAACAGCCATAACTCATTCAAATATTGCACTGTCGTGAAAATCGAAGTATGTAGGGTGTAGCTGAAGTCCTCAGCTTTCCGTTGGTGCAATCGTTTTCTCCAACTGTTGTTGAGATATCGCGCTCGAAAGTTGGAGGCCGGCACTTTTCTCGCTCCTAGCACATTTTCGAGCATGAACCGGGGAAATCCCCTTGTTCTCAAGTACCTGTGATGATTTTTTTGCGTAAATCATGGTGCAGGCTACCTGCTACGGCAATACAAAAAAATCAGAGCTGGGCGAGCAAGGAAATTGAAATGGCTGAAGAAGAAAGGGATTGAGGGCATTCTCAGCGATGTGGTACCTTCGCTGGGCTGTAGAGCTGGGCCTGCTACTCTGATTTCACTCGGTGATGGCTCATTGTGTTCCCGCTGAGAAGAGCTTTCCGGAGAGCCCAAGATTGTGGAAATCAGGCTACTAGAACGTAAGTTATGACCGAAAGTTGACACAATTTGAGCAGAAATGATGGCTATTACTAAATAGTGGAGTTATGGGGGAGCCAAAGGGTTAAGTGTACCCGTGTATACAGGCAGCAGCAGTACAGGCTGACAATTGGACAATTTGTAGACTTACAGTAGGGTATAATGTGTCATGCGATATTGTTGTTTCGGATTCAACTGTCTCCCAATGAAATTGTTGCTCTTTCTCTCTGACTCATCCTTTTTGTTTATCCCCCTCTCACCACTCTTCTTTTTTCACTTCCCTCCAATATTCGCTATCTTGTTATTGAGCATCTCTGCTCGTTTGTCCTGCGAAATCAAACAAAACAAACAAACAAACAGATGCAGCTCCTAAACTACGGGGGGGGGGGGGGATCAGATCCACCGACCAGAGGCCAAAATTAGGGCTGAAACGGTTACATCCCAATACATGCATCAACACCGCTCTATGTACTAGAACAGTATTACTGTATGAGCTGTAACGCAAGACTGGGAACTGCCTCAACACACGTACCGCATCATGTTCTTTCGCAGCAGTCTGGTGCCTGCTTTCCGTCTTGTCCTTGCCAAGGACCGACTGAAAGACGCTGTGCAGTAGTGCCAGCTTAGGCATCAGCAGCGCGAGTAGTCTCTCACCATCCCTGTTCTCTGCCAGACTGATCAGACGCAGTACCACAATACACAGCTGCAGCACAAACACACACACACACACACACACACACACACACACACAACATTTGCATGTGAAACGCAGACACTTCAGTTGTATTGATTGCAGTCATGCCTAAAACAGAGACAGAGATATGAAATACAATGCAATAGGATATCGTTGGTATGCAAACAAGGTAGAGAACAGTGTCCCAAGATAGTTTAGAAAGGCACAAGACTGAACACGCCATACGTGTGAGAGTGATTACCTGTCGCTGGAGGGTGTCCTTGTAGCGCAGGTCACCAAAATCAGACAGATTCTCGCAGCTCTCCAGAGCGGATAGCAACAGGTCACAGATCCACTGGAAGCGTTGCGAGTCACCAAACGCTACGCGATGCTCTGGTGCCAACAAAGCTGCGGCGGCTCCGATGCGCACCTGAATACATACAACATGCATGTACGCACATATATGCACACACACACACACACACACACACACACACGCAGGGAGAGAGAGAGAGAGAGAGAGAGAGAGAGAGAGAGAGAAAGAGAAAGAGAGAGAGAGTGTGTGAGAGAGAGAGAGAGAGAGACAGGGGCGTAGCAGCCGGTCCGGCTGGTCCGGCTTTGGCCGGACCACTTTTTCGCCCGGAATGCAGGATTTTGCACCCTAATCTCAAAAATTTCCCGGGGAGACCCCCCCTGACCCCCCTCCAGCCGGACCACCTCCAGCGGTGGTGCTATGTGCCTGAGAGAGAGAGAGAGAGAGAGAGAGAGTGAGAGAGAGAGAGAGAGAGAGAGAGAGAGAGAGAGAGAGAGAGAGAGAGAGAGAGAGAGAGAGAGAGAGAGAGAGTACATCCTTTATACTGGAACTCTTGGTGAGCTGTTGAATGACGGTGTTCATAATACAGTAGTGTGCTCTTTGAATCTGGGTCTTGCTCGCACTTTGCGGCGGTCCGGAGGTGTTGCTTGCAACACTGGCTTATTATGACCCTTGTGGTCGGGCCATGACACAGATACCAGGTAGTATCTGTCCATAATTTGCATCAAAGATCTTGAGTGCATATTAAGAAGAGATACTACCTGATGTGGGCGGATCATTTTTATTCCAATCCAAATTAGCAACAGCAGCCATCAAAAAGAAGGCATAAAGCAGCAGAAAATGAAGGTATGAATGCAAGAAACACCCAATTTCCTACAAAGAAGAAGAACAGAAAGAGAAGAAGAGTGAATGAAATCTCACACACTGAAAAGCATGAAATAAAAATCACTTAAAGGGGAAGTGCATCGATTTTTCGAGTAGGGTCCAGAAGAAAGACAATTATTATTTGATATAGGTTCGAATGGCATATCTCTCGCTTCTGTACGATAAGCCAAACTTGCCAAATCGCCAATTGTATACTCACGTTGCCATAGCGACCAGCGCAGTGATGACGTATGAAAGGCTTAGCTCCACCACAGAGAAGGTCGATCACTGCAGAATTATTTGGTCATTTCCAATTGTCTTATTGTATTCACGATGTGAAAGAAGGGCTGTGTTCAATGCTGTTAGTGCCCTGAATTGTTTATCTGCCTTCTCCTGCATTTCCCTAGGCTGACTGTGCCTAGGAAATGGTTTCCTCTAGGAGAAGATGCTTGATATTCGCCATCTCTCCTGAGACATTTTCAGCAAACTTTTAAACCTACGACATTATTTCATTCGTCAATCTCCACCACCCGTCGTCTCACCTGGCTTCAAAAGATGTTACGAGAGATAGGAGAGTCGCCAGGAAGCATCACATCCGTCTTCAGGAAGTGGAAAGAGCAAACGGCATGGTCCTTGGTTGGGGGAAATGCTGAACGTCTGATTTCTCCCAACCAAGATTTCAGCATTTTGTTCGTCACTATTTTCGCTTGTTTGCTGATGTCTCCGCACTCCAGCTTTCTCCTGTCGGTATCACGTCCCAGTACACAACCGAGAGGACTACTAACAAACAGTTCACTGCACTAACAGCATTGAACACAACCCTTCTTTCACTTCGTGAATACAATAAACCAAACCACAAAAGAAAACGACCAAATTCTGCAGTGATCGACCTTCTCTGTGGTGGAGCTAAGCCATTCATACGTCATTACTGCGCTGGTCGCTATGGCAACGTGAGTATACAATTGGCGATTTGGCAAGTTTGGCTTATCGTATGGAAGCGAGAGATACCGTAGAATCCCGCGGATAAGCCCATGGGCTTATCTGTTTCACAAGGACATTTCGGTGGGCTTATACGAGAACATGGGCTTATACGCAGGCATGTGCTTATACGCCGACACCAAGTTGTGCTATTGAAAAGTATCAAGGAAGTGAGAAATACATGCTAAAACCACTTTGCAAACAAAAACAACCGATGATTGTGCTGAAATGTACTAAAAAAATTATTAATGTGCATGTACTACGTACATGGTATGGCCAAGAGTCCATAATTTATGGACTCTCGGTGTGACCTAGGCCCATGGGCTTGTACGATGAAGCTGTTTGATGTTCGAACAAACCCTGGGCTTATGCGCGGGCATGGGCTTATACGCGGGTGGGCTTATCCGCGGGATTCTACGGTATGCCATTCGAACCGAAATCAAATAATAATTGTCTTTCTTCTGGACCCTACTCGAAAAATCGATGCACTTCCCCTATAAACAATCAAAGAAACCCCACTCAAACATGGATAAAACACAGTCAGCACGTTTCAACAAATACTATCTGATGTACTTTTGAGGAAAATTTACCAGTAACCCATGCAACATCATACTTACCTTGAAGTTCTTGTGCTTCTGTGCAACTGACAACAGTGCGGTGAACATCCCTTGCTGTTCGGCCAAGACGGCAAGGAATTCAAAGCATCGGCAAACAATCACAAAAGAATAGAAGAGTCAGAGCCAGCCTTCCTTGCCAGAAGTCGTGTACGTACTCTTGCACGCAAGCAGAAGACCCTGGGTTTTGCGGTATACAGGAGTTTCACTGCATGAAGATTTGCTTCACTTTTTTTCGCTCGAAAGCAGTCGAAAACTCACAGGAGCTTCTGTTATTTGAGACTATACCGTCTGAATCTTACGAATTTTAATTGTGCAAAACCTTGGTAGATAAATGTCAGCTGTACTCACCGACCAGGCTGAGCATCCAGTCGGCAGCGCCGGGTTTCTTAATGCAGTGCGAATGGCATAGCAAGCATTCCAGCGTACCTGTCAACGGACAGAGAGCAAAGTAGCAAACAACGGCATTGTCCGCATTGATTGATTGATTGATTGCATACTTCGAGGGTTTTTCAACAGTAAACGGAAGGTTGTCAACGGAGCGTCCACCAACCAAACAATAGAGGAGGTAAGAGGAGAAACGTGTAGAAGCAACAGAAAGTTACTACAGCAAAATGTGCAGGTGGAAATGAGAGACTGTTGACAAACTGCATACCTACAGAATATGTCCAGACTGAGGAACACGCTGTGCCAGTCGGGCACTTACAGTAGGCAAATTTTGGTGATTCAGAATTGGGAAAGTTTTTCGCAGCAAAGAGACCATACGCGAGTATTGAGTAAGTGTTCAGACTACTTGAAGTACTCGTAGGTCAAGTTCTATAGGTTGTTTGAACTAGACGAGATGGGTGCTAGTATGTGGTTTGTTCAATGAACGTACTTTTGCTGTGATGGCCGAGCTTGCTACGACCTTTGTAAGTTGCTGCATGCCAGACTGCACCAAAACCAACACTTCCTCTTTACCTAGTCAGTATTCACAGGAACACACAGGAACACAAACCAGCATACCAAGACCACAAGACACAACATGCACACAAGCACAGTCACTCGTACATTGTACACACACACACACACACACACACACACACACACACAGACACAGACACACCCACGCACGCACGCACGCACGCACGCACGCACGCACGCACGCACGCACGCACGCACGCACGCACGCACGCACGCACGCACGCACGCACACACACACACACACACACACACACACACACAAACAGGCATACCTCAAAAAGATCTTCCCATATTCACAACTTGACAAGCATGAGCACTTGCATCGGCCAAAGGAGTAGCCGTGGCTAATGACAAGGCCAGGGCAAATCATTCCGCTAAAGATATCACTTGTCTGCCAAACAGTGAAGGACCATCCACGCAAATTTATACTCCTTTTTGTACACTACAGTCATGTATACAGCATTGACTATGGACATACATGCAGTCATATTAGACACCCTTAGCAAATAACGGTAACGCTATAATTATTGTACGGTACTCGTACCTTGATCACCCAAATAGCGTTGAAGCTGCAGCGTAAAAACGTTATGGGGGCTGATTTATCGTTGTGACCAACGGTACGTTTTTGGGCCAAATATTGCATGGTCCGCACGCATTTCACCTTGTATCGCGTATATATGGTGACATAAATGGTTGTACGAGCGTACCGCTCAAAGTAAAAGCTATTCTCGTGGCAACAGCGTACTAAAAATAGCGTGCATCTTGCTAAAGTTTGAGCCCAAATCACGGTATTTTCCCCCTTACGGTAATACCGTTACAACATAACGTTGTTTGCTAAGGCAGTAAGGGTGTCTATTGACATGTGAACACATCCAAAGTAGTAATTTTACGACTCCCCCCCCCCCCCTCGTGCCCGTCCCAGATTGTATGCAATGATCAATAGGGCTTGAAAGTGCTACGTCACAGCATAGCAACAATTTCAAAAATTCAAAAATTGGATCCACTTGGATCCAGTTTTTGTATGGATCCAAGCACATTTCAAGCCGTCTTACTCACAGCAAGGTGATGTAACCAGTGAAACTGACTGATTTGGCTACTGGGGGCGCGGTTACAACTGGTGGCGAAGTAAAAGTCACCCCTGCATACGACATGAGTGGGTTGCTATGCACCCACATACTGAGGCAATAGCAAAGTCACACCTTAGTGGATCCAAAATAGAAATCTGATGTCAATTTACTACTCCCCGGCCGTTTTTGACGTCATCACTTTCAAGCCCTATACTCAATGAAAATTTCGCTTGGCTCAAAATCAGTATATTCTGGTTACCATGGCAACAGCAGAAATAATCGCATCAAATACTGTAGTGAGGTGTCAGATGACAGGAGCTGCACAATAATGACCAGCTACTGCATCCACAGAGCCGTATTAAAAAAGATCAATATCGGCCAAGTTGCCATGACAACACTATTGCACCGATTCCATCACGCAATCACAATTGAACCTGGGAAGAACATAACCTATCTACAAATGGACTTTTGGTACGTTCTACAATGTTTTCGAGAGGGTGAAAAAAAAGACTAAACATTGCCCCTGGCTGAAGATCACTGATATATTCCAGTTCCCAACTCTTAGCTCTACATCATCAGTAAGGGATAATCCTTACCTGTCGCCTCTACGGAGGCGTCAGAGTATTATATGATGCACTGTGGAGGCTGATGACACTTCGTGACTTATACCTCCTGGTTTGAGAGACGCAACACCTCTCACTCCTGTTTGCTGACCCCCCCCCTCCAAATATAGTAAATGAAAAAATTCTTCTCATTTTCAAATGTTATTGCAGCCATTTCGTAATGTGTCATGGGTTAGGTGCAGTGGTCTCCGCTCGCTGCACTGAATCCATGATCAACCCAGCCACTTCTCTGTCCACGTCGATACGATCAGAGAGTGCGAGAAGTGGAGCGGTCCACTTTTCTCCCCTTTGTGCTCTCTTCCACCGGAGGATTCGGCAAGGGTGCCGCTGTACTGGTGAGCCGGATTGCACACCTCCAGTCGCTACGTGGGAGGGAGGCGTATTCTTTGCTAATTGCCCACCTCGACTGCAGGCTGGCTTTTGCCCTGCTGCGTTCGAGTGTCATGTGTCTGCGTGAGGTTCGCCGAGTTTGGCAGCCTCCAATGGATGGCTGTGCCTCCCTGGCTGTCGTGGAGGCCAAGGTGTCCCGTTGAGCCTTGGCCCGTGATTGTGCGGACTACTGTAAAAGCCATTATTCTAATGAGGCGCATATACAACGATTTTCCCAAATTGACTAGTTTACGTGTACCAAAGGTAACGGTTCTCACTCATTCTCAACGCTCAATAGGATAGTATATGTATTTATTTCTGACTTTTCTGTATAACGATTTCTATTTTAACGAAAGATTTCTCCTCGTTAACTCGTTAGAGTCAGGGAGTCGTAAATATATATTTAGACTCCCTGGTTAGAGTTAGCACTTCGTTATATATATGGCTTTTACAGTATGCTATGCTTCTCTTGCTCTCTGATCACGTGTGACGTCATCATTATCTGACTTGTTTTCCAATCCTCCGCCATGGCAAATTGTGTTTTGTTCACCCGTAAAAGAGGTTTTATTCTTTAAAAAAAATTGTACCTGTCAACCGCAAACAATAAAATGAGCTGAACCGACATTTGTGTACTTTATTCATGCAATGTAAAAACGGTGGAGATGATGTGCAATAAAACGATGAAAATATGAAGTAATGGTGAAGAGAAAAAATATGGATTCAAACAAGTTTTCGTACAACACTCATCAGGAATCGTCGTTGTACTGAAGGACACTGAAACAAAATTGAACTATTATAGAAAATTTAAGTTAGAGAAATAACACTAAGAACAACAGCAGTGAAATTTACAAGTGTGAATTTTAACAATCAAAGCGAGAGCAATAACGAATGCGTGTGCTGACAATAAACTTGCAAATGGAAAATGAACAAACAAGAGAAAGAAAGAAGGAAGGACAAAGTGATAACACATAACAGCAGTACATTTCACCTGGAACATTAACGGCCAAGCTTGGCCGAACCAAACACGACACGTTACTTAAATAATTTCAACCCAAATATACTATCTTTCTGTACACACAAATTAGGCTTATACAGACGCTGATAGATAGCTTCAACAGCGCAATCTACAGCAACCACAACTAATCCACCATCCAAGCCCACAATTGAAAGACCAAGACGATCAACAGCCAACTACAACAGAAGCTACGCACTAAACGGACAAGGGCGAAAGGAGGGACGTGACAGCAGGGTGACGGCCGAGTTAAGTTCATTGGACCCGGTCAGGCGGGATGGACGGGACAGAGAGTGCAGAGGAAGCAAAGGATGGAACGGACGGTGAAGGGAGCAGTGAGTCGGAGAGCAATGATGGGAGTGATGGTGAGAGTGCCGGTGAGAGTGTTAGTGTTGTGCGTAGGTTTCGTGGTAGCAAGTCTTCAGTGTACAATCATCTGCTTGCTAGTCCTGATTGTTGCAATTCGTATTCCGACTCTTCGTTCACTGTATTGTGCTGTGGTCGTCATGGTTATGGACTACAGTTAAAAGTGTTGGAAGCTATCTATCAGCGTCTGTATAACTTTAAGCCTAATTTGCGTGTACAGAAAGATGTTTGGTGCGGCCAAGCTTGGCCGTTAATGTTCTAGGTGAAATGTACTACTGTTATGTGTTATCACTTTGTCCTTCATATTTTCTTCATATTTTCATCGTTTTATTGCACATCGTCTCCACTGTTTTTACATTGCATGAATAAAGTACACAAATGTGGGTTCAGCTCATTTTATTGATTGCGATTATCAAATTATAGTCTCCTCGCCGTTTGTTTAAATTCTACCTGTAGAAAGGAAAAGGACACATGGATACGAGTTAAAGTAACTCTCCATCACTGTAACTAGTTACTTTCTGACTGTATATAGTATCTAGTTACAGTGATGGAGAGTTACTCTTAACATGTATCCATAATTATGTCCTTTTCCTTTCTACATTTATTTACGGCTCAACATCCGAGTTTCAAATTCTACCCGTGTCAAGTTTTCCATGTACACAACATGTTCGGCATAAACCGAGCCCTTGGAGAGTGGAGAGGGTAGAAGACTACCGTATAGGCGCGAATAGAAGCCCCGGGGCTCTATTTTTCCAGAAGACACCCAGGGGGGGGGGGGGGGGGGCTGTATTTGAGAGGGGGCTCTATTCGAGAGGGGGCTTTATTTTTTCAATAGAAACATCAATTTTCACACCTTTCAAGATGATCGTTTCTGGCGCAGTGTGTTCCCATTTTTGCATGTCTCTACGTTGACCCCAGAGGACTAGAGCGATCCCGTACCTCCAATATGGATCTAGTGATCCGCAAAGCACACTGTGTTGATCGTGCATACCGTACATGGTTCATGTACTGCACTACAACGTACGGACTGTGGGCGCTCAATTAGAGCCACGGGCTTTTATTCGAGACGGGGCTGTATTACTTCGAATGCCTCTGAGGGACGGGCTCTATTCGAGAGGGAGCTCATTCGAAGGGGAGCTTGTATTCGCGCGCGCGCGCGCGCGCGCGTACGATATGCAACAATTTATCATCAATGGTCTGGAGCCATGTTGACTCCCAGCCAAAGCGATTTTTGTAGTACAACGTGCCCTAACCAAACACCCTTGCTTGCCTGGTGCACCCGGAAACAGTCCTAAATGACAGGATTACACTTCGATGTGACAGTGTGTTTGGCCTAATTCGCTGCTAAAACCAATAGCAATTCAAAGAAAATTTCAAACTCCGCCACCATATTGCTCCCGAACTCCAGACCTTCTTTGGCCTTTTTTTATGCTCCACATGGTGGACGTTTCTTCTTCGATTTATTTTTTGAGTTATTGCAGTTAATAGTTTGCTTTGTGGTGTGCCCCTTTCCGGTGACATGGATGGGGTTATGGATGATGGTACCCTGGAAAGTTCCAGTGGTGACCAGGTTCCGAGCGGCTCTGGTGCCAGTTCAGCGAGAACTGGGTCACTTGGGGTGTGTGCTTAAAGTAACAGGATCAGCGAGATCTTCTTGCTGCCGGGCCTCCGGCTCAGGCATTGGAGCCTTCTGTCAGTTCAGAAGATCAGCGAGATCTTCCTGACTATAACTAAGCCTCAGGCTTTTGATCCACGTGCCGAGGTAGACACATCCGGCAAGTACAGTAAGACCTGGTGTAAGCGACCTCTGGTTTTAGCGACTACCCGCTTTTAACGACCGTTTTTCCATGCACGCACAGTTCTACACAGAAACTGCACTGGATACAGCGACCACCTGCCTTGAGCGACCAGCGACCGACTTGTAGTGTACCAAGTGCCATATTGGACCTGCACACAGCGACCAAAGCTAACCAAAAGTGCCTCTTGGCTGGCAGAGTTGACTGCAACAGGGTTGAAGTGCGCTCCAAAGCAAGTGCATGCAGTCAACTGAAGTGACAGCGCAGGATGCGCTGCATGCACTTGAGTGAGGTGTGCTTTGCTTGCACGAGAGTATTCTATGCTCCGCACCTGTCAATATGAGTACATGAAAGTACAATCATGCACATGTATGTATAATCCGATATGCCACGAATGTATGGGACCTGGTTCTAAAGACCACCTGGCTTTAACGGCCGCTTTTGCTTGCACCGTGGGGTGATCGCTTAAACCAGGTTTTGCTGTACCTCATACGAGCTCCGTCTGTCATCACAGACTACATAGAAACTCATTTCCGGCGTGCCATGACGGATGAAAAGCGAAAGTCTATGCTCACGTTGCATCCGCGTCCTGTCACGGAAATGTTGATTGCAATCATCTTGTGCTAAGTATCTTGGCATCATTTTTGATGAGCACTTGACATTCCGTGAGCAAGTTGATGCACTCCGAAAGAAGGTCAGAGCAAAACTGAATGCATTTCGGCGCTGCCACACCATGTTGACCAATGCAGCCAGGCGCACATTTTATCTCTCTTTTGTCCAGTCTACACTGGAATACGGAAGCAATGCTTATGTACACAGTCTGCGACAACATGAATATGATTCTCTCACCCGCATCTCTTGCCGTTCATTGCGTACTGTATTTGGCTACCCACCTACCGCAGATGTTCAGTGTATTCTGTCTCGAAACAACCTCACACCCATCACTATTCGTTTTTCCAATAACTGTATCTTCTTGTATTCAGATGCGTTCATTCTTCTGCCAGTTCACTTCTGTGCCTCCTTTTCTGCCTTCGTGCCAATTCTGAGGCTCGTAGCCGCACCTGCACAAGGTCTCACGTCTCGCTTGGACTTGTACTGCCACGAGCCTCCTCTCGATTTGGTTATTCCTCTCTTTCTTTTTAGCCGCTGACCGCTGGAACTCAGTTCCGGCATCGGTCCGCCTTACTGCTTCACCAAGTCAATTTCGTATCGCAATCCTAGATTGGCTAGGGTACCCCGTAAGGAGACCATAGGTCTGTGGGGGCTGCACTAGAGAAATATGAATAAATACATACATACATTGCCCCCAAGATCGATGAGTCGGTAAAGAGCCGGATAGGGCACCAGGTGCCTAAAGTTGCTGATGGGAGACTTTCTTTGGTACAGCAAGCAATGCATGCGTTGGTGGGCCCATTGACGTGCATCTGGGCGTCACTACTGGACACAGACCAGGACACGGTCGAGATGGCAGACGCAATGAACATTGTACAGCGTGCGCTCGTTCTGATGAGCAATGTCAATGCCTTGCTCACCCAGGCACGGCAGCAGACGGTATTGGAGGCTGGTGGCAAAGAGGTAGCCACATTGATGAACGACGAGATGCCTGAGAAAGGCAAATGCTTGTTTGGAGACAAGTTTACGGCGACTTTGACCGAGAAGGTCAAGGTGTCAACCGCTTTGCGAGATGTGGTTCGCCTAACAAAGCCCACTAGTGCCCGGCAAGAGCCTTTTCGTTCCGGGGGGGGGGGGGGGGGGGGGGTGGCGCTCAACAGGCCGGGCCCCATTCTCATATCAGTCGCGTTATCGCGACAGCAATTGGTTCGCCGATTTCGGCCATACCCACCACGGTCCCAGCCGCAGCAGCAGCACTCCGGCCCACCTCTGCAGCGGAGATTATACCCGTCGGCTTAGCAGGTCGGGGTTGTCCTGCAGATCAGCAAGAAGTTCCTGCGATAGTGCAGAATGCACAGCTGAATCTGCACAGCCTACCGGATTCCTCTCCAGCAGGCCGAATTCGTCACACATTACACAATTGGAAATTAATTACACAGGACCCGTGGGTCCTAGCAGCAGTGGAGAGCTATCACCTATCAATGAGCAGCCAGCCACACCAGGATCGGTTGCCACAGCCATATCGTCTAGCACCAGCAGAGCAAACAGGATTAGACGACCAATTACAGAAGATGTCGTCTCTAAGAGCCATAGAGAGAGCACCGCAAGAGCCAGGGATGGAGTATCTGAGCCAGCACTTTTTCATCCCAAAGTCCGACGATCTGAAAGCCCTCAACCAGCACGTATGGACAGAGCATTTCTCCATCATGCCGCCGATCTTCTCCAGCAAGGTTACTTCAGGTGCAAGCTGGACCTCAAGGATGCGTTCCATTCTGTCCGCATCCACCCATACAGCCGAAGATGGCTCCGTTTTCGCTGGCGGGAAGAGACATGGCAATACCGATGCTTGCCGTTCGGGCTCTCGGATGCCCCCCCCCCCCCCCCCTCCCACACACACACTTTCACCAAGATCCTGGCACCGGTGGCAGCATTTTTCAGATCTCTGGGAATCCTTCTAGTTGTGTATCTGGACGACTGGTTGTTCAGGCCACAGCAGAGGCGGCCAAGCAATCGGTGAACGAAGCAGCATTTCTGTAGGAGCACCTGGGCTTCATCATCTTGAGGGACAAATCGATCCTGACGCCAGTGCAATCTCCGGAGTTCCTCGGCATAGCAGGCAACTCGCTGTCCATGGAGTTTCATCTTCCGGATCGGAAGTACGAGGGCATCAGCAAGGACTGTCGCCAAATGCTGAACAAGGGTACTGTCAGCCTCTCGACACTATGGTATTTGCTGGGGAAGATGCAAGATGCAACAAAGGCAGTACCGCTAGCGCAAGCGAGGTCCCGGATGTTGTAGTTTGTTCAGAACCAGATAACAGACGAACAGCAGATCATTGCCTTACTGGACGATGCCCGAGACGACCTCTCCTGGTGGATTCACCTGACTCCAGCACAATGGTGCAGGCCAGTTCAGATCGCACCGCCCTCCCTGACTCTGACAACCGGCGCATCCAACTATGGTTGGGGTTCGACGTGCAACAGCCAAGTCACAGACGGCCCTTGGACAATCCACGACGATCGGCAAATCAGCTGGAAAGAGTTGAAAGCTGTGTCCCGACTTGACAGATCTAACGCTTCGTCTGAAGATCGACAACACCACGGCCGTAGCGTACATCAATCGGCACATCAATCGGCAAGGGGGCACACACTCGTTCCTGGTGTGCAAGTTGGCGAGGGAGATCTGGGATTGGGCTTATGCTCGTCGGCTGTTCCTAGTTGCGGTGCATGTGCCGGGTGCCAGCAACATGACAGCAGATTACCTCTCCCGTCATCTACTGGTGGACAGCAGCGATTGGAAGCTGGACAGCGACCTGTTTCACTTTATTGTGATACACAAGGGTCCACTTCTCTGCAATTTATTCGCATCGAGACACAACAGCCAACTTCCCCAGTATGTCAGCTGGTATCCGGACCCGGACGCAGTAGCAGTAGATGCGCTTTCGCTGCCCCAACCACATGTGGGAAGACGGCTATCTCTTTCCCAAGATAGCATTAGTCATCCGTGGTCTCCTCCAGTTCATCGGCACCACAATTGCCAATGCCGTACTAGTAGCACCAGCATGGAAGGGTCAGGCATTTTATCCTCAGCTGTCGTCCATGTTACGGAGCCACCCGTGGCGGCTGCCGGAGATACAGGATCCGGTGCTGGGTCCATTCGGCGAATCACATCCGATGGAGGCCAACCGGCTGCAGCTAGCCGTCTGGCCACTATCCAGGAGGCAGCACGAAGCTGTGGACTTTCAGCACACGCCTCCCGTCTATGGGTTTCATCGTGGCGCTCATCAACCCAGTTCAGCTACGAGTCGGCCTGGAACATCTGGATTCGCTGGTGTCAGCGGGATTCACTTATCACTTGATCACTTGGAAGCTGATGAAGTGTGGGTAGCCAACTTTGTAGCTTCCCAATTCGAGAGTGGCAAGCAGTATAGAACACTGAATGTCAATCGTTCAGCACTTTCGTCCACGTTACCGGTACGTGCAGATGAGTTTCCCCATTGGCCAGTCCCCTACAGTTCGGCGTGTGATAGTCGGTGTCTATAACGAGCGCCCTCCGCAACCGCGCTACAGTGAGACCTGGTGTGTTGCATCTGTCACATTTGAAGCCGGAGGAGTGTAATTGAAGATTCCGCAAGGACTGCTTGCAGTCTGATGTGGAATCTGATTTACACGAGGAGTGGAGGCGGAGAATGTGACAGTGTGTTCCCACCCAGTTGTCAGTAATGTCTGTGAATAGACGCATACCCTCCCACACTGTCACATGAGTCAAGAGCTCCGAAAAAGGCCAAAGAAGGTCTGGAGTTCAGGAGCAATATGGTGGCAGAGTTTGAAATTTTTCTTTGAATTGCTATGGTTTTTAGGAGCGAATTAGGCCAAACACACTGTCACATTCTCCGCCTCCACTGCTCGTGTAACTCAGATTCCACACCGGACTGCAAGCAGTCCTTGCGGAATCTTCAATTCCAGGGATGCACATTCGATCCACAGTACTTTGGTGCATGAACATTTGTCCGGCCAGTACAGGATTCCGCTTGGTGCACGGTCCGTCGAACACAGGTCTTACTGCATCTGCGTGTTTCTTATTCGTCTCACAGGAACACACAGCATACCCGGTACCCGTACGAAACAGTCCCCCTCTGCTCTCTTGCTCAAGAAGGCACCCACAATGAGTTTATCACCGCTCTAGCCCAATTTCGCTACTGCTATGCTACAACAGCAACCGCTTTCAACTGATGCTCGTACGCAGTTCGAATCTGCCAAAGCTGAGTCGGTTCACACCACAAGGCTAGGCAGTAAGCCGAAATGGCTGCAAGGTATCATTGACAAACGTCTAGGTCCAATGACGTGTCTAGAGTCTGTGTCTGGTGGTATGCTGCATTAAGTGCATCTTGATCACATCCACGCCGATACACCTGCTGTTCTTCCTGATATAAGTAAGCCCTGTACTGATGGAACGAGGGAGATCAACACTGAGCAAGCAAGGCGAGAACAAGAGCTTGAGCGAACTCAGCATGACTTACCACAGTCTTCATCGCTGAGGCATTGCAGCAAGCAACCAATGGCACGCACACCGCCGGTTTTGACGCGATCATGGTCTGCGGATGTCTTGACCGCCTGTGCTAGCAGTTCCATGACTAGATCATAATCCATAGCAATGTCCTCCTCTCTAGCAGACAGCACACACAGAAGCACGCACAACCAGCATCGTAGTACTCAAGTAGCAGCAAGAAGGACAAGTCAAAACAAGTAGCAATACTAGAGGTTGCACAAATCAAAGTCTCAATCAACGAGGAAAAGCAAGGACGGAAAAGACTACTGTATAGCAGGAAATTTTCGGACGGAAATATTTTCGGACAAAGCCGAACTTCGACATTTCGTATGGATTTTATTTTCGTACAGTGGTGCATGCTAAATGCACTTGTTTGCTTGCGGTACGCATGTATAGTGTACATAACTTCACAGGACCAAATTTTAGTACGGAATTAATTTTAGTACAAAAGAGGGCGTGTACGAAATCGCACGAAAATAAATTCCGTCTGAAAATTTCCTGCTATACATTACTCTCAAATACGAATATGGTGCATTGGGAGACTGTGCAATAGGGAATAGGGTAGGCAGCATTCACCCCTGTAAACAGATCATTTCCCACTTCAACCACCGCATTACCAACGTGCTCTCCGGCAGACCGAATTCAATATCTACCGATTGCTTTTCGCCTTTTGGCAATGGTGTGCTGTGGCGTGTCAAGGTAGGCCAGAGGGCACGTTGGTGGTGCGGTGGTCGAATGGCAGGAAACCGCTTTCTAAGGCTGTGTTTACAACTTTACATGAGGCGTTTCAACCCGGGTCAGATTTCAACCCGCCATGTACTTGCACACAAAATGAATGGCGCGTTTACATGACGCATTGCGCTTGACCCGGGTTGAAATTTCGCAAACGTGCTAACATACTTCTATGCGTATCTCGCACCAGGTTTGAATAGCAGTGCACAGGCAAATTTCGCGCGAAAGTATTCACGTGACCATACAGGACTAGAAGTAGACTTTTGGCGGCATATCAGTATTTGACCCGGGTCAACTGTATTCATGTAAACATCCACCCATTTTTCCCATCGTACAGACTTTCAACCCGGGTTGAACAACTCGACCCGGGTTGAAAATTCTCATGTAAACACAGCCTAACAGTACAAAATGGATCCTCGCAGTCACGCATAAACCCCGGTTAGTGTACAACAGTACATCACTGAGCTGTAGCATGGTGAGAACTACGAAAAACAAGTTCCGTTGCCGTTTCGATGCTGAGCTCTTCCTTGTGAAAATCTTACGAATTTTGTTACATGCAACTTCCCTGCTAAATAGCTATTAGGCAAGACAATGGGGGAATGAACCCCCAAAAGATATAAGAAATATCGCTGGAAAAGGCGAAAAGGTTACTGGCTCTCCCAAAACTGTGAAACAGGTCTGCCACATTATAAAGATTGATGCACGGGCCATTTCGCAGGCGGCAGGTTACAAGCACATATACATACACGAGCGCACAGTACATGCACGCGCATATCGGCATACAAGCAACATGACACGGTCAATCTCACCGGTTGAGCATGACGGCCTCGGCTAGGTTGCCGAAAGCCCACGAGGATTTAGCACGCACCGCAAGCACAGGCAGCTCCAGTGAAGTACGTACTATATTTACACAGGAGACCAGGAAGGAAGTGGTCTGAAACATAGCCACACAGGTATAATAATACAAACACCAGCAGGAAAACACTTGAAAAAAGAGCATCATTGCATGCTATTGACAACAACAAAAATGCAGAAAGTAAGGAGAACACGCAAGAGCAGCAAGCCAACCCAGCAAGCCAACCCAGCAAGCCAACCCAGCAAGACTTCCATACAAGAACAGTACACAGTGTAAGAACTATCATGCACACAAAACAGCTTCCGTTTGCATATGGCCATAGAAAGGCTAAAGCTACGAATCCACCACTGTTCAAGTGCAATGCCTCTCTCCAGTGCGGTGACACATTAATACTTTTAAATAGTGACTCGTTGCTTGTGCACCAACCTTCCTAAGCTTAGGATGTGTGAAGAATACCCCCAGAGCACGGATAGCTGAACACTGCAACAAAGCAAATCCATGTAAACAATTTCACAACAAATCAGGATCAAATCATCTGAAGTTACAGTGCAAGCGCGCAAAGGCCACCGCCGCAGCAGCAACAACAGAGGTGGAGGGAACAGCAACAGCAGCAGGGGCGCATCAGGAGTCTCCAAACTTTTAAAAGAAATGTTTTTATAAGAAGAAAAGAGGACCAAAGAGCTACAAGTTACGCTGTACGTTACGTTAATCATTGGCTCTCCACCCGAGTCTAGAAATGTTTGTGCTAGGAAGCGGACAAAGCGTGAGCATATGAATAATATTTCATGTACTGCATATCAAAATCTGTGTGCATCTCATCCAACAGGGTTGTCACATATCGACCTCAGGGGCACATTTGAGGTTGTACTCACTAGCTCGACAAATTAACATGTTTCTGGTAAACTGCGTGGCTTGCATGGGCTGAACTTCAACAAGAACAAGGTCGGCACAAAGCCCTCCACTACCATTTTAAAAGAAAGAAAGTCGCCGGCTGAAAAGGGGCTTCCGGACCCCCGCCGCCCCTTTGTTTCGGTATGCCCATGAGCAGAGTATGGCAATGAAGGAAGTGAACTTTAAAAGCAAGTCCTACATGCATATTTATCTAGCACCGCAGGCTTGTTCGCTGAAGAAAGGCGTTTATTCATCAACTTCATCGCTGACTAGTAGCACATGGGGCATGATGAAACATGCACTGATGTTCGAATACAGTGTATACCAAAGTGAATGTGTTCCTGCTTGGACGATGCTGTAAAAGTAACGTAAAGCAGTTCATCTGATAATAGAGAACTCACTTGTGCTACTTGGTCAGCATCATTACACAACTTCTTCACCGAGTCCAGGCACACATCCCTGGTACAGGCCTGATACACACAACATGCATACGCGCACACAACAGCACACACACGCACACACGCACGCACGCACACACACACGCACACAAACACACACACACACACATGCACATCAGTATTGTTTGCTGATTTCTGAATCTATTCAAGGCCCACACCCACAGGATTTTGCCAGTGAGAACCAGTGACACAACACAGAAAGGAAATTTATGCATGAAGCTAGAAGGCAGTGATGTCACCACTACCCCCTAGCAACTCTTGGCTACCAACAAATAACAAGTAGCAGTGAAGTTCTTTACAGTGGTTGAGAACAAATTTGTTATGAATACATCTTTACCAGAATTATTATCTTTCTCCTTAACTATCCTTCACCGTCATTCAAGTTGAGTCATTCCCTCCAAATTCAATTTGTCCCTTCCCACTGGCCAATCTGTTCCTCCAGTTTCCAGTTATCACTGCCGGTCCATCTGCTCATCGTACTTAGAGTCTGTCCACCTGTATCGGTCAGTTTGTCCCTCTACTGTACAGGCTAGAGCTACCTATCCAAATCAGCCATATGAAAACTCACGTCTATTTGGGAGAAGGCATCTGGATTTATGGCAGCGACGCAATCCAGGGCAGCAGACTTGACGGTGGCTGAGAGTATTGCAGCACTGCTGTTGGCACCACCAGCAGTACTACATGACACACAGGGTAATAGGCATGTGTCCAGAAGAAGCTGCCACAGCTCTGCCAGCTAATGATTAACACCGACACCGACACACACACGCACGCATGCACACACGCACGCATGCACACACGCACGCACGGATGCACACAAGCACATTCATGCCAGCTAAAGAAAATTCATACACGGCAGAAAACTTTTCCTTCGTCTCCATTTATCTATGAACACCTGAAACATGCCTCAGGATGGTTCCAGGCCAAAATATCAACAAACTGTCAATATTGCAGCAAAGAGACTGTTCGAGTGATTTATGATATGAAGACAATAGAAGAGATAAGAGTAAATGTACAATGATGGTGCGTAGCGTACGCACAGATAAGACATACACACACTCTCATACATTTGCAACTTATTTCCAATAGTTTCCTTAACACGCATTTGTAACTTAGTTGCTATTGCTCCGGTGATTTTCATTAGAAGAACTATATGTAAAACTACTTCGAAGTACTAGAAACTACGTGTTGGCATAGTGAAAGTAGAGAGAGAGAGAGAGAGAGAGAGAGAGAGAGAGAGAGAGAGAGAGAGAGAGAGAGAGAGAGAGAGAACCCGGATACTGACCTCATTCATTGACACCTGGTCGCAGCCGTCGGTCGCTCCACCGTGTTCGTCTCCAGCATCTATTCCGTCGCCGATATGCCGCAACAGTGTTGTCAAGAGCTGGGCAAGAATTCCCAACACAACACAATAGACCCGGCACCTTAGTGACCTACAAAGACACACCGGTACTTACTTATGCCTGGCTGATTGTGGAGCACAAGACAGGCACCACGAGTGCTTCACAGTACTTATAATTATTACTTAATCCAAATGAACATGCATTGCTGCCTTCTTGTCCAGATAAAGCTACCTGGACTCTCACAGACTAGCAACGAGAAGAGTGCGGTGCACATGTACTTGATATGCCAAGCATTGATTGGGTGGTACATGCATTGTATGCTACTCGGACAATCTTGAATCACAACACCGGCAGAACAGCTAAGGGGTCATCACAAGAGATTTTGCTGTCCCCAGACGAACATTTTTCAACGAGGGGGGGGGGGGGGGGGGGGTAAGTCAAAATCGTAAGTCGAACCACACTGTACATGTACATGCATGCGATTTGTGCCGTCCAGCATTGCAAACTGTGTTCATTTCAGGGGGGGGGGGGGGGGGGGGGATCAGAGTACAACAGTGAACAGTGTTCGTTTCAGGAACGACAACAAACTTTTGCGCTGACGCCTAACACTAGCAGTGCGAAGATTGGACAGTGTACGTTGAAAGGACTGGTCTAGTGTCTGCGCTTCATTGAGCTGCAGTGCTGCAGTCATTGGTAAATACAATAAGAGAAACCTACTGTTAATCAGAGCCCCGGTGACAAAGGATGTTGTTATTGGTAATTGTCAGAATACCTTGTATGTATGGAGGCGCATGGTCTCCTCTGTATCGACAATGAGGACTTCCAGAGCGACATAGACTAGCGAACGCCAGTAGGCCCTGCACAGAGGTTTACAAGCGGCAAGGAAGCGTGTCAGCAAAATACATGTACAGGCATGTGTCTCTCTGACGCTGCAGATAGGTAGCACAGCCATGTACAGTTCTGCTCACTGACGCAAAAACAAGTCATCGACCTGATACTTCTTTCTGCACCCCTCGCTTCACTACCACCACCACTTCCACGGCTCCTGACACTGCCCGCACTTACAGACACAGTTGGACAGAACATCTCAGAGGCGAGTCTGAGCAAGTCAACACGGCAAGACAACTTTCACACACAATGTGTTTGTATGACGTCCAGCATGCACTGCATGTGCGAGTACAGTTTTAAAAGCACTCCCCTCATTCGGGCAGGTTGGGACCGAGCACTGCCCCTAACTAGGAATTGCCCGTAACTCACATACATACTTGAAACTCATGCATGAAAGTAAACCTCTTTTACCAATCAATAGTTTTCGGGGCCGTTTTCGTTGAAAAGCTATTTTGTGACTCTTAGAGAGGTCAGAAATGTGCCTGGTAGACGGACGTGCCTGGATTGGTGGCATCCGCATAAGGGGAGCTTTACTATACAATAATAGTAACAATATACATGTACCTTATTTCATACTGATCCTTAAAATCACCAGCCAGTTAGTTGCTTCGTGCGTGTTACTATGTACCATTGCCATTGTCTCATAGTGGCGGTAAAGGGATGAGACATGCAGGACTGCACTCGGCAGTACTTACCGTACTAGATGAAAGTAATTGTGCGCCAGGCCCAGTAGGACTTGCATGGCTTCAGTACGAATTACGAGTTTCTGGCGAAAAGGAGGCGGCGTAGCGGATTTCACGCTTGAATTGTGAGTCAATGCTGGTGAATTGGCAACTGCTGTAATGGCAGCAAGGAAGCAAAGAAGTACACTTGAAAACACCTCCAACCCTACACTCCACGACAGACGCTAAACTGCATCGAATAAATCTAGCTGCCAAAATTTTGCCCAATAGCATCACCAGGGCATTGGATAGTGTAACTTAGGCCCTCTCCACACTACGTGGAAAACGCAGTACCGATTTTCGTGAAAAATCACATACATTGCAGGGGCGTCGAAAGGTATTCAACATTGGTGCGGCCATGAATGGGTGGAGGGTCCGGGGGTCCTCCCCCAGGAAATGTTTTAGGGAAATTGGGCCCAAATAACCCATATTCCGTTGCTTCAAAAATCCCAAGATGAAATTGTTGGTGCGGCTTTGGCCGCACCTGCCGCACCGGTTCCGACACCCCTGCATTGACTGCCGCGTGCACACTGCAGTGCAAGTAACTTGCACTCCGCTTGACTTACGTCACCGTCATGTGAACAGTTGCCTTGACTACTGCAGAAAAGCCTTGGTGGTGCGCAATTTCAGAATTTCAAAAGTGTTCCAATGCTTGTATTGTCAAGAGCAAAGGAATTAGAGTCAGAACAGTGTTATTACATGTAGCAGTTCTGTTGTTGCTGGGGAACATTTCACTGCTTCTTTGTTTCAACAAGTTCAAGTATGGATCGGCGGCGTTTGGTCGCTGTTTGGCCTTTCATGTTGCTCAGAGGTCCATAGCCAGGCATGTCCCGATACAATGAATGCCAAACACTAAAATTTCCCCCAGTTCACATACCGGTATGCCAATTGAAGATCGTATGCCTCATCAGTGCCAGGATCAGGAACAGACAATCCAGTAGTTTGGCTTTTCTTGTATCTCCTATAAAATCGCGAGCCTTGGCTTTTAGGTGGTCCACCTTGTTGTGAATGTGTTTCACTAAGAATTCATATGTGTCTTCGCCATACAACTCCCTCGCATACTGATTCATCTTCTCCGTTATTTCTCTCTCTCGAATTGCTCTCTTCACCATCTGGCCCTGCTTCGACGTCTGGTATACTCCATCAGTTTCTTCTCCAGGTCATCGTTGAAGTTATTTTTTTGGCATTGTGCCAGACATGCTTCTCCAAACAGCACACAACTTGTTAGCTACTCTGAGAACTGAAACAAACACCCTACTTGTCTTCTCAGCGTCGGAAGTACGGAAAAACAAACTGAACTCACGTGTCTTTCCCTCAAACCAGTGAATTCACGAAGCTAATAATTATACTGGTTGCAACTGGAAAACGGTTTGCTTCTCTACAGTAGTCGGACTGAGAAACGACACAGCAGTACAGTGCAACGGTTCAGTTTACTGTGCTTTTTTACGCAAAACGCTGCGTTCTACATACAGGAGTCCCCGATCTGCTGAAAAGAAAAGCAGTATGTTTTGCATTTTATGCCCGTTTCCTTGGTGACACGCCGAACGCAGTTACGTTCACGCAGTTTTGTACCTAGTGTGGTGAGGGCCTTAGAGTTTGTCAAAAATATATACATAGCAGTAGTAGTAACTATCAGCCAGCCAGCCAGCCAGCCAGCCAGCCAGCCAGCCAGCCAGCCAGCCAGCCAGTCAGCCCGCCAGGTAGGCAGGCAGGCAGGCAGGCAGGCAGGCAGGCAGGCAGGCAGGCAGGCAGGCAGGCAGGCAGTCAACAGCATGCATGCATACGGCGCAGCATCAGCAGTTACTATACCTTTAGACACTATAAGATGCACCGTGAGTCGACACAACCATGACGTGGACGAGGGAAACGTGAACTCGGAGAACCATAGTTCATCGAGGCCATCCTTGAGAGAGAGCCAAGAGAACGAATCTGCACCGCCTGCAATCCCTGCAGTACTCTCAATGCTGGGTTTTCTCATGTGAGGAGTTTGCTGGCCAGCATGGTGCACCACTCTCCAGTCGGACAAGCCGTCCCCATCCGTGGCACTGCTGGAGGCGACCTCGCCTGCACAATACACATCAACACAATTATACAAAGACATGTACACAATTGCGAGAATTCAGAGACATAGTAGAACTGAACGGCGCATACACTGGACTGCGCACACACATTCCTCAAGCACAGCCTGATCTGCAACACATGCACATAAGCACATGTTAGGGAAAGAACCTGCCATAATGCACAGGAGAGCCATCACCCACTCACACTTCCACTACCCACTACGCTCAATAGCAATAGAGTGGTTTCGCATCTATCACATGACCATACGGGAGAACCACGTTGGTTCCAACTTCCAACTCCACTCAACCCCTGCATCTATGGGTCACATGATGTCGGCCATGCTGGTCCTTATGCCCAAGATCACTTTCTACACAAACTTAGCCACATGATAGGCAAAGATGTGAAACCACTCTATGTATCTATCTATCACAGATTCACAGTACACGTTCTACACAATACTTCACAGCAGCAGTGTTCAGGCAATCACAAGCAGTAGTAATAAAGTACACCCTTGGCTTGGGTCACATGTTACAGGCATACTAACTGGGACTGTCGCGGTGGCTTCCAGAACCAAGGCGCAGCAGCGGCGCTGCCGGCCCCGCTGCACCACTTCTCAACAGTACAGTGGGACGCAGGGCATCGGAGACCTCGTCCAGAGGCGCATGCACACACACCACTGCACCCAGACAAGTGAGACATGCCGTCCGCACCGTGATATCTAAACAACGCAGAATAGACAGAAGGAAGAGGACACATTAGCGAGCGAGAACACATCACTACATCAGACTCTAGTGGCACGGAAACGTGAACTGTCACCCCCCCCCCCCCCCCGAAAAGCACGGTTAATAAAGAGATACGAAAACCTACCTCGCCGTGTCAACAGAGGCTCAAGTGCCGAAACAACACGAGTGAGATATCCAGTGCGCAGTCGATGGAAGGGAGCATTCCACACAAACAGGCTCAAACACTGCAGCAAGTGAGTGAGAGAGACAGATGAACAGAGACAGGCAGGCAACGAGAGAGACAGGCACAGAAAGACAGAAAGTTTATACAGCAATCACAGTGCATTCTGGGACGAGAACTGCTTTTGAAGTGCACCTTAAATTCAATGGTGCATGCAGTGGTGTGCAATGCACCATGAGTCAAGAGCAGAGCAACGTATAATTAGTGACAGCAGTCATTACTAAGGAATGGCTTACTTTGACAGCTTGCACCAGCACACTGTTAGAGACTTCCCTCTGTGATGATGTCATAGTTAGCAGCTGCACGGTGTATTCATAAAGCTGCCGCAGAATAGAGCCCAGCGTCTGCGAGAGCGGCGTAAAGGCACGGTGATGCGACCGCGCCACGCTGTCGTCTGCCAACAGTAGGTACTGGCGCGAGGCGTCCAGGAGGCGACCGATGACCATGAATGCGGTCGCTCGTGACTTGGAGCAGGAGCTGCCAAGCGCAACGGAGAAGAGCGGGCCGCGAGAGGAAATGGTGACATCAGGAAACAACATTGGCCAGAAGCTAAAAGTCGTCTTGCGATGCAAGCTCTGCATGTTAGAAGACAACAAAATAAAGCCATACGCGGACAGGATTACAGAGCTGGAATAGAGAGGCAAGAATACCTGGAAAACTCTGTAGCAAAATAACTCGAGTATTCAATGTCAAGTGTATACTTCAAGAAATATGAACATTTATTCGGCCATCCCAGCAAAGGCATGGATGGCATCGCACTCATACATACCAAAACAAGATAAAAGCAATATGCTCACACAATTATAACATAAAAAGCCAGCACCTTACCGAGAAAACTTGGTCCAAAAGCAGGAGGGTACGGAGCTCAAGCTCTTCTTCCTTGCGTCTAAAGCAGAGGGAAAGAGAGAGAGAAGCAGTAGTAAACATGGAAAATGGACATGATAAGGCATCAGAAGCCACTACTCTGAGAACATACATGTAGGCTTACAGAAAAACCATTCATGTCCGAAGTATTCCGGCAGGTGCACCAATGCAACTAGAGGTTCTTCTGGCGTGGAGGATATCAGCTGGTGCAAACAGTTACTGTACATCCGCACAGTCAGGTGAGGGATACGCATTGCAAAGGGCGTTAAATGGTTGTATACCAAACACACAAACAGTAACAGCCACAGCAGCAGCACAAGCACAATCACTGCCAAAAGCAGCAGAAGTAGCAGCAACAGCCACAGCAGCAGAAGTAGCAGCAGCAGAAGTAGCAGCAGCAGCCACAGCAGCAGAAGTAGCAGCAGCAGCAGTAGCAGCCACAGCAGCAGCAGAAGTAGCAGCAGCAGCACAAGCACAATCACCACCAAAAGTACCACTGGCACTGACAGCATCCCTACACAGGCTACGGTAAAGCTTACTGGGGTAGGGGCTTCCTTCGCGTGACCTCCAAGTCGGATTGCTCTGAATCCGAACTGGTGACGGAAGGAAATACGGAGAGGGCCGAGTCTTGTGAACTGCGAGACGTGACAGAAGGGGCACTACCAGGAGCTCTCCAGTCACTAGATGGCCTACACAGTGCGAATAAGACAAGTCAAAAGCAAAAATAATTACTAAGCAATGATAGCAATGCGTTCGCTTGCAAAATTCTCAAAACTACCATAGCACTCTTAAACCATTCAAGGTAATGGCTAAGGTAACCTTACATAGCTAGCCATAAATGCTAAGCAAATAAAACCGGTGTTTGAACAATCTCTCTTCATAGCTTCCTCGGCAGTATAGAATACCGGACAATGAACAAATCCAGTGCCAAGACCCTGGCTAACTCAACAGGTACGGTATCCACGATGCATACAAATGGACAGGCCCGGGGATAAGATGAGTCATCCACGTGAGAGGGAGAGAGAGGGAGAAGGAGAGGGAGAGAGAGAGAGAGAGAGAGAGAGAGAGAGAGAGAGAGAGAGAGAGAGAGAGAGAGAGAGAGAGAGAGAGAGAGAGACAGAGACAGAGAGAGACAGAGACAGAGAGACAGATAGACAGAGGGACACACACAGAGCATGGTGCAGCAGTAAAACAGTACTGTTCAAGAACACCCAGTGACAAGCACAGGACAAGAGGCATAACATCCTTACTGCAACTTGGCAAGGGAAGGTGATGGCAGTACAGACTTAACCGGTCTCGAGGGTACGGGCACTGACGGTGGCGAAACCAAAACAGACTGAAGAGACAAAAAGAAACAAGAGGGAAAGGGAGAGAGAGAGGGGGGGGGGGCTTAGATAGATAGGCAGACAGACAGACAGACAGACAGACAGACAGACAGACAGACAGACAGACAGACAGACAGACACACAGATACTCAATCTGCGGATAGAACTGTTTCGTCCTTTGTGGACTCATCAGCGCAGCACAGAGAAAATGAGGCCGAACCCGATAGCAATGAAAAATAAATTTTCCAAAGCCAGGTTTAAACCAGGCCCGAATGTGCCTTGCATGTATGTAGGGCTCAAATTGACAAGTCAGTGAGCTCTGCATAACACAATCAGCAAAGGCACTACTCCATACGAGAGTGCTCAACTACTAGAAGAGCAGGAGCGAAATACTCAATCTGCGGACAGAACTGTTTCGTTCTTTGTGGACTCTTAGATAGAAAGATAGATAGATAGGTAGGTAGATAGGTAGGTAGATAGGTAGGTAGATAGGTAGGTAGGTAGGTAGATAGACAGCCAGACAGACAGACAGACAGACAGACAAACAGACAGACAGACAGACAGACAGACAGACAGACAGACAGACAGACAGACAGACAGACAGACAGATAGATAGATAAACAGATAGATCAGGCTCGGCCTCATTTCCTCTGTGCTGCGCTGATGAGTCCACAAGGACGAAACAGTTCTGTCCGCAGATTGAGTAGATAGATAGATAGATAGATGTGTACGTGTGTGTGCGTGTGGTGTGTGTGTATGTCGTGTGTGTCGTGTGTGTATGTGTGTGTTTGTGTGTGTGTGTGTGTGTCTATGTGTGTGCGTGTGCATGTGTGTGTGTGTGTGTGTGTGTGTGTGTGTGTGTGTGTGTGTGTGTGTGTGTGTGAGAGAGAGAGAAAAAAAGAGCGAGAGAGAGAGCGCACGCAGGGGTGTAGCAAATCCTCTCAGCCTGATGTGGCCAGTACAGACAAGCCATGCTAATGACAACTATTTGCACCATTTTGCTTTCTATAATACCATAGCAGGGTTGGTTGACTGAAACGTGGTCAGGCCAAAGTCTATGCACCTGCCCTATGGCCGTACACCCCTCGAAGGGGTGTGTGTGTGGGGGGAGGGGAGGGCTGGCAATGTGTATTTCCATACCTGAGCCACCTCAACAGCCAGATTTCCTGGACCGGAGTCACCGGGATCTTCACTTTCTCCACCTGACTCGGCGCTCACCAGACCGTTGGCTGGGGCTGCTGTCAATGGAAAAAAGAAAGCAAAACACAGGATAGAAAACAGGAAGATCATTAATCCGATATGCAGAAGGGAGCGACAATGCAATGCCCCGGCGATGTCTTGGCCTCAAAGCACATGCAGCGGCGAAGCCAAAAATCTGTTTATGCTTCAAATTGTCCACATAAAAAACTTGAGCACAATCTGCTGCATAATGTATGCACCGCCAATATAATTATTGTACAAGGATTCCCTGCGAGCTTCAAACATAAATGACAAACCATGTTCTGCTGGGATACGATACAACGGACTGTAAAGGGACCTTTTAAAGCTTCAAGCTGACAGACATACCCGTATCTCCATCAGGGACAGCCATGACCGCTTGCGAATTATCTGCGCCATCCTTTTTCTTCTTCTTTTTCTTTTTCTTGCGCCTCCGCGGTGCTCGTCCTGCACACCCTGTGCTCCGACTGCTGTCTCCGGTTCCCAATTCAATTGTCATGCCAGTGGCCTTGAGCGAGTTCACTACTGACGAGGGAAGAACGGGTTCAGTCACTGTCGCTCCTTGAATACCTGGAAAAAATACGGTTTCAGGCAGCACAAGTACACTAATAGACATGCAAGCAAGCAATGAGATAGCTGGCCACGCTAGTGCATCGCCAAGCTAAGCTAAGCACTCGGAAACGCCAGGCAGCACATAATGGTAGTAACAGATCCTTGTTTAAAATCACAACTGGGGGTCCGTGGGTTGTCAACAGAGCAGGCCATAGGGCAGGTCAGGTGGCTCACAAAAATAATGAGAAACACGTCTTTCGATTGCTCGAGAATGGCACTGGATGTGTTCTCACCTTCCGTGCCGTGTCCCCTGACACCGGAATAGCCGACACTTTCCGAGCTATGGCTGGGATGAGCAACGGTGACGGCGGGCTGGGTGCGGTCAGGGTCCTTAGCACCACAGGTCATGTCCAGCAGTGTCTGAAATAGCACCAATAAAAGGCAGCATGGCATATTGAAAATAGACCCCTCGTAAACTCGCTGGAGAAAGGCACCCAGTAACTGGCAACATGAGCTACATATAAGCATCAGTTGCCCTTGCTCCTAGTCCACTGCTTATGAGCAGAGAATGTGAATCCATACTCCTACTTTGATAATATGCCATGTACAATAGCAATGTTTTTCTCACTATATTGCTAAAAGCAATACGGCGAATTTAGTACCTCACCACAGTGGCTAGCCTGCGAAAGCGAAGTCACTGGAGGATCAGTAGCTGCTCAAATATACGAAAACTAAAATGCAACTTCTCAAGCATTGATCCCGTTCGTTTTTAGCTGTGGCTGACAACACTGTAACTGACATTATGCATACCTGGATTGCATCACTGCAGTATGTCCTATATATAGGCAGGCCCTCAGCTCCCTCCTCCCTCTCTCTCTCTCTCTCTCTCTCTCTCTCTCTCTCTCTCTCTCTCTCTCTCTCTCTCTCTCTCTCTCTCTCTCTCTCTCTCTCTCTCTCTCTCTCTCTCTCTCTCTGCTCTCTCTGCTCTCTCTCTCTCTCTCTCTCTCTCTCTCTCTCTCTCTCTCTCTCTCTCTCTCTCTCTCTCTCTCTCTCTCTCTCTCTCTCTCTCTCTCTCTCTCTCTCTCTCTCTCTCTCTCTCTCTCTCTTTCTCTCTCTCTCCAACAACTAACATCCATATTGGCACCAAGTCACAAGAATTGCTCTCAAAATTGAACTACGCGCACACAGCGACATGCCAACAGATATACAGACATACACAGCCACACACCTTGCAGTGGTTGACCACCGTGGTGCCGTGGAGGTCACCTGCCGTCTTGGACAGCGGCCATAACAACGCCAGTGCTTGCGCACAAGCTGTGCACAGCTGCAGGTGTACAGCGAAAGGGCAAGGGACATGAAGAAATGAGGAAATGCATCAGTGCAAATTCGAGATACATAGCAGTGCAATTGGCCAGTCTCAACAATAAATGACAATATACTGGCTGAAGAGTACTATACAGTAGGTATCGGTTATAGCGTGGGTGTTTGAAAAACGACTTTCTATTCTTATTTCCGATCTTTCTTACACACGATAAATCAAGTGTGACGTATCATATGCATGTGTGCAGAGGTGGGAAGATCATCGTACATGCAACGTAGTGCCGCTGTGCATGCGGCTGGTCAAAGTCCCATAAATGCGTACCATGTAGCTATGCAACAAAAATTATATGAGTTACATGACCACGACAGTTGAATCTGCAGCACTACGACGCAACGCGAGTCACATCAGAACTGTATCGGGCAGATGTTATTACTACAGGCGATACACGTTGTACTAATCTGGCATGTTTCGCTACACAAGTCCATTCTTAGGACCGATATATTCTACTGTATGATAAAATTGCTTGTAAGAATAAATGTGCACTTGAAACGCATGTTATGATTATGAAAACATGAGAGTTCATTCTTGTAGGCAGTATATTCTTTTACACGACCACGCTATAACCGATACGCACTGTACGTAAATTAGATGTGAACAAAACTGATTTTCCCTTTCACCTCTCTTAACCTATTAACAAAAGCATTTTCCTGACATATGCATGGCAATGGATTGTGGAAAACTCTACAAAAACATGGTTTTCAGAGCCAAACCCGGTCAAAACCCGGCCAGAGACAGTCCAGTGGTTTGTCCACAGAGCCTACTCACTTTCATCACTTCGGGATTCGCCGGCATGTTGCCAGCTGACGCCTGCAGGCATTGCAGCACAGTTGAGATGGCCCTGCTCACTGCAGCCTCGTCCAAAACCGGCTTCACACAGCTTGCACTCCTAATAGCAACGCACAAACACAAACATTTCAAAACTAGTTTCAACGGGGGCGTTTAAAATTCGAACGCACAAAAAAAACCGACTGGTCTATGTTCCAAACACGCTTGTACAACGTGAATAGTTCCCCATGACAGTCATAAACACATGAAACACGCATAGCAAGCTTTGCCAGGTCTGTATTTTTCTGTTTTCACCCTGATGGTGGGCCATGCCCGAAAATTTGGTGAACAGTTCAAACGACGTATGCAGCAGCAAAGAGACCGTGTTTAGAGTATTTGAGTTGAGGTGCCCCTCAGGTCTATATTAAACCAAAAAGGGCACGGCAGTGTTCAGATTCTACTTCTACAACAAATAGTCAGGCGTCGGAGTGCTATCCGCAGCTTACTTGTTTGCAAGAAGGCCCAGACAGAGCAGGGCCGAGGAGCAGGCATCAATGTTCTCCTGATTGGCAATGGCCTTGTACAGTAGACCGCCTAATGCAGCAGTGCCTTGCCCCGCAAGAATTGCAACATACTGGGAACATATGGAAACCAAATAGTAAAACACATTGAAGCTATAGCTGAGAGCACACAAAGAGTAAAGATAAAGTTACATGTAAAGGAACACACAGTAAAACAAATTCAAACAATACAGTGCATGCATACGTCTCAAAGCATGGCTTTTGTGTGCCACACAATCAATCAATCAATCACACGCACACACACACGCACACAAGTGCGGGCGTGCACGCATGCATGCAGGCACGCACGCACATGTACACGCACACATACACACACACACACACACACACACACACACACACACACGCACACACACACACACACACCTCAGACCTCAGACATGCCCATCGCGGAAGCGATGATAGCGAACAGCTACGTTAGACATCGCAACTTGTGCTGGGATTACATTACACCATTCAACAGCTTGCAAGGCTGATGAATTGACCGCCACTATTTTTAGCCTGATATCCACCACACAGCTGATTGAAGTGACTTCTTCTGACACACACACAAGCACACACACACACAAGCATGCACGCACACACACACACAAGCACGCACACGCACACGCACACACACACACACACACACACACACACACACACACACACACAACTGGGCAGGTGTTGTGCGTTGCAAATCAACAGAATTGCGGCATACATGTAGTAACATTTGTCATAGCGCGGTTCTGGCCATTTTGGTGCCACCTTCACTTCGTCAACTTAAAATTTGTCACAGGCACATGAAGTGCAGAGCAGCATGGAAAAGCAACAGTGGTTTTATATCATTGTTTATACCATGGTACGGTACGGAGGGCCTGTTTTCAGCCAATCAGCGCTCGTCTAGCCATGGTTATATTGGCCAGTATAAATCCCGCGCGGGATTTATATCGAATATAAATCCCGGTGCACGGTACGTACGCTAGGGCACTGCCACCGTACATGTTCACTGCCGGAAAGGCAGTGAACTTGTACGGCGGCAGTACTCCAGCGCACGGACCATTCACAACAGACACCACATGCACGTGCACACTCCACACAGAACGCGCACACTGACGAGGAAGAGTACACAATGCGTCAATGGAAAAGAAGAATGACCTGGAATTCGTCTACAGAGTATTCTATTATTCTGAATCTGAGGATAAAGAACGTCGAATAACCACGAAGTATCCCAAATGGGTCAGCAATGTACATTGTACTTCGAAGACTTGTAGATCATCAACAGACTGTCTCCTTTGTAACTAAGTTTATAATACAGAGTGTACTTCAACCCGATTGGAAAATGCTAGATTGGATTGAAATGTGATACAGTGATACAAAACAGTGTATGCAAATGCATATACCGGTACTTGCAAGTACATGTAGTAAGCAAAACTGATTACAAGATGCCGCATGTGGAAATCAGCACTGTACCATAATTATAGTAACACTTACTCCCAAAGAGTCCAGGCTGTAATCTAACTACATATTGACGGTAGTTTGAATCAACGACAAACTCCAGCACCCCAGCAATTCAGTTGACATCCGCACCGCTCACGAGACAAGATCATGAAGATGCTACAATATGCACTGGAACTGAAAGGAAATCTTATGCCAAACATCCACGGAGGAATCTCCTTCTGATGTTGCTCAACCATTCTTTCAATTGACAACTGATAACCATCAGAAGATGTTCATGTACTGCATGATGTAGGAGATCCCCAAATAGGTTCGTTGTTCTGGAAATGCGTAGGGGTACCTGGCATAAGTAGGATATGACCCTCGTAGTCGGGTTATACCGTACCCTCATATAAATCCCCCCTGCTATCGCAGTCGGGATTTATATTCAACCGGTATAACCCTCTGACTCGGGTTATATCCTCTACCCATATGGTACCTGGGTGACACACTGATTCGTTACCTTGGCACTGAGCAAGTGGTTGTGCCGCACAAGAACGGCGGACAGCGCCTTCAAACCGTCGGCAACCGTCCACTCGGTCTCAACGGCAGACAGTGTGAACGCCATCACATCACCAAAGCCGGCGCGTGACAAGACCATCTGTGAAGAGGGGACCAAGGAAACAGAACAACGCAATATAGCGGCAATGCTGAGCTGTACAGAGTGGCATGTGTGCACTGCAACAACTCTCCATGATGCAATTATTTGCGAAGAATAGGACGAGCATATAGCACGTGTCGAAACAGCTGAAGTTGTTACCTACTACATTGGCATTCGCATTCTTAAACACACAAATACACACACACACACAGACAACCCACATGCATGTGCATGCATGCACACATAGACACACACACACAGACACAGACACACACACAACACACGTGCGTGCGTGCGTGCACACACACACACACACACACACACAGTCCTCCACATGGACCGGACCTGGATTTCAAACCTGCACTCAAGATGTACTGAAGCAGCGCATTGTAGATATACATGTACGCACTGGCCTGGGGTCTGCATGTACATATACATGTACTGTACAGTGTACCATGGTGTACGTATGCAAGCCAATGCAATGCACTTAGCACTTCAACGGGATACTAGTAATGGGAAGGGAACAGTAAGTCAATTACCCCACAAAGAGACTCACTCCCACTGTATTAATACATGTATGTCCATAGCCACAACAACAGCCATCCACACCATGAGAGCCTGCTCATGCACGCACTAGGCAACGCCGACGATACACAACACATGTATTCTCTTGAGCAATGCCACTGAGCGCACACAGCACTCTGCTACTCACCATGTGTTTGCTGAGAGCGTAGTGAATGAGCTGGGCAGTCTTACTTAGTAGCACCACATACGCCGGCGTCACTAGCCGAATGCATGTCACCAGCACATCTTCAATCTCCTGATAGATACATACCAGTAATGTTAGATCAGGTTATCAATTAGATCGATACATGAATAGACAGACAAACAGAGAGACAGACAGACAGACAGACAGATCGGAGGGAGTGAGAGAGAGGGAGAGGGAGGGAGAGAGACAAACATAGAAAGAAATTGATGCACCAGCAGATGACCGGGTACTAGCATCATGGCAGCATGTCCTTGCCTAGACTCGTGCATGATTTTCGGGATTCACTGATCTCAATTCAATCGCTACTTCAAAATGTGTGTATTCAATGACGTTATGTTCATGCCGTCTGTGTTTTGCGACCAACCCATGGTGCACAGCAAACCAGTCTTTATAGACAGGTATCAATTCTCTACAAGTCAAAACGTGTTGTCAGTCGTATTCTCCGATGCCTTGGAACACGCTCTCAGGTGCTGCATCTGCCTGGTTACGGCAAACAACTCTAGTCTCCTATTTGCCAAGCCAAACGTTGCACCGCTGAAGCAGTGGTCTCTCGCCCGGCTAGAGTTGCAAGCGTGTATGCTGGACAGCGATCCTCTGCAGTTTGTTGCAGCTGAAGCACGTGCGTGGACAGACAGCTTGAAAGCGTTGTACTGGATCCTAGGCCAGCCACACCGGTGGAAGCTACTCAGTCTCCGCCAGACATCCAGTCATTACCGAAGTTGCCACCGCCGCCAAAGGTAACCGTACCTTCACTGTGAAGCCCAGGCAACGGTTGAACTTGTAACACCTGCACTAGGTTTTGGTGGGGAGGATGTCGCTGACCTGCACATTGATTATTTGTTTCGACATGTATGTATTTGTACCTTTTCAGCGCTACACAGTTTGTACGAGTGCTTGTAGATTTATGCAGTGCGTGTCTATAGCTTTATTCGAATGCGTGCGTATTGCGCAGTTGTCCCTTGTAGTACGTGATGCGTAGTGCGTGTTAGCATACACGTGGGAATGCTATGCACGTTTCATGCGACCTACTTTCCTTGATTCTGTACTTTCTTTTAATGCACGTGTCGCTGGCATACGCGATACTAGCCGGGTTGGTGTATTGGCTTTGAAGCATGTGGTTCTTCTTTTTTGTTCTTTGGTTGCTCCTCGCGTTGCTTTGGATTGGAGACAAAGATGGCTTTCCATTTCAGTAATATAACATGAATGTAACTATAACTAATAGTACAGTCGTCCCTCTCTAATCCGGCACCTTTTGCTACGGCGTTTTCTGCTGGATTAACGAGGGTGCTGGATTAAGAAATCCTGCCCTCTGACCCGGCCCTACCCAATTGCATGCATGTATCATATGTACGTCAAAACGCAGGGTTTTCCGTGTCGACCCAAGTATTTGGTGCACGGCTTTATATTCTCAGTGATTCGCAGTGATAAAGTGATAAAGTAAAACAGAGAACATGTTCACATGTACTCTTGCACACACACGCACACACACACACACACACACACACACACACACACACCTGAAAATTGGCAGGACACTACTCCTTGCTAAAATAAGAAAGTATGGTTGACTGCCGTTGTCTCCTATTGACCAGACTGGCCTAGCCTGGCCTGGCAAGGAGTGCACCTGTACGGTACGCGATTTACGACTGCCGGATTATGAAATCAAACTACGTGCAGTTTGAGCGATTCGTTTCAAAAAGTCACTGCCGGAGGCGGAATTCAAGTGCCGGATTAAGATGTAGGAATAGAACGAAAAAAATCGGTTTCGTCAGAAAGTGCGCCAGTTGGCAAGGGTTCCGGATAAACAAGTGCCGGATTAGAGAGGGACGACTGTATTCTGTTGAGTCAGTGTTGGGATCCCAACACCAATCCGTGCTGAACCATGGCTTAGTCCCGGAATGACCGGTCTCTAACCGCAGGTGGTCTTTTACAGTATAAGTGTTATTGCATTGGTCTGGAAGTAGATAAAGAGTTGTATGGTGGAGGTGGGATTGATTTATTGGTCTGAAAGTAGTTTTTTGTTTTGTTTGTAACTGGTGCATTGCAATTTGCTGATGGAAGAGTGTTGAACAGCCATGAGATCAAGTGATCGCCAAGAAAGCAAAACAATTTGAAGCTGCAACTGATGCATCCTAATGAAACTTAGAGAGAAACGGCCACCTATACATACCTCCGCAGAAGGTGGCTGTGCGTAGGAGTGATATTTGCATTTCAGTAGTGCATCCAGCTGCTCATTCAGCTCATATCGACAGTCTGCACCGGGCCGCATGCATTTCACAGCACGCAGGCATTCGGAAAACTGCTGCTGTTGGTGTGCCATGCTTCCTTTGCGCCTCAAACAACAACACAATTACTATACTAGTACTACAAGCTGAGACTAGCAAGTCTATCTACAAAAAAAATAACATTGGATGTGGCATGTGCTGATAAATGCCTGGCCACTGGCACTTACTAATGAGACACAGAAAGTATTACGGTAGAAACCTTTGCCAGCAAAGCAAAATCACAGCAAGTGCTTTCTACAAGATCAGAATGTATGTCTGCTTCTGATCTGGTGTGTTTCAATCAGTTTGAAAATACTAGTATCTAATCTGCAAACACCAAAAATACTAAAAAAAAATGCTCTATGCTGCATGTACATTTGAAAAGTCACATGCACGCCTTACACAAAAGTTACGTCATTCAATCTGAAGGTATGACATGATTGATCCACGCATGTACATAGTCATTGTACACGCGTGCACGAAGATTTTTCGCACAAAAACACTGAAAAAAGGTTTGGCACTGTGATGATGCACGATCATCATGCACGATGGATTGTGTAGCTCTAGCTCTGGTGAGTGTTGTACCATGTAACTGTTGGTAGCTGAACACAGGACAGTCATGCTATTAGTACTCCCACTTCGAACAACACACATTTTGCCTTCCCAGCGTTTCATCTTGAAAATGACCAGCAGCTTCAAGTATTAGTTGAAGTCCTACAAAGACGGTTGGAAGAACTGAGGAGAACATCCCTTTCTAGAAAGAGACGCGGGCCTCGATCCCAATGGGCTTATCAACTGTCGGGTTCTGGTGACGCTGGGTGACGTATTCACGATGGCGGAGGGCCGCATGAAACAATTCAAACACAAAGGAAAGGATGATGCTGTGAGTGTTCTTTGGGCGTAGATTACTGCTGTTGAAAGGTTTGTTCGGAACTTGTTTTCTCCAAAGCTCTCCTACATGTCCTTCTTCTTTGACATTTCTGCTTCTTGGTTTAGGAGCTACGTAGGAAGAGAACTGAGGAAAGAGTGGAGTTGCGAAAGGTAACCAATTTCGTTGATTTTTCATTATCAGTACACTGACTCTGTTTTGTTGGAGTTTGAATACTAGGACTACCTGATTGTACGTCTCTGCTCAGTGCATGTATGTAAGCCTGCGTACGGTTATGTTCATGTCGTTTGGCAGACGAAACGCAGCGATGAACTAGCAAAGAGAAGGCACGTTCCCGAGGTGGAAGCGGACGAAGCAGATGATTTTCAACAAAGTGATGAATTGGTATGATAAATCTGCAGAAGTTCTTGCATGTGATTGTTGTTAGAATCTGAACCCAACTTTCATTTTAGATCTTGCGATCCTTGCGGGTACATTCACCACATACAGGTACATCTATAAGGGGGTGGGTGCACATTGAAGTGGGTAGCCGGTACCATACAAGGTTGTGTAGAAAGAACGCAAGTTAGCAAGAGTGCATAACCGGCAGAGAGTGCTAACTTCAGGGAACCGTAGCATCGGGGGAGACGACACTGGCAAGTGGAACATGATACGCTGTGGGGTTCTCCCCCAGGCTACCGCAGTCGTCCTTTGCAGCAGGGCCGATTTACTCACGCTCGCATGATGACATCATAGTTCCGGTCACTGTTTGAGGTCAGCGCCTCAGCGGGTCATTGCGGCAACCATGAGCTGCATAGACCACGCGTGCGCGGGTCATGTGGAACTTCTGAATCCAGGATTGCAATGCACATCATTTTGGGTACTACGACCTTGTGTCGCTTTCCTAGATGCTATGGTCTAGCTCTGACTACCAAATAACCAAGTGTTGTTCTCTTGAAAAAATGACTTACACTATCAGCGCAGTGACTATCTGAAAGTAGAATCACCCTGGCTTCACACAGTTCACTGAGAACCGGAACACTGAGCTTATAAGTTATAACCATGCAGGCTTTGCTGGAGAAAAACTGCCAGAAAAGCCAATAGTTATCAGTTCGCTTTCCAGCACGTTCAACCTCCTTCTGCTCCTCCGGTGCATGACGCCGATGGACATGTAAGTCAAGCACATGTACAACCTGGTACAGTAGAGATAAGAACATAGCCATTTGGTCTGGGGATTACCCTCGTGGGGGGGGGGGGGGGTGTCTCTTGGCGACGGCTGAATGTGAAGGGCTTGCTCGCGTCTTTGAATAGAAAAGAAGTAACTCATGCTTGGCCATTTCGCTAGGGTCATCTCCTGGTCTCCGTCTTCCTTCCACTCTATGCTCTGATAATCTTATTGCATGTTTGTTTGGTGTATATCTTTTCTCTGGGTCTGGTTTGTTTCAGCCAATTTCTTCTTCTTTCATGTCCACTGCAACACCGGACACTATATTGGCTGGCGTGTCAAAAGGAATCGTCAGCAGTGACTTCAGTACACAGCTGAGTGCTGTTGTTGCTATACGGTGAGTGTTAACGGTTGTGTGTGTGTGTGTGTGTGTGTGTGTGTGTGTGTGTGTGTGTGTGTGTGTGTGTGTGTGTGTGTGTGTGTGTGTGTGTGTGTGTGTGTGTGTGTGTGAAGGGTGCCAGGCAATGTATGAAGTGCATGCGGTGGTTGAGGAGCGCTGGAGCACTGGCTGTGCATCGCTGTCCTGTGTCCACGGATGTCCCCACTGTATCTATTCGCCATGAATCTGACTCTTTTCGATGTGATGTTTGTCGCCGCTCTTTCCGCTCTCGTTCTGGTTTGAGCCGTCATCACTGTAACCGTGCGAAACGGATGTCACGTGCAGCCAGGAACAACTGCCGTCATGAATGCGAGCATTGCGAAAGACGGTTCTCAAGGCCACAGGACTTGCAACGCCATGCCAAATATTGTTGACTTTGCGATTTCTCTCTCTTCTCTTCTCTCTTCTTGTCGTTGTCTCCCGTTTCTGGGAGCGGCGTGGCCCGATAGGGTAGCTGTACATAGTAGTAGTAGTAGTGTGTGTGTGTGTGTGTGTGTGTGTGTGTGTGTGTGTGTGTGTGTGTGTGTGTGTGTGTGTGTGTGTGTGTGTGTGTGTGACGTGCATACTGTCCACCTGCACTGCGGTGAGTGCGCCACCGTATATGTGGACTATTTTGCTTGTGTTACAGTGCTCTGCCAGAATAACTGAGAAAATCCATTCTCTTTCTTTGCTATGCGTGCCAGACTGAGAACGTGAGCTGTGTTTTGTGGCATGTTTTCTATGCTGTCCCCCACCAGGCGTTTACTAAGCACTCACAACCGTACGTCCACCTATGAAGAAGTGCTTCGGTAAGACCCGGGTGTTCGTAGGGATTGATGTGTTAGCACCGTGTACTCACTGTGTACACACTGTACCAGTGTGCATGTGTGTGTGTGGGGGGGGGGGGATTTGTCAGCATAGTGCATTACCTACCAGTGTTGTCATGCCATTGCTTTCTCTCCAGCATGCTCATGAGGTTGGATTTGACTGGGCTTGATTTCCACCTACAGTCCATTCATAAAAAGATGGGTCCTGGCTCTGGCGAGCTCCCGTATTTGGCGATTTTTCGTGATTTCATCGTACACAGTGCAGTGCTGCGAACTTTGAAATTTGAAAAAGGGTCCAAAAAGGGTGCCTGAACTGGGGTTCGAACCGCAGAATGCACTGTTGCAGGCGGGGTCAAACGGCCTGGATTTTGATGGTTTTTTCCCAATTCAGTGCTTTTGGGGCAAAACCTGGCCGAAATCCTATTCTTGCTATGGCTTGCTTTTTGGACAAAAAAACTTCAGAAACATAATTGGAAGAGGATTCCATATGGGATTGCAAAAAAAAATTCTAAAAAAACTCAACGTTTGACCCATTTATGGCCAAAAGCTAGAAGTTCATTTTTTTCTGAATGGACTGTAGTGCCCGTATATTTCGCAGCCGAGGTCGTCAGTGGTGTATTCGTAGCATATGTTTTTTTTCCCCCGGTGGTGTTATGTGTAAAGCCTGCCGGTGTTCATGTGTGTTGATGTTAGCAGTAGGGTTTGACCAAGCCCAAGGTAAATCAATGTACACTGTATACTGATAATATACATACTGATACTGATGATGCCCTCTTGGGCCAAGATTTGGAAACACTGAAGGGTTTTTGTCTAGAGAAGGACTTAGTGCGGCTGTGTGTGCTGGGAGTTACTACCGTACTTCCCCACATATAAGCCCATGGGCTTATAAGTGAAAATTTGCTACAAAAAAGATTTTTTGCTGTGTGAACATGTTCGGGTAGAAGCCCATGTGCTTATATGTGCATTAAAGATTTGTCTGTGTCCTAAACAACGGTGTTATCACAATGCTTAGCAGTATATTCAGCTCCCGGATGCTTCGCCAATAGTGTTCACATATAAGCACATGCGCTTATAATTGGGGGGGGGGGGGGGGGGGGGTGCGCTTATATGTGCGGAAGTACGGTATGATCATTATACTGATAGTCTTGTTGGAATGGTTGGACCACTTGAACTGTCCATAACTTGTTCCATGCTACATTGTGTGCCTGCTCACAGCTATGGATACCTGCCCATACTGGTCCAGCTACTCGAACGAAGTGACCAGTAAGAGATGGTGTGTGTATGCGTTAACTAGCCGTTAAGTGACGAGCTTGCTTGGTCTCTTTTGACTGGGTGTCTGATTGTGCTTCTGTGTGTGTATGCTCTTTCACTGCGATAGCACATTGTTCGCAATGTGCGTACTGTAGTGGTTGTGTGTATGGGTACGTGTATATCGGCATGAACACGATTTAGGTTTGAGTGGCATGACCAAGCCAATGGCCTATACATTGTAAATTCTTCCCCTGTGTTTAGGCTTGTGCCGCAAGTTCTGCGATATGGTGGATTGCATACATTAGCTCTGAGATTGTGATGGGTTGTGAGTGGTGTGGAGTGCCTGCTTGCAGAGACATAGCTGAAGCATGTTGACATCTGCTTCTCTAGCTTGCATACAACAGTGCTCGTGGTGCATGTCAAGCTCAAGCAATCACACTTGACATGCTGTGCCAATGGGCTAGCTACATCCTGTGTGCCCATCCGTTATTGATGTGCCACTGTTCACCCTTCTCTCCCATCCCTTAGGCCAATGCTCCAATATGAAGCAGCGTGGTGCCTTACCAATATTGCATCTGGCACGTCAGAACAGACCATGGCCATTGTAAACAACGGTACGTACTTTCTCTTGCACTCTGCAGATGGCTTGAGAGGTGTTGTTTTCTTGTAATATTGCTGCAGTGCACATGGTCTGTATGAAACACAGCACTGAAGTACTCGAAAGACGGGATTCTCCATTCCTGTAATGAAGTGTGAATCTTAGGTCCTTGTGGCTGTAGAAGTCTGCTCCGATTGTACCGAAAGTGTTGGCTTTTCTGCATCATAATTAATGCCAATTTGTTCCATTGTTTGGTGGGATGTTGTGTGTGGTATCCAGGTGCTATTGTTCCTCTGATAACTTTGATTGATGCAACGCCTCACCTCAGTACTCAAGCTCTCTGGACTCTCGGCAACATTGCCGGTAAGCGTGTGTGCGTGTGTGTTGTTGCCTTTCTTTTGATACTTCCAGTACCCTGCTGGCTCATAATCTAGCCAGATTGTGTTGTGTAGAGGAAGTGGCTATTCCGAAAGCACAGTGATAGGCCGAGGGGTTTTTCTAGAAAGAAGAGAAGAGTAGTGTGATTGGTGTACACTTGTGTGTGCATGTTTTCATGGTGTATTTTGTATGTGTTTGCTGTGCGTACTTATTTTCTATCACGAAGGTGACAGCACCGTGCTACGCGATCATGTCATCAAAAGCGGCATCCTCGACCCGCTCATCAAGTGCATCTACTCCGAGCCTCCTATTTCTGTAGGTTTTAGTTCTTGTAGTTTATGACGTGGGGTACTCCAGATGCTCGGCTTCTTTTATCGTTTCAATCTTATGGGATTTCGTCTTCTTTTAGCGTATAAGGTGTTACATGTGACAGCTTGTCACAAAGGCAGAGGACGCTTAGTAAGGGACAGTGTTCCTGACTGCAACCCAAATCGGTTGTACAACTTGAGGTACAGTACGCTATGTAGTGCATGCAAAGATTGAGCCGCCCCTCAATGCCCTAACGGTTTGTGTTACACTCTGGTACTGAATCTCGCTGTTGAGAACAAACTGATAATACTGTGAACCACGAAACTCTGAAAACGCAAGCAAACTCTGAACTGCGAAACAACAATTACAAGCAGCGTGCGCAAACTCGCGACTGACTCTAACCCTCGTAGATCTAACTCTACAACTCTAAATCTAAGTAACTCTAACAAACAAACTCTAAATCTCTAAAACTCTAACAAATAAAGCACGGAACATGTGAATATAAAGAAGCTGCTTGCAAGCAGCGCCAGCCAAAGTGAAGCGATGCAAAGAGACACGGAGAGCAGGAAAGCGCTCCGAAGGAGACGCAAAGGAAACATGAGCGCTCGCAACAGCTCCGGGTCACGGAGGAAGGGCAGTGCAGTGACAGGTGCGGGAATAACAAAGAGTGCGGTAGCCGTGACAAATGCATTGATTAATTGGTGAATGACTGAAAACTGACCCACCGTACTGGAGCCAGCGGCAAAGGGTATCAATGCACACTGGATTTAATCATGCGGTCATGCGTGACATACTACACACTGTGTAAGGCTACCGATTCATGCAAGTACAAATGCACTACTGCAGAGATGGAGTATTCCAGCACAGTTTGTATGGTCGCACAGACCAAGACTCTATCGACCAATTTCTGATGGTAGTCAAGAGTGCTGTCCCTCACATTGCGTCCTCCGCCTTGTGACAAGTTGTTCTAGGTCATGCTTGGTAAACTAAAAAGCATGGCATACATCAACCATACACTGTACTCTACCAGCACACACCTTTCGTTGTGAATAGTGTTTGTCCAGCTCCGAGTATAGGCGGTTTGTCGAAAACACCTTTAAAGACTCTAGAGACCGGGAAGGTCTTTGTTAGTCTGGCATTTAGTCCAAACATTCTTTGGGTGTAGTCAGCTGTTTATCTCTGCTTGTGCCATCTAGGGTTGTGGCTTGTTCATTCCGTGGAAACCATTAGATTTTGTAATTTGTTTTACTGATAATGATGGTTGTGTGGTTTTGATCCCAGCTGCGGCACTTGCGCCTGGTCTCGTGGGTCATGTCCAATCTGTGTCGCTACAATCAACCGTCTCCGCCACTTGAAGCTGTGCTCAATGTGAGTTTACTCAACGAATATCTTTCCTTTTCTCATAGTATGTTTGGGGTCCAGTGTACTTGCCTGTGCTTAGATTGGGTGGTAACGGACTAGTTTTGCAGGATGTGTCTGTGTAGCATGATGCCCTGCACATTATTCGTCGTTGAGCGTACTAAGCGTCCCGAAGTTTAATAATCTTGTGGAGCAGGATTCTTTTGATCTGGAATGGGTAGTGGACTGCTGATTCCTCCATTGATCTGAACTTGGTTGGGAGGTTCCACACTGTGGGAAACCTATGTGTATTTGTCTATTTTGTTGTATTTGTTCTCCGCTCAGCTGCTCCCGCTAATGAAAGTATTGATTTGCCATGAAGACGTTGAGGTATGTGCGCCCACACACACTCTTCTTATACATGTACGGTAATGGCTTGCAAGGTATATGTAATACCATAATGGCTTACATCATGTATAAGCTACCGGTACATGTACACGTAGAGTACTGGTTTGTGAAATACGACCTCATGAATAAACTAGCTCAGTGGCTCTGGTGCACAAATAGTCTCTGTGGTGCTTGGACACTATGCCCAGCGTATTTTGTTGACAAGCTCGAATTTCACTGGCCAGTAGTTATGTAGCATGCTAGGGCATAACTAGGTGTAGCTTGTGGTACTGCTTCTGTTCTTGATATATAATTCTGCAGCTCTCTGTAAAGAGATGATGTTCATGCCGACCGCTGTTCTGTTCGTGGCATGCTTCTCTCTGACAACCAAGGTTGCTGAAGTCAGGGAGGGAATTGGAGAAACTGGGTTCAAAAACCCTACCGCGGTTTTCTGGCTGGCCTTGACTTCTTTAGCCCATTATGGTTGTTCTTTGACTCATGTACGATAGGTAGCGGAATCTATTCCCGGCCTTGTGTACTATTGATTTTCAAAATGGTTTTTCTGTGGCACGATGATGTCTTTCTAATCCGACTCCGAGCCGGTGCAGGCATAATGACCAGCACATGTGTGGACATGATTAGACTGAGCTGCCACAGTTTTTTTCTCGTGCTTTTGTTTTCCCCTATTTGATATCATGACTGCCAACTCGTGCGTACCTGCATGGTGTTGAGTATTCCATTGACAAACTGTGTGTGTGTGTGTGTGTGTGTGTGTCTGTGTGTGTGTGTCTGTGTGTGTGTGTGTGTGTGTGTGTGTGTGTGTGTGTGTGTGTGTGTGTGTGTGTGTGCTGGTGTGCTGGTGTGCTGGTGTGCTGGTGTGCTGGTGTCTTTCTGCAGGTGTGTAAGGATGTGTGCTGGTCGCTGTCCTTCCTCTCAGACGGCAATGGGGACGACTCGCTCGTCAAGGTAAGAAAAGTGTGTTGTCTCTTCTCTGTCTAGCCCAGGATGACCAGCAATTGTTGTGGCTTTTGTTGCTTTAGGGGTCGTCGCAAAAGTTTTCTGTCGTCCCTGAAACGAACATCGTTCATTTCGTACTCGGACCCCCTCCCCTCCCTCTGAAACGAACACAGCTTGCTATGCTGGACGACGAAAATCGCATGCATGTACATGTCATATGTACAGTGTCGGTCGACTTGCGATTTTGGCTCGCACCCCCTCCCCCCCAAATGAATCATGTTCGTTTCAGGGACGACAAAAAACTTTTGCGACGACCCCTTAGTTTTCGGTTTTCTATACGTCCTCACCACCCTCTTCCAGTGGCCTCTGGGTACACCAATCAATGAAAAGGAATAGTCATCCGAATTTTCGAGGGCTATTATAATGGTTGCTTTACACAGCATGATGATATACATTACATTGCATGTACAGGGTTCTAGCCAGGTCAAAATAGTGGGGGGGGGGGGGGGCAGGGAAAACTGTTACCCCGTAACCCATTTTTCCATTATCAAAATAAATGTCTTGCAGTGCGCCCCCCCCCCCCCTTTGGCTAAAACCCTGATGTATCTTGTTTCTGTAGGCAGTCATTGCAAGTGGTATTGTGCAGCACCTGGTACAAATGCTTGGCAAGGAGTCGTCTGCTATTCTTGTGCCTGCACTGCGAGCTGTCGGCAACCTTGCAACTGGTACCGAGACACAGACTCAGGTACGGAATGGTGGTTACTTTGCCAGATGGTGTATGGATGTGTGGGCGTGTGCTTGCTCGTGGTAGCACACGTTTCTTCTTTTTGTCAAGGCTTAAACGGACAATTATAACGGAAAGTCTGTTATCCGACCGCTAGCCTTAGGCTGTTATTAAACCATCACATTTGTGGTTATAGACGACATGCACATGTGTAATGTTACTTTATGTAGCAGTCCATGGTGTAAACTGTAAAGCACTAATGTTTACGTCACGTGCAGGAAAGCATGTCACTCACACTCGTAGGCACCTGTTTACTATGTAGGCTACATGTAATTTCTTTTCATTCGTTGGCAGAAGCTTTTGATTTGGAAAAGGACATCTCAAGTGCTTCTAAGTTTCATCAAACAAACTGCCGTAAAGGAATTATCTTCAGGACAGACCATTGTGATGATCCCAATGTCATGATCCTCTACGCGTGAGGACTGATCATTGTTCTGTGTTTTGTGCACCTGCAGTTGGTCCTGGATAACGGCGCCTTGCAATTCTTTCCCCGGTTACTGGAATGTAAAGAAGAACGAGTAAAAAAGGTAGGTCACTAGCGTACAGGCGACAGTGTGTGCCCATTACTTGTGTTTGCACATGTCTTGTGCTGCCGTGGCTCTGTCTATTTGTACATGTCATGTGATGATGTGGCTCTGCCTGCTCTCTTTGTGCTAATCTGTTGCTATCCTAGCGCTATCTTGTATATTCTGTAGATATCCTGTAGCTATCTTGTTGACATTTCTACGAAATTTCTCGTACAATGCTCCCGTACTTGCATGATTGTGAGAGGTTTTCACTTTTTGCTTTCTTCTTCTTTTTCTGGTGTGTGCAGGAAGCATCCTGGGCGCTGTCCAACATCACTGCAGGCACCCCAACTCAGATTGCGGTATGTAGTTGTGGCGTTTTTTGTGCTCTTCCTTCACTTCCTTGCATATCCCCAGCAGCTGCTTAGCCGTTGAATCATGGGTACTTGAATGTGTGTGAACTGTGTGTGTGTGTGTGGGGGGGGGGGGGGGGGAGCACCGGGTTTGTTATTATGGAGATTTGGTTATGCAATCCTCCCGGCTGACATTTACCTGTCCTGTTTTTTGTTTTTTGTTTTTGTTTTTTTTTGTTTCTCTAGGATGTGGCAGAGGCACAGTTACTACCGATTCTGATCAAAGTCTTTACTGTGGTAAGTGTCTGTCGCCTATACTGCAGTCAATAGAGAGGTTCCGCATAACGTAATTACGTTAGTAAAAAACGTAGTCGATCTACGGAAAGTCTAACGTAAACTGCATGCGGATCTGTGTCCCGCCATACGGAGTTTTCAAATCACGTAGCTGCCCTTGGCAACTCCGAATGCGGCAGTGTACGACCAGATCGACATGGGGAGAGAGTCATAAATTTGTACCCCAATCCACTTACGGACCAGCTACGTTATCAGAGCCCTATCTACGTACTCTCCGTAGACAACTTTCCGTAAGTGGAGTGTAAACTCGCGAATTCACGGGTTTTTCCCGCCCACTAACGTAAAGTTGCTCAACTTTACGTAGTGCGGAACCTCTCTAATGACTCTTTCCGTGCGGAATGTTGTTGTTGTTGTCACTAGTGGCAAGTCAATGCTTGTATTGCCTTCTCCCCTAGACAGCCAAGGCACGGGGCGCTGACACCACAAAAGAACATAAGTAGCATTCAAAAAGCGGGACTGAGAGATTGCTGTGGAGCAGTGAACCACACGCCTGGACTGGTGTTTCGTCGTGTGGAGGAATAGGACAGAGGCATCTTCAGAACCTAGCTGTCCACCCTTGGCTAGAGGACGACGCCTTGACAGACAGAATCACTGTTTCTTGTGCATGCATGTACAAATGCATGCGCTGTATTGGCCTGTTCTGGTCATGCTCTTGCCAGTCTTGGCTCAACCAGTTCTTGATTGAACTATTTGTATTGTACAGGTTGTATGCAGTATGTAGTCATTAGTCCTGTCCCAGCCTGTTGTTGTCAAGTCTGCTTCTTGGGCAGTGCCAATGCATTCTCTCCTTTTGCTTGCTCTTGCCATTGTAAACGACTGCAGTTTATTTGTCTGGTTTATTGTTCCCATACATGTCAGAGTGAATATGTCACTAAGCGCGAGGCGGCGTGGGCAATAGCGAACTTTGCAATCGCTGGCCTGCCACAACAGCTGGCGTACTTCGTTGAGTGTGGCGGTCTTGCTCTGTTATGCGAGCTTCTCGTCTTTAGAGATGTCCAGGTAAGGACTTGACATGCTGGTGACGATGAGAATCTACTTGTACTGCTTGCACGCTCTGAGCAATCGCTTCACAAACTGTACTGTAAAGCGATAAACTTTTGCGGCGCGCAAAGTTTGCTCGCGAAATTGTGTTGGTAGCGAAAATAGCGAAATTTAATCTCTAGCGAAAATTTGTCACTTTACCGTAACTTGCTCTTCTCAGCCAGCCTCTTTGTTGAAGCTGCACCACTCAACTCACAAGAGGTTTTACAACACATTTTAGACTCATTATTTGTTTCAAATACTTTCGATGTTCAATTCTGCAGGTTATCAAGGTCGCATTAAATGCCATTCTTGCCATCCTTCGAGTAAGTTCATATCCCTTGCATTTATGTCCTGCTGCATGTACAGTAGGTTAGCATAAATACCTATGTTTCTAAACACTCATGCTCGAGGCTTCCTTCCTACAGTACAACCCCGATTATCAGAAAGTAAACTATCTGAACGATTGATTCTCCGAGATGCCTGGTAGTGCTGGAATGAAGTGGACAAGGATGAGTTTTGCATTTTCTGTTCGCATCACCATGTCAGTACTAATGTTCACAGAATGCATGGCTAGTGTCATTCTGAGCAGCTGGAGCATGCCTCTTTCCGTTGCTACTGCCAGAAGAGAGCGGATGGTGTAGGCGCCAATTGACGTGAAAGCCACAGACTGTGTTCTCAAGTTGCTGTGTTGTATTTGTGTTACCTGCTGTTTGTTTGTTTTGCTTCAGGCTGCTGGCGATCATTTTGAGCAGCTGGCAATTGCTTTTGAAGAAGGTGGAGGTCAGTGCTATCAATGTGTGATGCGTTTAGTACTGTTTTTATGTAGTTATGCCATTATATCTGAGTTTCACATAGTGTAGCCGAATAGGCAGTTGCTCCATTGATAGTGCCATTGCATGAACGAGTTGGGGATTGACATGATTTATATGTGTACTTGTTCACTGATTACTGTGTACCATGAACCTCTGACTTACCTAGAACATTTTTAACCGTTGTGTATCACTTTGTGTGTGCATTCCATTCACAACACAGCGTGTCATGTCCTGGAGCAACTTCAGCTGCATGAAAACACGGCTATTTCGGACATGGCGGCGGCCATGATCGACGAATTCTTCTCGTCCGGTGCTGATGTGGTAAGCTGCTGACGACATGCAGAAAAAACTATACAGCATATTGCAGGGTCCTCAATGGCAGTACTTTGTTGTACTTTGGAACTAGATGACCAGCATTCCCTTCACATACATTGCATACTTTTAGATGTATTCTAAATTTAGATGGCTGGTTTCTCTACCGAAATTACTGAAATTCATGTTACACCGAAAATAACACGTACACTACGTTGTAGTTATCCGTGGTACTTTGTACCAGGGAGTAGTAAAAATGCTCCCTGCTTTGTACTGAAGTTTCACTGTAGGCCTGTACTGTTGTTGTTGTTGTTCTCCTATGATACAAAACCTCCCACTTGAGGTGGTGTGCATACTGAAAAATGAAACAAGAATGGGACGATTATATCTTGCAGACCTTATCTTTTTCCGTCATTGGCTTATTTTCTTGTGCCATTGTCCCCTTTCCAGCACCGTAGTAGTTCATAATTATCTTGCTTCCTTTGTTCTCCTCAGGTTGAACAGACAGGTCCAGTAGCAAGTGCTGCACAGTACCAGTTTGGTATGCAAGCTGTGCCAGACAATTTCTCCATCAGCTGAACCAGCCACACCGCTTGTAAATACAAACCCCCACCTCCCCGCCTGAGCGGTGAGTGCAGCTCTTGTTGTGCGATTTTCCATTGTGACGGCCCATCGCGATGGCTGCATCCGCCGCTCCTACCGCCCGTGTACAAATGTACAGCCGTTATTATTCAACAAACCTACCTCATGAGCACCCAGCTCTGTTGCCATGCTAGTCCTATATCTAACCCACACCTGCTCACGCGAATCGTGCAGGCATCTCAGCCCATTTAACCCCCCGTCACGTGTATATTACGTCCATTGTACATAGTCGTATCTGCATGTAGCAAACGTCATCTCCCGACCGCCGCGGTCACAGTAGCTTTCTCATATCTCTCACTCTTGTCTCGTTGCCATTGCTGTTCATGATTTTCTTCTGTACCGGATGGATATTCTCGTCCTGCAAGAGCCAACAGTTCTTGCATCACCATGTTCTCATGCTCCAGCAATCACATTGTGCACGTCTTCAACTTTGCACTAGACGTGTGCATACACCCTGTGTTTTGTTGCTCTCTGCCATAATTCTCACGTCTGTTTTGGTCTCTGTTGGTCTGCTACCGTATTTTCCCAACTGTCATGACCTGAATCTTTTTTTCTCTCACTTTTTACTATTTTTTTTCAACCATGTTCCTCGGTGCCGATTCTAATACTGTCTTGTCTGCTGATGGCCATGAAGCGTATGCTAACAATGCTTTTCTCCTGATGATGTTGTTGAATTATACCGTTGTGCTCAGTGAAGTTTGATCGCATGAATAGAGTTAGCGCCCTGCACCAGAGCACACAGCCAAGTGTTCGCAGGTCTGCTGCCATGGGCCAGCACAGCACAAGTCGACTGTGTTCACGGCATGAGCGGCACTGTGCTTGCATAATGATTAATACGGCAGCAAAGCTGGCTGGATGGCCAATCTCTCCGAAGAGAGGAGACGATCTGCTAAAATATTTTCCAGAACAGTATGTATCGCATGATGGCGTGGAACGTCTGCCAGTACGTTTGTGTTGTGTACACGTTATACTATAGATACAATCTAAAATTCAATACATGTATGTTGAAATGCTCTGCAGGTGAATGCGAGAATTAAAAACCTGTCACCAAAGTAAAAGCACTGTCTTATAATATTATAAAACCATAGAGCGCTATGCAAAGAGATGGCTAGACAAGAAAGAGAAGAAAAAAACCAGTAACGTATTCTACAGTTGATGGCATACACCTACTACAGTACTAGTAAGTCTATGGGGGGGGGGGGGGGGGGCGATGGACAGAATCTAAACCATGACTACCGAGCTAAAGATGGCAGAGAAAGCCTGCGCTGGCGGTCGGAGTGTGTGTGTGTGTGTGTGTGCAGAGAAAGCCTGCGCTGGTGGTCGGAGTGTGTGTGTGTGTGTGCAGTGAGAGCCACTGGACAGCAAGCGAGCAGACATCTTCACTGCTTGCATGTGTTTGATACGACACGGCTACATGATCGTATACAGCTAGGCTTGTACATGCGGCATGCGACCAGCAAGAGAGCAAAGTGAATTGGCCAGAGTGCCAGTAGCTGTTGTGATTGCAGGTATGGCGGGAACCTATACACCTAGTGGGCCTAAGAAACGATAAGCTGCATCTTGCAACAGTGCTTCCGAGTAAGAAAACTAGAGAAGAACAGAAACGTTAGAAGAAGAAATCCAACAAGTCTATACAGATGCGTTAGCAGCCATTCAACTTGGTGAATGACTACTACTACTTGAAGGTCTTCACGGTGAAGCTGAGCCAAATATCAGAGACCTAGTCATAGCCAGCAGGAAGCGCACATGATTTTCCAGTAATGGGCACCTACTGTTCCTGGAGGTACTTGTAAACGACGGAAAAGTCTTTCTTGGCGAGGTCCGACGAGCACATGTTAGTATAGAGCTCCAGTGCATGCTTGCCCAGTGGGGTGGTGGTGTTTAGGTCACTGGCTGCACTCTGAGCAAGGCCAAGGTCCTGCAGCATGCCAACACACAATTCCACCAAGCAAGGAGTCAAGAGTCATCATGATGCATACGCACACACGCACGCACGCGCGCGCGCACACACCACACACACACACACACACACACACACACACACACACACACACACACACACACACACACACACACACACACACACAATGTCATGAAAAAGGATGTCCCCGGCACAATGAACACAGTGTTTCCAGTACCGTAAAGTCTTGTATAAAAGCCGCGGCTTCTATACAAGACAGGTATTTCTATGTATGTCAACACTAAAATCAGGCTTATGTGTAATTTGATGGGCCCAAAATTGCGGCTTCTATTCGAGGGCGGCTTTTATACAAGGCTTTACGGTATGCTAAAATCAAATACACTTGTACTGGCATATTGAAAATAATGATATTATTTTTTTGCCTGACTGCTGCAGTACCGTTACATCTAAGCTTCACTTTACATTATACTTGATTGAAGTTGATTCTCTTTTCAATCTTTATCCCTGATTGATTGGCCCCGTGATCCAACAGTCAAGACCTGCCACACTCGGGGTTGAAACAAGCACTAAACGGATCTACGTGTACTCCGAGCAGCCGACAAACAAGGTGGCATCCCATAGTGTATAATCGAGGTTTCTATTGTAGAGCTTGTGTGAATCCTTGTACCCAGGCAACGGACGGATGAACACTCGACTCGTGCTCCTCTCGTTATCTAACGAAAAAGTGAAAGGCTTCCAGACCAGTGCACATATAACAGTGATGCAGCCTGAGATAACGTACCTTGCGCATGAGCGCTGCTCCAAAGCCGCCATCATAGTTGTTAGAGGACGGCACACCCTCCATGACACCGGGGCACGGGTTGTAGGTGTCACTGCTCCAGCAACGGCCAGAACTCGTGTTGACAATGCTGGCAAGTAGCTTTGGATCCAGACCAAGCCTGCAGCAGGAGCGAAGAAATTGATGGGCCCAAGGAAATACTCCAGTAGTTGTCTTAAAGCCTTGGTTATCAGTTAGTACAAGATACAAACTCTTCCGTTGACAGGTCCTGAAAAACAGCTTGCATAGATTCACACTCCATTCACAGCAAGCTACAAATATTATCAGATCGAAACATTCTGCAGTGACTGTGCGATCATTCCACAGAATGAAATAATTCTTCAGGATTTGGGGGGGGGGGGGGGGGTGGGGGGTGGGGTGTACCATAGCTCACCTTACGCCGAGGTTCATTGCCTCTGCAGTGCCGATCATGGAGATTCCAAGCAGCATATTGTTGCAGATCTTAGCAGCCTGTGAAAACAACAGAGTGAAAGACTTACTGTAAAAGCCATTATTCTAACGAGGCGCATATATAACGATATCCCAAAATTGACTAGTTTACGTGTACCAAAGGTAACGATTTTCACTCATTCTCAACGCTCAATAGGACAGTATAAGTATCGATTTCTGTATAACGATTTCTATATTAACGACAGACTTCTCCTCGTTAACTCGTTAGAGTTAGCACTTCGTTATTATATATGGCTTTTACAGTAGTATTCGTATGTGCAAGTAGTTTCATTCATGCCTTCGGCAGCACTCTGCTTGAAGGAGCAAGTGAGCGGGTAAATGACAGATTGACAGAAATGAAGATATCTCCTGTGGCTGTGGAGCAGTCAAAAACGTGCACACACACACACACACACACACACACACACACACACACACACACACACACACACACACACACACACACACACAAACGTGCACACGTACATGCACCCACTAACCTGTCCTGTGCCATTAGGTCCGCAGTGCACCACGCTCTTGCCCATCAAAGCCAACAGGTCTTTCACCACAGGGAAGTGGTCCTCGCCACCACCAACCATAAAGGTGAGCTTAGCATCACGGGCAGCACCGACACCTGACACGAACAGGAAAGATAAAAAATGAGTACTGTGCAACACGTTTTTTTGGTGTAACTTTAATTTTGGCAGAGAAACAGAGAAACCAGGCACCCAAATTTAGATTACACCTAAAAGGCACCAGAGTATACACTGTATGTGAAGGGAACGCTGGTCACCTAATTCTACATTACACCTGAAACCTGGCAGGTCGCTGACACAGAAAATTTAGTTTACCTACTTCAAAAATTAAAATACATGTTATACAGCACATGGCGGCGAGTATGAATGTGATGATGTCCTACACATGTAAGTACAGGAGGAGCACCTGCCACCCTGTGCAACAAAAGTAGCGGGAGTTCGGGGGCGAGGATGACAGCCTGAGTGAAGCATGACGCCGTGGCCTGGTAGATATGGCGGGAATGTGACTGCATGCATCTGAACAACGGTGACTCGTTTTGTGCTGTAGCACACAACATTGCTTAATTAACACTAGGGCCAGTAGGGGGATAAGGAGCTTTCTACTCCAGTTCAGGACTGGCTGCTCTAGACAATCGGCTTGATATCAACTTGATGTTGGTTACTCTGGCTAAGGGATCAGTACTCTTAGACAACAGACTGGACTTCAGCTTGATCTATGCTGTACAGCAGCCAGAATGACGAAAGGATTCCCAAGCTCTACCCATGCACACTAGGACAACCCCACTTACCGCCTGACACCGGTGCATCGAAGAAATCAGCGCCCTTCTCTTTGGCTAGCTGGGCCATCTGCTTAGATACACCAGGCTCAATGGTACTGGAGTCAATGAGTAGCGTACCATCTTTGACTGATCTAAGCAGAAAACACAAGTATGGCACTAACTCAGATGTGCTCCAACCTTGTTTACGGGAGATGATTCGAACAGCTAGTAATGCTCGTGACGACAAGTGACAACTGTATACCAAATAAACATGGGCCCTTCAGACCCAACATGCAGTCTATGACCAGTATATCCACACCCTGTACTTGTAAAGAGACTGCGGTACAGTATGGCAAGAGGTGAGTTGGCTCCCGGCATCACGGGCAGACCAAACAATCAGCGGCACCCTCACCGAGTCCGCAGTGTAACGTGTCTGTGCGCATGGAGTGCCAAAGAGTGCATGCGCATGACCTGTCTGCGGCGAGTGAATGCACTTACTTGAAAATACCACCATCACCAGTATACACAGCCTTCACATGATCTCTGCAAATTCACATGATCATACATACACAGGAGCCAGAATGCTCAGTTGCAACTCTGAGTTTCACGCTGAGCAGTCATCAACCATCAGGCAACATAAGCACATATATATCATAGACAGAGAGCAAGCGAACTATCATTGGGAGCGCACAACCTAGACTCGCTATTGGACAATTCCACGGTACAGCCACAGATGGTACATGCACACTCTCACCAGGTGACGAGCATCTACCCTGTGAAGTATTGATATCTACATAAAACGTGAAACACGTGCCCATGCGCAAAAGCACAAAAAAAAAAAAAAATACTGCCGACAAATTCTGCTCTGCGCACTTGGTGATACAGATCAGTATCAGGCTTTCTGCTGATGGCAGGCAAGTGGAAATGTGTTTGTGTTACAAAATCAAATTGCTTCGAAGTACATGTACAGTGAACTCCCAGTAGAACATACCCAAGAGCCAAGAGCCATACAAATTCACACTGGTATCGCCGAGGTACTCTATATGCTCAATGGGAAAGCGTGACTCATGTACACCGACTTTGAAATATCACTACTTTTCACTTCACAATGGTGAAGAAATGCCTGTTTTTATATAATAATATATCCATGGTAGTTTCAAGCCAACGAGGGCAATGCGTATCCTGTGTAGAACTTTGAGCAATAACATCACACGGCATGTAAACGATCCAAGCAACACCGTTGCATCAGCCCTGACAAACTACAGACAAATATCAGGTATCGATGCATGTACCCATCCGAACATGCCAATTGACCAACCACTGGCCTCCAGGAGAATTATACAGTGCCAGTTGATAAAGAGTTGCAATTCCCATCAGTTGATAACTCACGACTGAGGCAGCATTGTGATAATGCAGCTGGTTTGCTGTGCGACATCAGCAGGGCTGCTAGCTGACGATGCGCCACTGTTCTTCAGATCCGCAACTGAATCGGCATTTAAGTCGTGGACGATCAGAGAGTACCCACTGCGTATCAAGTTCTTCGCCATGTGACCTCCCATGTTTCCCAGGCCCACGAATCCAATCGGCTGCAGTATAACACACCCACGCACACATCCACACATGTACCCACACACATACAAGTACACAATCACCCCCCCCCCCCTCTCACCGTGCACACACACACACACACACACACACACACACACATTAGAGAGGTTCCGCACTACGTAAAGTTAACCAACTTTACATTGATGGGCGGGAAAACCCTGTGAATTCGCGAGTTTGCTTACGAAGTTGTCTACGTAGAGTACGTAGATAGGGCTCCGATAATGTAGATGCTCCGTAAGTGGATTGGGGTACAAATTTATGACTCTCTCCCCAGGTCGATCCGGTCGTACACTGCAGCGTTTCGAGTTGCTAAGGGCAGCTACGTGATTTGAAAATTCCGTATGGCGGAACACAGATCCGCGTGCAGTGTACGTAAGACTTTCCGTAGATCGACTACGTTTTTACTATTAGTAACGTAATTACGTTAAGCGGAACCTCTCTAATAACACACATGAACACAATATACAATGCATATACATGTGCATCAAGAGCTCTCACAGATGCAGACAGATGAGCCAGCATACAGCGTAACGTGAGACACAGTCACGTGAGCTGTGAAAGAATGTCGCTACCGGGTGCAAATACCGGTATTAATGTTAGGAAGGCAAACAATGTGCATAGGCTGAGAACATGCACTCACTGTCTCCTTGGACAAGGCATCTGCAGGCGAAGACAAAACAAAGGTCACACAGAGAACAACAAACTTCTCTCAGCAAGACATTTGCGCACATTGCTCCGAATCAGATAACGAGATATGAGCTGCAGAAATCCCGGGCCGAAGTGTGCAGCACAAAAGCACCAAAATGGAACATTAAAACGGGGGTCATGTTATGTCGAATCCGATACCAGCATGGCACATCATCAAATTGGAAATTACCTGGAAATAACCTTTTCCTACAGTGTACTTGTACTATATTAAAGAAATAATATTATGTCCTTTTCCTTTCTACTTTTAAAGAATGTATTGCCTGAATTTTGTGATATAGCACACTGGAACCCATGGGAAAAGGCAGAGGACAAATTGACAGATAGTTCTCCTGTAGACAGGAGCACAATCCTTCTAAGTGGGTCCTCTACCTCATGGGCTCTACATGTAGTGCATTGCATTAATTTATTGAAGGTGTTGATTTGATTTTAATTTCTTTGCTTGTGCTGAAGTTCCATTGATTTGTAAACAGAGTGAAATTACGAAAAAGTCGTGACATGGCAATGTTTCATGATCACTGGATTTATTCTTTTTCTTGATTATGATAGGAAAAGCCACCAGTGGTACATTATTTACTGAGCGTGTACCTGAATGATGAAAGCGTGATCTCAGGATCAGACTGCCAATCCTCCCGCTTCTCCTCAGCAGACCAAAGCTAAGTGCCATGTTTCTTTCCACAAACCACGATCCCAGAGAAATTATGTTGAGCTTCTGCTTTAAACAGAACTGGCTCAAACAATCATACGACAAGATAATGGGCCTCAACAGGCAATACTAGTATACTAGTATAATTATGATCACCCAAGACGAGGGAAGTCACCAAAAATCCAATATTGCGATGCAATACAGCTGTTTTGACACATGGCAATAATATCCGAATGTACAATTTTGAGTGGAGGTGTGTCATGGTGACATCATCATAAGCTGTCGATATGCGTTGCTTAGATACACATGACATCATGTTCGACGTACGTCATGGTTTGCGCAACACGCAATTTTATTTTTTAAAGTTTTGGTTTTGGTACTGCCATCGTGTGTGCATCTGGGAGATATTGCAGGTTTAGAATTGCAAGGTTTGTCCTCTATCGATACCGCTAGCATTGTATTACCAGCAAGTCTAAAAGTCTTGTAGACCTGACCCAGCATAAACACGAGGAGTCTTGATAAGCCGATTATTAGTACCTAGTGCATACAGGCTACTTGCTACGGATTTCATCAAACATTGAGATACAAAATTCGCAGAGCTGACTTGAGACCAGCTAACGTTACGTCCGATCATGACAGGAGAGGGAAGAGGAGTCTGGGGGAGAGGCAGTGTATTCGCCAACACCCCTTTGTCTCGCAGATTCGACAAATTTGCTACCGTGGCAAGAACGTTCTTCTTCCTATCAACTGCTTTCGGCCTGTACGGGCTACACAACGCCGTGAAAGCATTTAGAGCTGAGGCACCCATGCGAGCGGAACTAAAGAAAGTATCTGAGTCACAAGCAGTAAGTGCATATGTCATTAAGTGTAGACTAGCCTCTGTATGTGTTGGGGGGGGGGGGGGGAGGAGATTTAAATATATCTCCGTCTCTCATTGTGACAGCACACATGCATGTCATTGTGCGTACGATAGGCTAGAACACTGAGTCGTAATTCTGTCAGTTTTCCCAGCTTTACGTATCTGAATACGTTGATTGAATGACCCACTGAGCTCAGGGAAAATCGTGCGACTGACAAGATCGTACACGTCATTTGCTTGTCGTCAAGAGTACATAATCCCCCAGAGTGTGCAACTCCACTATGGGTGCTGTCCCGACAGAATTTCAAGTTGACGTCATTTTGATGATGCAATGCACACTGTACACGGATTATCAGACGAATCCGGAACCTGTGGTTGAACGAAGCCGATCGATCCTGTACACATTATTGCAAAGAAAAAACGTGTGATGCGTTGACACCCGTACACATGTTGTAAATCACTGGTGCAAGGAGCGTTGTGTCATAAATAATGACGTCAACTTGAAATTCTGTCGGGACAGCAGGGTATGTGGGAGTTGCACACTCTGGGGGGGTTATGTACAGTCGTCTTCGCTAATAACGACTGCGGATATAACGACAATTCGCGAATAACGACAGAATGTCCATGCCCAGAGCAAAGTCCCATCCCACTGGAATACATATAATGAGACTTCGGGTATAACGACACTTCGCGAATAAGGACACCTTTTTGATGCCCCGCCGAGTGTCGCTATAAGCGAAGTTGACTGTACTCCTATTATCGTATAGTCAGATAATCCGAACATGTTGCTCATCCGAACAGAACCCTGGTTTTACTGTGTGTGCTTTCGGGTGGGGTAGGGGGGGGGGAGAGACGAAGAGAGAGAGAGAGAGAGAGAGAGAGAGAGAGAGAGAGAGAGAGAGAGAGAGAGAGACTGACAGACAGAAATACACTACGTTCCATAAACCTGCGGTGAATGGCGAAAATCATGGATGGCCCCTTAATAGTAGGGAGGTTTAGTCCCACGTGATCCGTGGGTACTTTACGTGTGTGTACCACGTGATACTCAGTGACCCACGTACTGACGTTTTCTCATTCACGACATACCGTGTATGGAGGCTCACCCACGTTCCGCCAGAACGTGGGTGAAAATCAGAATGGAGCGCATTGTGCGAGCTGTGAGGGTGCTCAGCTGAAGAAGTTTCCGAAGCACGAAATCAAAATATTGGATGAGCTTCTTAGGCCCGGGCAGCTTCGTCTTTGACCAGGTTTGGGCCTTTCGCTTCATGCTTTTGTTTGTTCCGTATGACTAAACACAACATTGCAACGTGGGTACGCGTTTCCGTTACGTGGGAACTAAACCTCCCTAGTAACTTGTTATACCCCTGTAAATACAGTGATCCACCTGACATATTCATGTGGATATACTCAGTCCTTGCATGGGTGCTGTGCTTTCTTTGTTTGCAGAAAATTATGAAAGCAGAGGAGGAGAAGATCTTGGCGGAGTTCAATAAGAAACGAGTATAGCGCGAAAGGACAATGCTCAGCCACAGGAGAACTCTTCACACGTTCTGTTGCTTTCTGAATTTTTGGTCTCATGAGTGTGCTTGTGTCTGACCTGTATATAGTCATGCAGAAAAATCATAAAATGAGTATTGTACATATTGAATTTTGAATACCATGCTTGCATGTTTGCTCTGTGCTAGCATTTATCATCAGCAAAATACTCCACACAACTCGCAGCATGCTGCTGTCTCTTTAAGGTTCTTTTTTTCTGGTGAACGTGGCACCCCGTGTGCATCTATACCATGGTAATGGATGCTTGTGAATTCAACAGGAGTTCTGTCTTGTATGTAGAACGCCGAGATGTTCTCTGTGGTTCTTGACGAAGCACGCGGGACGGACCTTTGTTGGACACGCACACTGCACGTTCTTGGAAACACGATTAGCGAGTGTGCCTCGGGTCTTTTGCTGTGAGCCTTCTCAATTGGACAATGGCGAGGATGAAAAGGAGAATATTAACGACGTAGATTGTAACACACACCAGGCAGAAGTCGTGCAGAATGGCGTAGAGTATGTAGGCGAGGTAGACGCTCATTGCACATGATACAGCACCGAGAAGCACATTCAGCTTCCTCATCAGCTGCGAGCGAGCACCACCTGCATGCATAGTAACCCAACACAAGCACAATACACAACTCTCCAATACAATCAGCTCAACCATTCCCTGCTACTGATCAGTCTTCCACTTATTTTTCATCAGTGTATCTTACTTTCAAGCACAAGCCAAGGAAATCATTTCGGACCTGCCATGCTGTCAGCAAAGAACTACCAGCACCAGTACATGTAGGTATCAGACACACATTCATATGGATCATAGAAACTAACAGTATCTTGCATTTGCTACAGGCCATTGTGAGACTAAAGATTCGAAACACCGCCACCACCACCAGGCGCGTGCCCCGTATGGGTTCCTGGGTGCCCGGAACCCCCCCCCCCTTTTCGCTCAAAATGCAGGATTTCGCTTCATTTTTTGAAAATTTTCCCGGGGAGGTCCCCCTACCCCCCCCCCCCCCCCTTGAAGGGCACCGGCGCACGCGCCTGACCACCAATACAGTAACGTAGTTACACAATAGGGGAAGGGTAGACTCACCAATGACGAACAATGCTGCGTAGAAGAAGATGCCATAGACAGAGTTAGAGATGTTGAGGAAGTGGTCATGGCCGAGAAGGGGACCAATTATTCCAAAACCATTTGCGTACCTTCAGGAGACAAGTCAAGGCACACAATCCAGATAAAACCCAAACTGTGTCCCCGATCACACCACAGATGAAGCCAGCCTCATTGCAGACGGAACTTCTTTCTTTAGTTTCTTCAAGCTCTTCCATTCCTGCATTTATAGTCTGCTTAGCCAACAGCATGGCTAACAGCATCTTTATGTTGCCTGATGATTGCACAGCATGAAACTCAGAGTTGCCACAACCTAGCCTTGCGCCGTGTTGCTCTGTGTAATCTACTTAGCCGATAGCCCAATTGATATTGCAGCCACAACCCCAGTCGTTTAGTATTATACATGTATACAGTCCATGCAAATGGCACTTCTCGGGAAACTCGAATACAGTATAAGCTAATCATGAAGCAGCCAAAGAAGACCCAATGTGGATCCTTTGTGGCGTTATATTTCCTTACTGCTGTGCTATGTGTAGATTCTACCGTGGCCATGTCAGGGCAAGGATAGTGACTAAGGCCAGTAAGGGTGCGTTCTATTTTCTCTAGGTCGGAACTCGAAGAAACTGGAATAATGTAGGAACGGGTCTCGGAGAATTCGGAGATCTTTTGCACATGCGCAGCGACAAAGGGGTCGCCATCTTGAGTGACACGGTTATAGTACGCACTGTTCGTATAAATCCGTAGCAAAAGGACACTCATGATCAACACGTGGCTGTGGCTTTCGGCAGTAGTTCACATGCGCCGACCCCAGGCCTAAAAAGCGGGTCCAAGTTTCAACCATCTTTGTTGAAAGTCTTACCCAAGCCATTCAGCATAAGCAAAGTTGTGGACTCAGCATCATACTGATACGCTTCAGTGCCAACATACTGTACAGATACCAGAATTATCTGATGGTACATGTAATATCAAGAGTACATGAAAAAAGTTTTCATGTACTCTTGGTAATATTAATAATAAGCATTGCTACGTTGCAGCAAGAGTGGTTATGTACTCTTGGTTGTACTTTTTTTTAAAGTTATGGTCTTACTCTGAGGTCAAAGCAGTGGAGCAAGAAAAGGCTGAGCCGAAATCACAAGCCGCCCGATAACTCGAATCTTGTTTCTTGTACAAGGCCACGAGTTTCCCATACACCGACACAACAATGCCTGCCAGGCAAAGCAATCTGTAGACGGTCACAATCATTTTCACCAAAAAATAACTATGTACATATACAGACTAGACTCCGGCTGCGAATATTGTTAGCAATACTGGTAACAAGAGTGCATAAGCAGTATTCTTACTAAAATAACTAGGTCGTAATAATTACTCGACTACCTACGCATCTGAAGTAATCGATAATGAACGTGATGTTTGTCTTTGTTGAAATAAATCACGTTCACAAACACTGAACGGATGCCACACCAGTAACAGTCTTCTTCAACAGTCAGTCACGTCAGTCACCCTTTCAAAAAAATGCGACGCCGCGGATATGGAGAGAACGTCGTCATCTTTTACACTAATTACAGGCAAAAGCAAGAGTTCATAACATGTAATGGGGGTTATGAACTCTTGGCTACAGTCATTCATCAGTTTTGAATTTTTTCAACATTCTCAGACTGCACTGGCACATGATGCATGATGAGTTTGACTTTCATGCAATCGTAAACAAAGGTAAACGATGCTCATATCAAGTACGATCATAGTTCCTTTCTGGTTTTCCTGAAGTAGAGTTGTAACATGTGTAGTCGGTCTTGCTCTCTAGTTCGTCTTGAATAATATCCTCCGAAGTGTAATGGCCGGATGCTGGGTTCATTTCCGCTAGAATAAAGAAGCTGCAGGTGAGGCACTACTCAGTGTCGAACAGGGAGTCGTATAAGAGTTTGGGTACGACTCCCTGGTGTCGAAGCACCGCATGATTAATTGAATTACTAGTATCTTACTGAGCATGCATAACCCACCGACCCAGTACAGAGCACAAAGAGTACATTTTAATCATGTGGATGTGTTTTCACACGACTGACTTCACCTTGGTTACCGTAATAATAGCATTTAACATTGAATTTTCCAGATTCAAAATCAGTTCCGTAAAGTACCGTTGATCCCCCCCCCACCGTGTCACTTCCCAGCTGGTCGTTCGGCAGGGGCGGGAATTAGATCAAGTCGTTCGTTCAAGTGCAGTACGATGTACAACGACGCCAAAGATCAGACCTGGCATGCTGGACTGTGCACATTTTCATCTTGCACTCCCACGTATAGTGTACAGCAGTACATGCGTCGGCTCAACATCGTACATGTATTTTGTCGTATACGCCGATGTCGCTTCACAGGCAAAATTCCACAGGTAGCAGTAACTAGACCGGGGGCGGATCAACGTTACTTTACAGTACTAGCAAGAGTACATAACTACACTGTGTAGTTATGTACTCTTGGTACTAGTAATCCAGCTATTCACAATCGCATGCCAGTGCCCGCTTCACCTCGGCTCTTGATATCATACATATAATGTACTCCTGGTTGTGAATAATAATAATATTCGCGGGATCCGCGTCGGCATCGCTTGAATGTTCAGAAACACACTAACTAGCCTTCGCATCTGCAGGCCACCACTATGCCTGTTCACCTTAGTGGCGAATCCAGACCTCACAAGTGAGTCAGGGGAGAGGAGGTTAGTCTCTCAACCAATCGGGTGTGTAACGACCCATAACCCTGTAAACTGCATCCTTGTTATCCTCACTCCGAGCTGTGAGCACCCAGTTGACCGTGGGTGTCGGCGCAGTTCAACACTCCTGGTTGTACATTTTTTTAAATAAAACACCAGTAGAGTTTGAAGTATGACATGCCTGCATTCTAAATTTAGCATGATTACTGGTATGCTAATCATACATACCAACCTGGAGGCTTGAGTTACCTGGACAACGAGGCTGAATTCCCTTGATTTTGACCGTTTTCCCTGGACAATTTTTTTGGCGCATCCATCATTAGCAGATGTATTTTCATGACTGCTGCTCAAGCAAAAGGGATGGCATTGCATTGAGCTGTAACTGCTCAAGTACACTTTCTGTTGGCCACCGGTGTGCCGGCGATCCGTTGCAGTTCCACGTGTTTTTTTTTGTCTGCTTGCTTCTACGCGCTGTGTGTACTTGCAACGGATCTACAAGTTCGAGAAAACGCTGAAAAAGCATCATAAAAAGGAGAACTTGGATTTCAAAAGTTCCATCTCAGTCCCTGGACTTTTGCAGGACATCTCGGGACAAACACCCTATTCCCTGGACAATGACTGTCCCGGGAAACCCTGGACCGTTGGCATGTACGATGCTTAGCTGACAATCGCAATTCTGTGTGCATGTGTTCTTTTGCAGGCATAAACCACTACATGTGTGACTCCTTCTAGTCACCGTATATAGTCGTGGTAGTGAGGACCTACGATTTATCAATCAATCTAAGAACCTTCTTCGAAGAATTAGCACAGCTGAAAATTCCGAACGATGATTCGAAAGCCGTTAACTCGTATAGAGTTGCGTATGGAAGATGTTGAAGAGTTTTCTGCTATCAAGGACTACCTGTGCAGGAAGAATGATTCAGCAAAATCCACAGAAGAACTGAAGCAAACAAGAGAAGGAAGAGCTCGCTTAAGAAACGACAGGATAGGGTATGCGGCTTCTGCAGAGACTCCCCAAGGTACTTCTAATCAAACTCCTAGATAACATCCAATGATCATTCATGTGCATACACTATCTTATTCTATCTTGTTATTTTTAAGGGTAGTCCAATAACGTCATATTCATACTTTAATTTAGTTTTAGTAGCACCAGCGACCAGTTATCTTTTTTCTTTTTTTTGTGAAACACATTGTATCAACACACAGCACTTACTAGTAATTCAACCTGTTATCTTTCCTCTTTAGAATCATAACCATCCCATGCTGTTGTTACGTATTGTTGACTTGAATCAGAATGCATGGCCATGCCTATCAATATGAATTATTGTTTTGACTAGTTTGAGAGATTAGCCCATTACTCTAGGGGTGCGTTTGGTTGGTACGATCTAGAACAGGATCGAACAGCTGGTGCACATGGTGAGCAGCCTCATGCCAACCAAACGGTACTCCAGAAACAGAGCACATTTTTTCTGAAAAAGTGTGCCAAACTTGGTACATACTTCGCGTACGGGTCACCATGGTCACTTTGTACGGCACAACGAGTCCAACCCAAAAGCGTATGCACGTAATCATTTGAGACCGAAACCAATGTTCCCGCCAGGTTCCACAGTGAAAAGGTGAAACTGCTCGGTCTGCTCCGGCCTCGAGGCTGAGTATGTTCTGGCTGACCCAGAACAAGTGCAGTCCCAACCAAATGCGCTGTTCTGGTGAATCCTGTTCTAGGTTGTACCAACCAAACACACCCTAGGACTTAAATCCTTATTCTTGAACTTTGAGATCTGTGTATCAGAAGGATCACATTTTCTATGATTGTGTCACCTTGCAGCAATTGTCTTTCAGGTGCACAGCAATCGTCACGTACATGTACTCGAGATGCAGGACGACTGCCCATGAGCACTTAGACTAGACTTGGAGTCGATCAGTGTGTGTGTGCACGAGCATACATGCATACTAATGTACAATTATTATTATTACTGTATACGCACATCCACTTTTTTTCCCTGCTCTGCCCGCTCTGTCTGTCTTCTGGCACATGCAAATAATGTACAATGCCATGTAATATCACCTAACATGTGCAGCATGTCTAGAAGAAATGATGCATGCATGTTCTGGAGTGATCCAGTCCCGTCGTAGTAAAACTAAAACACATGTATGCGGCACTGCATCTAGAGTGCTGACAGTGACACACTTTCGGGTGAAGACAGCCCAGCCATATCTTCTCTGACAGGGGGAATAAGAAGAAGGTTGTTCCACATTTCTGCACAATCCCCAAAATGGATTCGTGATCCAGGTACACACTCCAAAGCACATACACACAGATACACTGGAAGTCTGCAACGTATTTTCAGTTCAAGAAGTATACGGGGGTTTTCAATTCAATATCCACGCAGGAAGTAAAGTTGGACAAATGGATTGCAAAATTATATAAGAATATGTTGAAAGAGTCAGGAGGCCATTGCACATCAAGAAACATGAATCCTAAAAGGGCCTGGGCAATACCCGAGTAAAATGCAGCTACAGCTAAAAGTCTATGGCCACGGCGAGTATTCGCAAGCGGCCAGAATAGTGTTCTTCACTATGTTGTGCTTAGTAGTATGAGGATTCCAGCACTTCCTACCCAGAGCGCTTCGTGGGGGCTCAATGTTGCAAAAAAACAAAAAAAACATTCGGTGCACACACACCCACACACCCGCGCCCACACACACTGGTTATTCCGAAGAAAGAAAACCCAATACTAACAGATAAGAGCAGCATGCGAGAAGATGGAATCCAAACCTATTAAGCCCCATAACAGTACGGCTATCAAGCCCCATAACAGTACAGTTACCAAAGTACACATCAGGAAGGCATCTACATAATAGTATAGGGGTGGTCAGGACAGGAAAGGTTTGTTCGATAAAAGACGGACACATTTTTTATTGCAGTTTGCAAGCATGGAAATTGGAAAATATTAATTAAAAATAAAACACAGCTGCATCCTCCCTAATCTCAAGTAACATCTATGCAGCAATAAACAAATAACTTTAATAGCATGTACTAAGGGGTACTAGTACATGTACCTGACTAGTATTTTCGGCAACAGGGTGGGTTAGATACGACCTTCCTCAATCAAGCTATCCAGTAGCTCCATAAGCCGCTGCGTACTGTCTTTGTATATACCATCATCCATGAACATCTTATCTAGAACTGGCTCGGTGAAAAACGACACAACTCGGTTGATGCGCTGATGTGTCGACTCGTCCAAAACATCGGCACCTTCAGTGCGTACGAATGCACATAGCTGACTAACCAGTTCAAGAAGGTGCTCGCCGTCGTAAATCAAGCTCATTTTCTGATAATGTGATACAGCCATGGCCAACTGATGTGCTAGGTCACGCATGCCTCTGACAACGTCTGGACTGAAGTCAGACATCTTCACGTGGAAACCTACTGAAATACCCATCATGATTGAAACGTCCATGAAATCCTGGCTCTCCTTCAATCCTAATTCACACGCCACAATCTCCATCAAGATATCCAGAATCTTATAGAACCTAGCACCTACAGCAGCTTTGGTTAGTTTCCTCTTGGACCTCTCAAAGAATTTCAATTCAATTCCCAAGCTGCGAGATTTCGAAGAAGACGACTGAACTCCGCTCGCCGATTCCATCTCGCGTCGGGATTGCCGTATCCTCCTTTACAAGATGATAGAGCTATGAGGGCGGTCACCAGCTCAACAAAAGCTACGTCTTACCTGTGAGGTAAGTCCACCTCTCCAGAATTCAAATGACTTTACGAAAATGAGACACCTTGTAGACGGATATATCCATTTCGTCATACCACTTCTCCTATTCACCTTTTCTCTGATTCCATACAGCCGTTCGAAATGTCCGCAAGAACTTTGCAATGGTATAATCCCGTTCAAGGACGTTTATCGGTCAACAATAATTGCTTTCTGAGCAGAGGTCTGACTCGAACAAGTCAGCCATGAATGATAAAATCAAGAGTACATAAAGGTTATGACTCTTGATGAAATGAATTGAACACTGAGAAAACTCCGCGTCATCAGGTTTGTACCAGTCCAGGGAGTAGTAAATAATGGTATTGTACTACTCCCTGGTTTGTACACACACTCATTATTATGATTCGATGAAGCAGGGAGTCAGATCTCCAAGGAAGTCGTAATGTTACAACTCCCCTGTACAGCGCGATCGATGCAGTGGCGTAGTCGCTCTTCCGTAGTTAGGTACCGCGTACCGCCGAACCAGTTTGCGTAGCAACAAATCTTTGGATACTAGGCTGTATGAAACTCGGATGTTGAGCCATAAATAAATGTAGAAGAGAAAAGGACATATGGATACGAGTGCCTTCCCCTCTTTGGTCTTTCCATAACCTTGAACCTTCCAAGTTGGAAGGCTGTCGGTTAGCGCTACGGAGATGTGTTGAAGCTAGGTGTCAGGACGTCGAATGTTTCAGTACTCTGTCAGTTTTGTGCCTAGTTATTGCACTTTCTGACTGTATAAAGTATCATGTTACAGTGATGGAGAGTTACTCTTAACTCGTATCCATATGTCCTTTTCTCTTCTATACTAGGCTGTCCTGTACTTTTTTGTAAACAATAAAAATGTTCATGCTCCCGACGTTTTTTGCCATGTTGTGCCAGTATCCGAACGAGGCAAAACTACCCGTGACCTCGTACTTACTATCATTTACTTTGAGATAATTACTAGCAGTTACTTTCGGACGAGATCCCTTTGTAGCCGTGGGTCTTTCCACACACGCACTGCGAGTACAACCAACTGCGTTTTGCAACAGCTTGCAGAAGATCGGAGAAAAGCCACTAGCGGCTGCATTGCCACTGGCGTTCATACATTTGGGTGGAAGAGTATGATCGTTGTGGACGCAGAACTGGAGGGTGAGTGATTTGAGAAGCTGTGCGAGACGACTAAGAAGCTATTGCATGGGAAAGGACGCCATGCGACTTCGAGGTACCGGTATGCCGCGGAGACGCGTCGAGTCTGGTTTCTGCCCATCACCGCGGACGATAATCTTCGTCCTCGCCCTGGTGCTGAGCGGTTATGTTTTCACGCATTGCCTGGGTCGGAACAGGGGTAAATGCGCGGTGCCGATGTTCTTGGGTGGCTCGCCAGAGCGAACTGCACAGGCCGGTGCGGCGGAGAAAGAACACAGTCCTGATGCTGCTGCTGCTGCTGCCCCTGGGGCTGCCAAGGATGAGACTTCTGTGGAGATGGCCGCAAACAAAATAGATCAGCTCCGTGCAGCGGTGAAAACTGTACCACCAGAGCTTCTGAAGACTAAAGATCCTGCAACAGTAGCAGTGGTGACCCAGGAAAGGCAGCCGAGTCACCACCTGGCAATCGGCGCGGCTGTTGCCGCAGCCAACGTGAAGACAGCAAGAGCAGAGCCGGACTTGGCCAGCATGGAGGATCGCAAGGTAGTGCCACTGCATCAGCTTGAGCCAGAAGTAACGAGAGAACTCACATCGGCGCCGCCACCATTACCGGCAGCGGTGACTTTAGCGGCGTCCACGCCTGAAGCGGACACCAAACATCAGGAGCCACAGCAGGCACATGAACAGCCGCCGGAGCCAGAGAGCATGACGGCACCGCCTAGCACGGCAACCGCAGCACCGGCCCAAGCTGGCGGGGATCGTCACAACGATAAAGCGGAGGAGGTCGACATCCACCTCGTCAAACAGGTGCAGGACGGTACCAGTACGAAGAGAGTGCACGTCGAGGCGGACGACAAGCTGCCCGGCGATCCGCGTGGTGACAGCAAGGACCCGCTGCCCGGCCAGGAAAGAACACGGCCAGTGTTCATGCACAATGCTGCAGCCGCTGGTGTTGCCGGCAATGGACGTTCACAGGACGATGAGCACAGGGAAGACGCGGCCAAGAACCTACAGCAGCCCACGGAGAAACACGACCACCTTGCCGACGAAGATAAAGAAGACACGCACAAATGGCACTATGTTGGCAGTGAAACGGAGAACAGCGACGACAAAAAGCCGTTGCCGACCATACCACCGCCAGCCGGTCGACTGCCGTTTGTCAAACAGGTAAATGAACCATTTTCATATGCCAGTTTTATACACATGATGCTGGGTGGTGCATGTAACACTGAGTTACCACGATGGAAGGGAGCGGGGAACAGGCAGCAAATGCAGACTCCTCAGTGGGATTCAGATGGACGGTTTTGCCTGCCGGAATTGATCCGGACTTTATGTTTGTTGTGTAACGCGTGTGTCACTTTAGATGATCCGAACGGCCTGGCAGAGCTATGTGAAGTCTGCATGGGGTATGAACCATCTAGACTCTGTGCAAGGCCGCGGTGACAATGAAGACACCAGCTTGGCCAACATTCCAGTAGGCTTGTCACTGGTTGAGGCACTAGACACACTGTACATCGCCAACATGACGGAGGAATTCCGCAAGGGACGTGCCTGGGTTGCGAACAACTTGTCATTCGCCAACGCTGTAAGTACATGGAGAGAAATCGTACAACACTTGTATATGAGCCTCTAGATCCAGAAAGGGGGCTTATATCACTTTTGAGCATTTTGAGTTATCTTTACCATGGCATATCCCAGCAGATCACTCTGTAAAACCTACGCCGGTGTAGGTCCAAAATCTTCATCTTTCACAGAGCTATGGGTGTTCCAATAAGTGAATTATACATCGGCTTTATGCGGAAAACTCAACCGCGCGTTTCAAGTGCATTTTTCTCAATACTGCGCCAATCGACATAAGCCCCCTTTTCGGATCTAGAGGCTCATATTGTATATCTGCTGGGACGAAGATGATGTCCCCTCCTCTGATGGCGCATCTCTGTGAAAAATGCCGCCCCTACCTTTTCGATTTTGTGGTATTCAGTTCACACAATGAAAATGCAGCCACAAACCGACCATTCCGGGTGCATGCCACGACAAGGCAATGTTGAAAATGGAAAACTTGAATGGGTTAATTGTTTGTTTCCCTGCCCCTCCGCTCTCCCTTTTACTTTTTCCTGGCTAGAACCCTGAACTTGTGATCATGGTAGGTACAATTAATAAAGAGAACAAATCAAATAGAGAAAGTAGGCCGAATTCACCTTCAAACTTGTGTGACTTTATCTTGATATCCCAACCTATAGACACCTTCCTCCTGTTTTGGCCATGCTTTTTGCACACTTGAACCAATACAGTACCAGAAATCGCTAGAGGGATTTCAAACATCATTCCTAATGCTACAGACAGTAGTCCAAGGACATACGTATTGCAACGGGTATTATGTTCATGGTTGTCAAACGTTCTTCTTGATTTTCATCATCCAGGAGGGTAAACCTGTCGTCTCACAGCTGTCAAAGCGCTTTCTTGGCTCCCTGCTGAGTGTGTACGCATTGACTGGTGACAAGGTAGGTAGTCTTGTTGTACTTGAACTTCTATGTTGGAAATTCCAAGACATAAATTCCACAAATTCCAGGTGATGTCTTGAAAAAAAAATAGGAGAAATGAAAAAATTGTAACTTCCCTATGCTTTTTTTTTGCCTAGGTCATCAGGGTGGTAGACGGTGTCGTATTACCCTTGAATGCAAAGAGAAAGTTTGATGTAGCCAATCACTGAATGGGGAAAAAAACATTTCCATCAGTTCTAATAACATGCATGATGAGCTTGGAGCTTCCAAGCTCTCTCGTTTAGAGGTCATCACGAGTCTTTCGAAATCCCGTCACAACCAGAATTGGGTATGTGTGTGGGGGGGGGGGGGGTAATTTGAGCAGGAACAGCAAGGACACATGTCCAACTGTCAGTGTACCTGTAGACCTCAATATGGTTGTACTGTATTCCTCTTATCTTACAAGGTCTGGTCGTTAGCCTGGCCTGCTTTTCGAAAGTTACTATTCTTACCAGAATCATGGCACGAAGCAAAGCTGTGTGATGCATGTATTTTTCAGGTGTTCCTATCCAAGGCTGTGCAACTCGGCAACATCTTGCTGCAAGCTGTTGACCCTTCGTCAGGTCTTGCGCGACGGGAGGTCATTTTATCCAGGTATGGCCCATGTTCCATCTCTTACCTAGCGTGCGAATGTACTACTGCTACGGAACTTGTCATGACGGGAACAGCCAGCCAACCAGATTTGTCTTTGCTTGACCAGATTCCTCTGCCCATAGGGAGGCTAGCTGTGTGAGCTGTAGAATCGATGTACAGTCAACTTCGCTAATAACGACTGCGGATATAACGACAATTCGCGAATAACGACAGCATTTCCATGCCCAGAGCAAAGTCCCTTCCAACTGTAATACATATAATGAGACTTCGGGTATAACGACACTTCGCGAATAACGACACTTTTTAGATGCCCCGCCGAGTGTCGTTATAAGCGAAGTTGACTGTACTTGGAAATCATTCCATACTCTTTGTCGGATTATTATGTACTCATGGGAATCGAGTATGTAGGGACGGGGGTGGTAATTTAAGCAGGGACAGTGATCACCGCTGACCTTTCGGTCATGGCACGCTTCATTATCGTCACTGTCATTGGATTTGGGTTTGACTGGTCTAAGCTATCCAGGGATGTGTATGCACGCAAATTCCCCATCCGCATGTGGTTTTAGAGATCAGAACACATCAGGTGACCTCCGTCACACCTGGTATTAACATCATATTTCCGGTATGATTTGTGTGTGGTTGTGCAGAGTGAAGCCAAACACGCCAGCACCACCCAGCCCATCTGAGTGTCTAGTCCTGGCGGAAGTCGGTGGTCTACATCTGGAGTTGACCTATCTCTCTCAAGCGTCCGGCAATCCTAGATACCAGCAAACGGTATGCACACTGGCTAGACAGCACAGCTTGGGGTACATGTATATTACAATGGTGTCATGTCGTCTCCGAACACGCACACATCATACCGTCTGTGCAGTACCTTTCTCCCTCCTCAAACAATTGCCACTGGTAAGCTCTGTTGAAGCGAAACACCGGTCTGGCCAGGGCCTGTCAATATCAAAACCTCAATGGAATTATCCTCGCTAATAAAGAGACACTATGGTGGTGATGTGCAAATGGAGTAGCTTGGCCGAGAGCACATTGTGGAGTGGTGGAAGAACCAATATTTCTGAAATGAGCGGCTTTGTCACCAATTTTTCTTCTCATCCCTTTTACAATGTGGTTTGCAAATTGCATCAACGTGCACACCACATAATATACGAGCGTATGGAACTGTTTGGTGGAAAGCGTTCGGCATTCTGCACCAGATTCCTTTAATTGTAATGACTGCATCCCTGAACTCTGTTATCACTGCATTAGGTCAGCCACATTCGGCACTACCTGTCCAGCAAATTCCAAGAAGCGTTGCCCGGCATACCGTATTCAAGGTTTCACTTAAAGAGAGAACAGCCGACCGCTGGCAAACTCACTGACACACCACTGCCGAAGCTATGTAATGGTACGTATGGACGAGTGTTCCATTCATTGTCTTCCTCGTGTATGCCCAACGACAGGTTACTGTAAACTGCCTAATATTCGCGACGGATTAATGTTCGCTTTGTTCGCGAGAAGAGCGTAACGCGAATATTAACCAGCGTGAAATCAAGCTTCAACAGTGGGTGTATGCAGGTGGCCCCTTTGCTTAGCGAACTTTTTCCATCGCAATCTCGATGGTTTTAAAAGAAATCGCGACGATTTAGTGACACGAATATTGGGCGGTTTACAGTATTTAATTCAATCATAGCTTGACAACAGTAGGCGCCATCGCCAGTTGGATGTGCATGTGTTTGTGTGGAGATGCCTCGCTCGTAGTACACGTAGTAGCACTGTGAAATGGACATTGAGCAGCACTATAGAATGAAGATAAGATATAATTTCTGTTCATTTATGCTTGCTGTACGCTATGATTGGCACTGTGCTCGTGGCTGGTCACTACAGGTAGTGCCACTGTGGCTGGCGATGGAGATGAGTACTTCAACCACTTGGCAAAGTCAACACTTCTGTCGCCGCCGGAACCAGCCGACGCCGGGACACTTGTCAAAGCACTGGATGTAAGAATGGTGAATGATGATGTTAGGAGAGAATAAAGCCTTGGTTTAGTGCTGATGTCAGTCTAGAAGGTGGCCATGACAGATTTAGCCTGTTGGCAGCGAAATAATTCAAGGTTCGCATGAGACTCGGCTGCAGGCAGAGTTTTCCGCATCCGTAGGAACGCCACCACCCTCAAGGATCAAGACGCAAATGCAGCCCCTAAAGCGGTGGGAGGTTGGTAGATCTGATCCACCAAAGTGATCAAAAACCGAAAATCCCATTCGCTGTATCCATGCTTCCCTCGTGCCGGGCCATGAGGTCTCAATTCCGCTTCCAGCAGGACTTGAACCTGGTACCCCCTGTTTCTCTATCAAGGTCTTAGACCATCCCATTGGCAGCAAGTTCAGGATAATATTCTTTCCTGTGTGTAGATCACCAGTACCTGTCATTTGGGCACTGGTACTGTTATGCCGAGGTGCTTGTACACTGACTGCAATCTGTATTTATGAATCATTACCACTCACATAGAGTAAGGCTGAGTGGCAGCTTGGTAGCAGCCTGTACCTGTCACACTGAGGAGAACTGCAGCAGTGGGCTAGGGAAAGTCTCTGGTGATTTGCCACTAAGTCTAACTCACAGCACAGTCACATGCAATCTTGGTGCTATATGCGTTTTGTACGGTTGCAGACCATTAGGAAGTTGTTCCTGAGGAAGCTATCGTTTGGAAACACCTCCTATACGTACGTGACAACACCAGAGCACAGTGGCGACTTCAACCAAAGCGTAAGTCAGAGCTATCGATGATCTGCCGCGGGGGTATGCTGTTGTATCCCTGAGTATCTTCGGCTGGAACAACATTCCGATGACTGCTCCATTGAGTACAAAGCCCCACGGATAGCGCTCTGCTCTTCCATCAATCAAAGGGGCGTCAGAGTGCCGAGTGGTATGAGCGAGGGAGTCAGTTTTCCGGCCAATAGGGCACATTTTAGCGTTCTTGTATTGCTCTTTTGGATGAATTGTGCGGGCCGTCGATGCAGCCTGGACGAAAAGTGGCACGACCAGGGTCGTACTGGTCATATCGTGTGTGACGCCCCTGACTCATTTGGGCTATAGCCTACACAATCATGTAGCCTCAAAGATCATAGATAATATTTGTTTGTAATTCAAAGCATGCTAGGCACAGTGTGATCCACAGGTGTTGTGCATGGCTGCATCTGCACGGCTGATCTCCTTGTACTCACAGGAGAATACCAAGCACTAGCTTGATGGGGCTGATGATGCTGGTGCGCACGGAATACACAGTGCGCCAACCGATGCTGTAGTGTGAACTGGTGGGTCGATGTTTGGCCGCTGTGTACCGTGTGCTTTGCAGACTTGCTACGTTGGAACTGTGTTTGCTCTGGCTTCAATCGCCAATACGCGGAGCGCAGGCGAGTATCTGAAACTCGCCGAGGACATTGCGAACACCTGCCGCATGCTTCAGGTGAAATCAGGTTAGTTTAACACCATGCATGAAGGCATGATATCCTGCATTCAGACAGATGTATCGCATTTGATGATCTGGTCGGAAACAGTCAAACCTCGTTTAACCGCACACATCCGTTTTCCACCAAAATACTGTAAATATATATAAATTTTCGGCAGCTATTTAATTTCGGCTATATTCGGCACCGACCCAAAACGCCTAAATTAAAACGCCGATGAAATTTTTCACAGCATCTGTCGCACTATACCATGCCCTCTACCCCACGCCGAAAATAAATCGCCGCCGAAATGTCAAAAATCGTGAAGTGCTGAAATTTTGCAGCGCCGAAATTTTGTATATTTACAGTATCCGGATGAGTGAGGGAACCGGATAATCTAACACACATACTGTATGTATGCACGACGTATGCTGTAAATCGGTAACAAACGATTTTCTTCCGGATGGCGAGGGATCCGGATAAAAGAGAACCGGATAAGAGAGGTCTGGCTGTAGTAAAGGAACTTTATTGTGCCGGGAAATTATGATCCCGTCTCAAGGAATCCACTAACCGGCTCGCCAAAGTCACTGCTTCTAAGTTTGTATCTCTATAGAACTGTTCACCGTATTAGCTTTACAATGTACTTTGAGATTGAGTCCACTAAAGAAAAATGGACAAGTTAGGTGTCAGCTTAGAATGGTTTTGTGCAATTGCTCTCCTTCTTGTCGGTAGACTTCAACCTGGGCGTGGAAAGTGTAGCGTTTTCTCAGGATGCCAAGCCCAGTGGCAAGCTGTTTGCTGAACTGAACTCGCAACTCAGCCTCCGCTCCGAGGTGGCCGAGCTGTACTTTGTTCTCAGCCGTATCACTGGCAAGAAGCAGTACAAGACGTGGGCAATCGAAATGGCCCAGGTCAGTTGTGCGGCATCGTATGAATGTGAACAGTGTCCAAGACACAGTTGTGTAACTTTATGCATCTCAGACTGACTCTCTGTATCCTGTGTGCACTTGCTGCACTTGATTGATGCGCCATGCTCTAATCAAGCTCTATTGTAGATCTAGGATTACCTACAGTGTGTGGCGGGCTGCAATGTGCGTAGGACGTTTTTGTCAATTTGCTGTGAATTCGGACATTGGGGGCGTGCATGCTGAAATGTGCATAGCAGTCTGCATGTGTCTCATCTCCCTCCCTGCAGCCATTGCATGCCTGTCCAGGATTCCAAGTGTGTCACTGCATAGTGGTGTGTGCCTACTGCAAACCGTGCATAGTGTAGCCACAGTGCACCCATTACAAATACGGCCTAGAGCAGCCACATGCTGACTTTCTCTGCCGGCTCATGTTTGTTTGTTTGTGCTATCTTTATGTAACAGGCAATAGACGAATGCTGCCGCCTAGATGGCGGATTCACCGTGCGCACGGGTAGCAAGAGCAGCGACTTGCCAAACAAAGGCAATCAGCCATCACATCTTCTAGGTGCCACCCTCAAGTTCCTCTACTTGACGTTTACTGAGGACTCGGTGATGTCACTGAAGAAGTGGGTCTTCAGTTCAGCCGGCCACGCACTGCCAAGAGCAGCCCTGCCATCCCTGGCAGCAAACAGCAGAAGAACATTCAGAAAGCAGCCCTCACTGAATCAAGGTGCAAGGCCGAGGATCAACAGCAATGGTGGAGCTGTGAGAGCTCAGGCTGTTGGTAGATCAAAGAGTCTTGGGCATAGTGTTGATGATGACGGCGTTGGCCGAAAACCGCTTAACAGCCGAAGACTGGGCAGGCCACGTCGACCTCAAGATATTGGCCAGTTTCAGATGAAGCAAAATCCTGATGAATCCTATGGACGGGAACCACAAGCAGGTCAGAACAGACTCCGGCACAGTGAAGTTGCAGAATATAATGCCGTCAACCGTCGGCAGGGTGGTCGCCGACAGGAGAGACCCAATGTCTACGCCAGACAACAAGTCATACCCGCCAAGCAGCAGGGCCAACTACCACCCAGAGACTCGATGCCTGTTGACGACGGTAGGTCAAATATGGAACAAAATGTAGCCGGGCCACAACAGCAGGGTAGGGGTGTGGATGATCCGCAACAATACTACCCTGCCAGGGTGGTGCGACAACGAAACCGTCCAGTGCTAGATGGTGCTGCGCGGGGTCGACAACCGAATGCTGGGTACAGCCGGTATGACGTGGAGCGAGATTCAAGTCGGGGCCAGCCTCGAATGGCACCTGTCAGGGAAGACTCGCGCTATATTGAGAACAAAGCAGTGCGCAGGCTAGAGCCTGTAGAACAGCAGGTCAACCAGCCAGTACACCAGATGGTGAAGCAGATGCAGGGCCAAGGCGACCTGGCGTATGCCCGTGATAGCAGACAGCGAATTGCACGGCCCGCCTTGAACAGTGCTGGGGGCAGCCAAGTCCAGCGGCGGCCCATTCAAGGTGGTGTGGACGAGGAGGTCCAAGGCAATGTTGACCGGCGTGATATGCCAGGAAGGATGGACACGATGCATCACAATGCAGGTCAGAGAGAACCTGTCAGATACATGAAGCAGCAGCAGCAACAGCAGCAGCAGCAGCAAGATCTCGGTGATGCGGTGATCCGAAACAACCCCACCGGGCAGCAGTTTGCAGGCCAGCCCGAGGCACGGCGACGTTTCGTGAAGGGCAATGATCTACCTCAGCAACCACTGCGAAGGAACCTCAGAGAAGACAATGAACGTAGAGCCAGGGATGCGCTAGTGCAACCCCGGCGCAGAGTTGCTTCAAATTCTAGACTCAGAGCTGGATCACAGAAGAGGAATCTGAATCCTGGTCATGTGCGGAATGGGAGCTAGATGCTCGGTGTACACAAGGGACGGTGTGGCAATGGAGCCATTGCCACACCGTTGTGCATTTCTTGTTCAGCATCAGTCCTCCGAATAGCAAGCACTGTCCGTCCTCAAGTCAGCGTGCATGCTTCCTGTTTGGTGGAGCATGTCATTCTGCGTTTGATCATCTCTTGAGATGTGATCCCGAGCAGGACTCGATCAGACAGCATAACTGTTGATCAGAGTATGCGTCTAGACTGCATGCCCACTGCAGTAGACACAGGCAAGATGCTGCGGCCAGCTGTTAGAAACTAAGCTAGCGCCGCCGGGCAAGCCGTAAATATTTGCTTCTGGGCCTATACGAGACGAGTACAACGCCCGCAGGAGTCTGAGTGGTGGTTTGTTGCCACCGCTCTGTTCCGAGACCCATGGCCAGGGTGTATCTGTGCACAGAGTGTTCTCTATCTCTCTCTCTCTCTATCTCTCTCTCTCTCTCTCTCTCTCTCTCTCTCTCTCTCTCTCTCTCTCTCTCTCTCTCTCTCTTACTCACTCACTCTCTCTCTCTCTCTCTCTCTCTCTCTCTCTCTCTCTCTCTCTCTCTCTCTCTCTCTCTCTCTCTCTCTCTGTGCAGTGTGGAGGCACTGTATGTGTCTAACATGAAACTACACGCCCTTCGAACTATCTCCAAATTAAGATGGCGTCGCAAGAGAAAGCAGCACGTGCCATTGGTAACGTTATATGGCACCGCTGTCTGAAACTGGAGTAATGGTCCCGAGCGGGTTGCAAGACCCATCTTCCTTTTCCGTTATATACCAACTATACTGCAGCTAACGCAAAGTTTATATATTTTTTCATATTCAGCGTGTCTATCTTTCCTGCTGGCTTCCAGATTTCTATCTAACCCTGTTTCCGGATCTCTTCACACAAAAACAGTAATCACCAAAACTGCACTGCTGCTGCTGCTGCTGTTGAATGAAACCCAGGCTGATGAACTAGCTAGCCCCTGCACACCACCCATGCGAGGCCCAGTGTCCGTGTACGTTCAAGGGCTGGCTGACTCACAAAGCTTTTGTTTTCATCAAGCAGTACTGTAGCAGCTATTTCCTGCCAGCTTCCAGATTTCTATAGAACCATTTCTTTCCTATCTCCACACAGATTCCACCAAGAACCTCCACCCTGTTATTTACAGCCTCTAATATAAGGATTCATTGTTTGAGAGAATAATTTCCTCGGACACAAGAATGCAATGTTTGAGAGATAATATAAAGAAGATCAGCAGGCAGTCCATTTTGCCTGTCTTCATTTGTTTGTGTTTACTCGATTCTTGCTGAACAGTCCCAACAGCTGTGGTATGTGTGCAGCCAAGAGCACACACCCTCCCTTCCCCTGTGTGATGTACTCTTGGCTGTACGCATGTACGAGCGTAGTAACGTTATCATGTGCACAGCGGTACTCAATAGGGCTTGAAAGTGCTACGTCACAGCATAGCAACAATTTCAAAAATTCAAAAACTGGATCCACTTGGATCCAGTTTTTGTATGGATCCAAGCACATTTCAAGCGGTCTTACCCACAGCATGGTGATGTAGCCAGTGAAACTGACTGATTTGGCTACTGGGGGCGGGGTTACAACCGGTGGCGAAATAAAAGTCACACCTGCATGCGACGTGAGTGGGTTGCTATGCACCCACATACTTAGGCAATAGCAAGTCACACCTTAGTGGACCCAAAAATAGAAATCCGATGTCAACTTACTACTCCCTGGCCGTTTTGACGTCATCACTTTCAAGCCCTATTGAAATCCAGGCGCATGAATACTTGCACAAGTATAATAATATAAGTTGAAGTTGATGATCCGTTGCTTGAACGGTGAAACACTGTGTAATGGAATTTGATCTCTGACGGTTTTTCCGCTTGTGTGTGATAAAGCTCTGCCTCGCTTGCATTGAGCACTCTCCGCAGTTTGAGACCATTCCCTTGTGTAAGTTTAAGTTATATAACCAAGAGTGCAACTTGGTGTTTCCTCGCCCACAGCAGATTTCGTGTCACATTCTAAGTCTTTCACAGCCATTAATTTAGCTCACTGATATACGGTATTATTATAATACCATCGTCAAGAGCTCATATTCCGTATTTTCGGCAATACTGGCCAAGCCCAAATAATTCACCGAATTTGATAAAAAAAGCACACACACACTAAAATCCCTGAAATGAGGTGGCACCTATTTCAGATAGGCGGTAATAAAGTACCGGCTCCAATTTCAGAAAGTAGGGTAGTTCAATTCTGGACTCATACCATCAAAAGTGCAAAGAAATTATTCTGCATTACAGCTACAGTAGTCATGAAGCCTGATTTACTGACATCGCATCTTGCTTGCGAAGCGCAACAAGAGATTACTTACATCTCAGCTGAAGATAGGAGTTGCACACCCTTGTTTATGTACTCTGGATGTTACTACCCACATGCACCAGTGCACAGCCTCGTTTGTAGATGCGAGATTGCACAGTACCATGTGCCAACTCGCAACGGCCACATTTTATGGTGAAACACTACTCAAATTTAAAAATAAATGACAGACAGACCTTACCCGTCCCATCCTCATTTATCCTGCCCCCATGCCAACCGGTGCAGGACTGGCCGGAGCAGATTGGCCTCTAACAGTTTGAGTGCAGCCTAACACACTTTTGGTTAACGGTACCTTGAATGTGCTACAAGTAGGTTGGTGTCCTTTATACCGTAATTTATAGCCAGGTTTGGTGAATGTAGTAGATGTAGCAATGACAGGCAAGCATTATCAAAGCTAGAAAAAAAGTAGAAAGGAAAAGGACATATGGATACGAGTTAAGAGTAACTCTCCATCACTGTAACTGGATACTATATATAGTCAGAAAGTGCAATAACTAGGCACAAAACTAGGTGTCAGGACGTCGAATGTCTCAGTACTCTTGTCAGTTTTGTGCCTAGTTATTGCACTTTCTGACTATACTCGAAGTATATTAGTATCCAGTTACAAGTACAGTGATGGAGAGTTACTCTTAACTCGTATCCATATGTCCTTTTCCTTTCTACATTTATTTATGGCTCAACATCCGAGTTAGAAAAAAAGTGTTAACGTAATACAATTAGCATTCCTGATCTTCGAACCAGTCACATATCCAAAAGCCATTACTTGTAGAAAAAGCCCAGTTTAAAAACAAAATGAAAAAAAGACCATAAAATAGGACCTTGTACAGCAAGTAGGGAAACACGGCACATGATGTACACAGTCAGATAGTTCAAGTACCTTCGGTCCTGGATTATATACAATGTATCTAGTATTATTTATTATATACATGTTAGTTTGTTCGTCCCCGTTTCAGCCATGGCAAATGACAGCGCGGGCAGTAGGAGTGTGATAATGGGGGAAAGATTTCTGCACCAGGCGCTTATCCGCGTTCGGTGATTAGTAATCAGCGTAGAAAGGAATGTCGCAGCCATGCATCCATCGAGACGACGATGGCGGTTTGCTGTCAGCTGGCGAAGGAGAGAGGAGAGAGAGGGACGATAAATACTCAGCGGGAATCTAGAAGAATGACAGAGGTTCGATGAAGATATCCGGGCGAACGGTTAGCTGGGTGACAAGTAAGCACACGCTGACTGTCGCCTGCTTAGCCATCTGCTGCGGAGCTGTACTGTCGTCGGCAACGGGCTAGACGTTTAAGACGAATACAGCATAGAACCATGTTTCAGCAGCATGACAAAGCCAGGAGACTCCTTGGCTCACCGTAGTATAGGGCCTGGGACATTCCTGTTCCATAATACAGTAGTCAGCACTGTTGACCAGTTGAGAGCACCGGCACTGTTGCCTAGTGGAGAATACCGTGTGGGCGACAAGATTCGTCCTTGGGATTACGTCGCTTCACCAGCTTGTCCATCTCTACAGGGTCCAGCATCTTCTGACCCAGGCGGCAGAAATCTGCACAGCTTGAGCTCGAGAAGTGCTTGCGGAAGACCGGGTTGAACTTTTCCTCTGGCCACGTGCGATACGCCATATACTTGTTATACACCTCCTCATCATTCATGATCTTCTTGATCTCGGTGGCGAGGGCTGCCATGCTGGACACGTGTGTAAATATAGCCACACAGATAAGGCAGAGTCAGTGAGATGATGGGTACTTACTCTCATCAATCAGTAGTAGCAAGACGGAAAAGCAGCACAGAGCAGCACATGCCTGTACAGTGGTCCGTAGGAGAAACTCTCTTATCAAGGCGCCTTGGGACCGGAGGGCGCCGATATCTCAGAATCGTCCTCGACTCGGAGATGCAGAACATGTTCAGCCATAATTGGATACGACACATCATTCTCTTCAGTTGCGTTCACAGATTAACAGCATTTACAAGCATACCCAGTAGATACATCAAGTCAATTTCACACCATTCAGCTTCATGTATATACATTTTGCCCACCCCATTCCCATGGTCATAAATGCACAGCTTCACAGAAAGCACAAAGCAGTGATATAGCTACAGACCACGGGATGACGCACTACGCACCCTCATACACTCTTGGAAACAAGGCTTTAAGGCAATGAGTTACTGTATAGCAGGAAATTTTCGGACGGAAATATTTTCGGACAAAGCCGAATTTCGACCTTTCATACGGATTATATTTTCGTACAGTGCTGCATGCTAAATACACGTGTTTGCAAGCAGAACGCATATGTATAGTGTAGAGGGGACGGTTTCAAATAGGACAGAGGTTGCAAACCGGAACGGACTCAATATTCACTTTCTCTCTTGGTATTTTGATTAGAAAACATATGTCACAGTGAGACTACGATGTGTTATACTCCGAGCCAAAATTGCATGGCTCTGCGATGACCAGAAGCGCCATACCAAGCAGGTGAGTTTTGGACGTGTTGCTTCGCACTGCGACTTGAGTTTTACGACTTTCGAAAAATCAACTTCTTGTCGCAGGTAAACAGCGGCTCGCCTCTCGCCAATAAAGCACCGCATACCAATCAAAACTAATGGAAGCACACACAAGGCTTATTGTTACTCTGTACTGGCCGTCGTGGAGCGATAGCAATTACCTAATTTCAGACCCAGAGTGAATTTGACGTGCACTCTAAAACGTGTCCGGTTTGGAGCCACCTTTGATTTGAACTTTTTTGAAGCGAAAAATTGGGCAACTTGGAGGCAATGGGTCAACACAAAGGAGTGGCTCAGTTCGATTGACTCTGGCCCCAGAGCAAACTTCAACATGCCAGTTTCCTTCCACAAACATATTTCGAGTGAAAAATCAACGCTGATGATCGGTTTGGGTCTATACAAATTTGGCTGTCAAAGCGTCCCGGTATCGAGCCGTCCCCTCTACATAATTTCACATGAACAAATTTTAGCAAGGAATTAATTTTAGTGCAAAAGAGGCCGTGTACGAAATCGTACGAAAATAAATTCCGTCCGAAAATTTCCTGCTATACAGTATATACGGGTGGACTTCTTATTGAGTCCACCCACACACACACACACATGCGTGCACATGCACGACTTCCACAGGTACCGGTACTCACTCTTTGAATCGGCCATAGTCGAGGTAGCAGTTCAAGTCAGGTGCGTACTTGGTGTAGTCCGGCACACGGTCGTTGCTCGTCACCAGCGGGATAGTGGCCTGGGTCAAGGCACGCCACCACTTCTCCGTCACGTAGTCGTAACAGAGCGAATTCTCAAACACCATGGCCACCTTGTATTTCTCTAGGGTACTGATGTCATGGTAGCTCTGCAGACAGGAAAGGTATAAACAGCTGAAGACGTTAGATGCAAACGGGCGCACACAAGCCAACTGCGGAGAAAAGAGATTGCTGCATTAGTGTCATCAACAGGTCGAGAAATTCAAACTCTTCAGAAGTAACGCAAGAAGCAAATGAGGCTCTGGGGTAAAGGCAGCGCGCAGTGCTGCAAGCGGAGCAGGTATAATCACCATACTCGGGATATGCACACTGCAGCAGCAGTTCTGGCTAGCGCTGGGCCACAAGGGCCGCAAAGTCCACATTACTACGCACCCTTGAAAACATCCATTAGCAACGGCACCGGACATGTTGTTATCGGACTGCTGCTAGGAAATAGTAGGAATTGTTGTTATGTCGGCATGTTGGAGGGGGTGTCAGTATGGATAGATTCTATCCAGAAAGGAATTGCCATGATATCACATGTTATCGTTATCATTGTAGAGCAAAGCAGCCCACTACAAAGTAAGGGGCCATTTAGCATAATCAAGAGTCGTGTACATACTCCTCAAGAGTGTGCAACTCCACTATGGCTGCTGTCCCGACAGAATTTCATGATGCAATGCGCACTTTACCTGCATTATCAGTAGTAGATCTACTACTTATCAGACATATTCTAGACCAGTGGCGGACAAATCCCCAGCTGATCCTGCACAACTACAACACGTATGATGCGTTGACACCCAGTATAAACGTCGCAAATCACTCGTGCGAGGAGCATTGCCTCATAAGGATGATGTCAACTTGAAATTCTGTCGGGACAGCACTGTGTACGGGAGTTGCACACTCTGGGAGGTTATGTACTCTTGCAAATATCAATAAAATACTACTTTCGAAGTAAAGAATCAATTGTTCATTACAAAAGTCATTACGTACGGTCTCCAATACCGTAGTTTCCGGAGCATGCTGCATGCACGCATGCACACACCCACGCAAGCACGCACCCACCACCAATACACACACACACACACACACACACACAAACAAACACACACACGCACACCTTTTGGCTAATATTCGGACAATTTAAGACAGGTGGATATCCATACCCGGAATGTAGTGTGCAACACAACCAGGATATCGAGTCTAAATCAGCACGTGCACATACTAAGCAAGAGCAAAATTAGCCTTGCTGCACGGAAGGACGTACCGAGAGCTCATGGTTGTGGAAGCACCGACCAAAGCCGTGGATAGGTACTTGCTCGTTGAGGTCACGCATGAAATCCGAGCGTGGGACGAATCCACCGCAGTTCGACACGAGAGATGAGACGGCATTCGCAACCTTTTGTTTGAAGCTGAAGTGAGACGCTCCATGGATCTACAATGATAAACACAATGATAGCCAAGAAAACAACAACACATTCCAGGAAGCACGAGAAGGCCGAATATACTATCACAGTATGTGTGGCGCAATACCCATCAATCACAACAAGCACTATTAAACAATGTACTTCAATAGTTGAATAGTTTTAGGCAGTTGAAGTGCTTGAAGCCGTGTACATTCGTCTCCGTAACCCTGATCTGTGTAAACAAAAAGAAAATGTCACTGCACTCACACTCTTTCTGTAATTATTTCACACCCATTTTTACCAATGCATTTTCACATACATGTTTCACATTACTATCCCAATATTGCACTTGTAACATCCTTCGCACTTGCCTGATAAGCTCTTCTGAATGGTTGTCCCGTACATGTACTTGTAATCATTTTTTTCCACGCTGTAAACTCAAGTGTATACTTATATCATACTGCTGGTTATCTATTTTTCTGTCAGTCATGAGATTTCATTGATAAAATGTGACAAGAAAACGTTCTGGAACAAAACCTTTTGCTACTTTGTTGTTTTGACATGAGCGCGAGTTTAATTTTGTTCATAGCTGTTTTAAAGTACTTCAAGAACCATATTTTCTGGGGTGTTAGCCGCACCAGGGTCTAAGCCGCATCCCCCCCCCCCCCCTTCGGGTCCAAAATTCGTATTTTTGTTGACATTCAGTGTACAAGCTGCGTGTCAGATTTTGAAATTTTTGGCAACTGAACTTAATGGGTATCGGTACATACAAGACGTTAACGTTGAAAAGCACGGCCGAAGTTCTACAAACATTGCCTGGTTTGTCCTTCACTCACAACTGACAGCGTGTAGAAGCCTCGCAATAGTACAGTCCCTGGTGAAGAGAACACGCCAATGCAGACCTGGGGTCACGTGGGACACGTGTGACACACTTCAAGAAATACATGTGCGTGTCACGACCATCTCGTTGCCGCTGTATGGATGTCTCCAACTTCCAGTAAGTGCAAACACACCCATCAACTGATATGCTGCAGGAATGAGCTTATTTTGGCGGCAAGTGAAGACCGATCTCGAGAACGAAAATACCAGTTCCCGGGCTGCGCGGCCCTGCTCTTACTATTTATGTGGCCTGATTTCACTAGTACTGCTTGGTTAACCGCTCATGAGTTTGACGCAATGACGTTCAGACACACACACACACACACGTGTCGGCTCTACAGGCACCATCGGGGGTGTCATATCTTACTGCGTTCCGCTGACTTACCTCCGTGAAGCTCTTTTCACCGATGGGGATGTACGCCGCTCGCACATGACTCGACAGCATGTACTTGTACTCCAGGTTGAAGAGGTGCTGCAGATGCTGCGAGCTGAAGCCGCTGTACGGGCTCTCCATGGTCATGTACATGAACAGCTGCGTGGGAAACGCGCGCTCAGGCAGAGCGGGATAGCCCTGCAGAACAATAGCAGAAGGAGAGAGAGCATGTCACGAGCTGACGGCATATCCTTGACTGTTGCATTCTAAAGTTCAGTGACGAACCAACAGCTGGCGCAATACGGAAACAGCACCACACTGATACAGCGGCACGACGTTTGATCCACAGCAGCGGCAGAGTTCATGTGCATGGACAGGGGGCACGCAAACCCACTCACCGACCAATCGTGAGCCACGATGATGTCAGCTTTGCTGGTGAAAGAGCGGTCACTGGTCGTGTACCAGGTGATACAGCGGTTGACTTTCGACTTTTCACAATCCATGAACTCCTAGGAAGAGGGAGAGAGCAAGGACAGAAAAGCAGCATAGATCCAAACCATCCAGTTACGCTTCTAGACAGCATACCCTAGCTCGAGTATATTCAGTATTATTTACGCCCCTGAAATATGACAACGAAAAGTTTGCAGCCAAACTCAACCGCTTATTGGTGAACCGGGGATGACACGCGTTGGGCAGTGTGCTTGGAAAGTGCAGCTTTCACAGACGCCTGCAGACCAGAACATCCCAAGCTGTCTCCAGAACCATTTCGCCAGCTGGAAGTGGCTACTGAACATTTGGTGCACACACACAAGTGAAAATTCATTCCACAGTGGAGATTGGGCACAATGACCTTGTACATAACGAGAGATTGAAGTATACTAGGACGAAGTTATGTTGCCCAAGTCGCGTAGCAAGTCCTTCCGAAGACATCATCGGGTTGACGAAAGCCACATGATACGAACACGATACAAATCTGAACGCCACTTCAAGTATGGCCCTATCAATCAAGATCTAAGCAGTGGTTCAAAAATCATTAATGGATGCGTTCAGACGGTGGATGATATAGAAACGGTCAAGAGGAACCTGGCACAAGGGTAACATTAATGCAACAAATGGGGCTCGGGGCTGGTGCCAGTGGCTGTGACACTTATCCCCCACCCCCATTATTAGGTACTCGTACTTGGAATGGTTGTATCGTGAAATACCGTTAATTTGAACCCCCCCCCCTCCCCCGTGTCGCTTCTCAGCTGGGTTTTTAGGCAGGGGGCGGGAATTAAATCAAAGCTTTCAAGTGCAGCACTACGTACAACTACATGAAAGATCAGACTTGCAATGCTGGCTGGTGCACACCTTTATCCACAGATATACCTGCGTCGGTTCAGCACTGTATTTTGGACGTATTCGCCAAAGTCGCTTCAGAGGTGGAACTTCGATAGGGGACGGAAACTAGAGAGGGGGTAGATCAACAGTACAGTAATACTGCCCATGCACTGTCCATGAGACTCTGCCTTGGAGAAAGCAGCATGTATATTATAGTTCTGGTCTGACAATGCATGCAGCTAACTCACACCGCATGATATAACATCTGCGTAAGAGAGAGAGAGAGAGAGAGAGAGAGAGGGAGAGAGAGAGAGAGAGAGAGAGAGAGAGAGAGAGAGAGAGAGAATGCACAGCATTACAACTCGTACGGTTACTCGTACCTTTAAACCATTCGGATTTCTATGCCAATCCCAATGCGGATCCCAGTGCAGGACGATCATCTTCTTCATTTCCTTGCAGCCACCCGGCGGGGGAGCGTATTTGGATTCGTAACCAGCCGCTCCCCCTGTAGTCACTGCCGCAGTAGTTGCAGGCGCCGCAGCAGTGGCAGCTACACGTTTCGTGGCAGCTACAGTTGTCATGGCAGCCCGGGCCAGCGTTGTGCCAAGGTGCTGGATAATGGCAGCAGCACCCGGTGCACTGCTTGGCTTAGGTGCAGCGCCAGTGTGGGCCGGCTGGCGCTGTGTGTTGTTTGGTGCTGCACCCTATTATGACACAACACAGCAAGTGGTGCAAACAACAACACTAACTCAACAATTGCAATGAACGTTAGAGAGATATGTCGTGTGAATATGATCATAAATCCAGCAAATCACTTGCAGCACACACCGTGTATGTGAACAGCAAAGGTGCATACCATATGCACGGACACACAGGCACACATATACATACACATGCCACACACCCACACACACGCGCACACACAGCACAGCGCACGCACACACAGCGCACAGCGCACGCACACAGCGCACACGCACACACACACACGCACACACAGAAACACACACACACACACACACGCACACACCGATTGACACCCATCGCCAGAGGCGATGATAGCGATGCTACAGCAGAAGCCATAGCAACTTGTGCTGGAATTGCACCATTCAAAAGCTTGCAAGGCTGAAGAATTGACCGTCACTATTCAGCCTGGTCTACACCTCACAGCTATGAAGTAGATTTTTCTGGCCAGTGAATCCCTGATTTTTGGTCTTTTTCATTATTTCCGCACGCACAGCACACCACATACTCCGGCATGCACTGGCTGTTGGTAACCACAAAGGAGAATGAAAGAAAAGTCAGGAGCAGTCTGAGAAAGAGAAGAAAGACATGTGTCCCCAATATCGTCGGGAATCAAACCGGCAATCTCTCGATTGGAAAATCGACTGCACATACCAGGTACCACTGCACCATACGGGACACACACACACACACACACACACACACACACACACACACACACACACACACACACCACCACCACCACCACCACCACCACCACATACACACCACCACCACCACCACCACCACCACCACACACACATACAGCACACACACACAGACACACACACACACACACACACACACACACACACACACACACACACGCACACACCATTGGACCATTGGACGCCCATCGCCGGTGGCGATGATGCGATGCTACAGCAGAAGCCATAGCAGCTTGTGCACACACACAAACACAGACACAGACACACACACAGCACACACACACACACACACACACACACACACACACACACAGGACACAAGCACAGACACACACACACACACACGATGGAAAGGTGTACATGTCTACCGAGCCGAATTGGACCTTAGTACTCAGGCTCTATAGCATACATAAAAGCAATACAAAATCATGCATCATTTGCTCCACACATGATTTCGATTGTCGGATGTTAGTTACAAACGTTCATGTACTGTGCAGGTCAGCTCAGTGGAGATGGGATTTTTAAATCCAATCTCAACTGAGCTGACCGATCTTGCATGTAACTACATAACTATTGAGCTGTACGACTAATTTCTGTCGCCCACGTCTAATAGTCAGTCCTTTCCGAAGATCTCGTTCAGTGACAGATCGAATTTACTGTACTATTTCGATCTCCCAGACTGTCATTACATGTATACCCTATCTTTATTGCACATGTAACGCAAATATAAAACATCACTGGAGCGTCGTCAATTATATAATTATTATTACCGTATATTTTAACCAAAATAGTGTTCAAGTAGACTGGTACTACAGTGCTGCTGGCAAGTGAATTCCAACACATAATAACAATAATATAATGGACTCGGATGGAGAGCCAAGGATTCATTTATACAAAAGAAAAGGACCAAGGAACTACAAGTTACGCTGTAATGTCTACTAACACCACCAGTTACTAAACAATCAGCTCATGCAATAACATTGCATGACACTGACCGACGGTACTGACGTTCTACGACTAACTGGCTAACAGCTCTAGCACATCTTGGATGCGCACTCCAACAGCCTTCCAACTTGGAAGGTTCTAAGTTATAGACCTTATTCGATAAACGTCACAATCACGTGAACCGGGGTCCCGGGAACCAGGGATTGGCAAGAGACCTGCACTCAGTGCACAGTGGACTCGGCGTGGGAACATAGGAGTAGGAAGAATACTGGTATTTTACTACTCCCTTGTACGAACTGGGCCTTTCTTGCCACTCGTTTCACGTACGCGTGCCCCAGCTTACGACAAATCCCTGGAGGCGAGTCCAAAGATCACGTTATCGAATAAGGTCTATAGAAATAACATAATGAAGATGTGCTAGAGCTGTTAGCCAGTTAGTCGTAGAACGTCAGTACCGTCGGTCAGTGTCGTGCAACGTTATCGCATGAGCTGATTGTTTAGTAACTGGTGGTGTTAGTGGACATTACAGCGTAACTTGTAGTTCCTTGGTCCTTTTCTTCTGTATAAAATTATACAATGACTATGCTTTATTCATGGAGTTGGAATTCATCTGCCATCACGGAGTCACGGTACATAAACATCAGAAGCGGCACAAGAAATGAAACTGGCACAGTGCATATTCATACAATGCACATACGATGCGTATGTCTTGAAGGACAAAGGAAGTCCGAAAAGAGTCGTGTACCTTTCTGAATACCATCCTCCTCTTCAATGTATTGTGGCAGGTTTTTATTTGATTTGAATTCACTCCCAACATAATTTTTATCGGCTAGGAGAGATTCCCAAGATAGGTACTAGGTGTCCATTTACCTCTGGATATAATACATGTACAATACATTCCGGCTATTTTGAGGAGAATCAGCCACGGGTAAGATGTACTACCGGCTACACCGGCACACCTCTCCAGATATCCAACTAGTTTCACGGTGGACTTTGTGTAGATTGTTTACTAGGGCTCAGCTGCTGAGATGCAGTACAGTCGTCCCTCTCTAATCCGGCACTTTATAATCCAGCACCCTCGATAAACCAGCACAATTTTCAGTAGCCAAATGTCCTCTTCATGCACATTGCAGCAGTAGATCAGATTTGTTAATCCAGCACCCTCCCTAATCCAGCAGATTTCCGTGGCACAAATGGTGCCGGATTATAGAGGGACCACTGTACTTTGGATATGTACTGCATGCATGTACTGCATACATGTACTTCAGGAGTCATGTACATGATTGTACATTTAAAAACTAATAATAAATAATTATATTCAATTCCGGCCTTCCGTCAATGGTACAAAATGAGCCAACTCAATCGGACAATTACTAGTAGCCGCATTTATTCACTTACAGCGCCACGTCGCTCGACACCATGGTTTCTATGGCCATGGACGTGTCCTTGTCCAAGTGCCTTGCTGAAATCAAACTGGGATAGAATGATGACGACTATCACTGTCAACAAGACTGTGAGCAGGTAGCCGATTAGTCTCCCTAGCACCTTCACCGGCAAAAGTTGCCTCAGCGGTCGAGAGAAAAGCATGGTGATTCAGTAATCTCGACTCATATTGCCATAATATTATGTACTTGCAAACTGATCAGATGAGCAGAATACACTTCTCTACTCTTTCTCCAGAAATTTGAACATTGTTGTGTTTTGTAAGCTGTCTTCTTCTTCTTTTTCCACTTTGATTGATTCAGCAGTGTACCAGGTGTACGGTAAACCGGGAAGTACACAACTACAAATCTACAATGCCCCGGGCCGATCCCTGGTTCGGGTATTTCTTCGCTGAGTCGAATTCGGGATTTGTGGAAAACGATCTACTCGTAGCTCTACGTAAAAAAGTCGTTCGAACGTTCGAAGACCGACGCGACGCGCGACGTCGCGCCAGGCCGGCCGGCCGGAAACTTCCCGGCCCCGGCGCTTGAGATCGAGGGGAGCTAGCCGGGAGATCCGGAGTTCCGCCGATCCCCGGCGATAGTACGATCTTCACGAAAACAAAACAAACAAAAAAGAGCAAAAAGCGAGGACGTGACGCCTCGACGTCGCGTATACCTGGTATACGCGATATCATAACAATCTCCACGTTGATATGATGAGCAGTTCCTGCATGCACTGTACTATTGGCTGTAGTTGAACATCATACGTGGACAACAATAAAACAATTGTCTTCTAATCGTATTCCCACTGCAGCCTTCATGTAGTTGGAAGGAGAAGGAAAGCCTGTGTCCTTTGTTCAAGTGGTCGAATGGCCCTTCTCCCAGTCCACAGAGTTCCTAGTGGGAGAACTGGTCGTCATGGGCGAGAGAAAGTCATTTTGTTGGCAATCTTTGTCTTGTTCACTTTTGTATGTTTTGGTGCATTCTTCTTCGTTCCGGACTTTCGTGATAAGCTGACGGTAACCTCCGCTGTAGAAAACCCTGTTCAAGCTTTTGTGAATCAACATGTCCAGCAAGTTGTGGCTCCTGTTCCTCGTCACGGTGATCAGGGGCACCCTCACGCACCAGCAGTGGCGAATAATGGAGAAAACACACGGCCAGTTCGGACTGCTGTGCCGCCGCCTCAAGAGGACAAAGTAGCTGAAACTAAAGCTCAGGTCACCACTGAAGCCCCTCGGACGGAAGAGGTCACAACTAAACCAAAGAAGCCCGAACCAACAAAACCAGCATTGGACGAGGAGACAATAAGAAGGCGTAAATCAATTGTTGAGGTAAATCTTGTATATCTTGAACACGATTAAATTAATAGCACATCATTCATTAATGATTACATGTACCACTATTGCAGTCACAGAATCATTGCAAGTGGAGTAGTGAAAATAACTTTCAGAAGGAGGGGAATAATATTCTTCACAACCTACACGATGCAATTGTTCTGCTTATAATAATATTGATCGAGCAAAGTGCTTGGCCCGTATACTACAGTGCTGCTCAATGAAATCCGGTCAAGCGAGTCAATGCCATGCTGGGCGCTATGCAACGTTAGACCTGCGAACACTGGGGATGTGAACTGGCGCAGGGTGCAAACTACACTTGTAGTATTGTCGATACACACTGCGGCCGGGGCCCGGAAGCAACTCTCTGGTGGCTAATCCCGGTACCAATGTAGATCAGTGCCGGCCGCTAGAATAGACCATCCTGAATGCTACCGGTATTGGCCAATGGGGATTTCCCATATAATCCAGTACGTGTACATGTAGTCATGTACTTCGCTGGTTTGCATTGCCACCTATGCCACACGGAGAGCCGCTTCCGGCCTCCAGTCGCAGTGTGTATCGCCAGTACAGTACTAGTATACGAGGCAAGCGTTTTCCGGATGCAGCAAGTATAACAGCGGGCATCATGCAGGTTGTAAAGAGTATATTTCAGAGACACCACTTTGTGTCCGAACCTGATCGTATATGCCTGGAAATAGACTTGTGTGGGTGTCCAGACAGCTACAAAGCCTAGTGGCTGCATTACATTGCCTCTTGGCCCTATCTGTGCAGGTCCCATTATAACTTGTGTATGAAAAGAGCAGAAAAGCGAACAGACGCGTGTGCATTGTATCCCCATGTACCTCATTTCGCAGGAAGCGTCTAATGTCCAAACTGTGCCATTTTCGAAACCTGGTCCACAAAGCATCACGCACAACCTGTTTGGAGGTATTCAAGCAATGTAGTAGGAAGCAGAAAGCCGTAGATAATCAATAATGACGCTAAGCTTATTGCCCAGTTTGTGACTATGTACTGTGGGTAGCACGCCGCACCGCGACTTATGCATAGAGTTGTATTTTTGGGGTTACTGTTGGGAGTGATGGGCTCTTGATTTCGTGTCCAAGTTTTCCTGTGAGCAAGTGTCGTTTGAGATCAGCCTGTAAGAAAGTCAGGAGCTGCCTTGCAAAAGCTCTGGAATTCCGTTGTATGTGTAATTTTCTATTGTCATCTGCACGGAGGACAAAGCTAAGCTGTCACTATGCTGGATATTTAAGGATGTGACGTTCGTCTTGCAAAGAGATCTACACTTATACCGTTAATTAGCATGCGGCAGTGTCTTGTTACCACCGAACAAGAAGCAGCCCAGCTGCATTTGACGTTGTGCGCCAGCTTTCCAGCCACACGTTAAGCGTCACCTGCCTGAGTTGGTGTCCTGTAGTTGCGTGCTCTATGCCACCCTCACTATGGTGGCCTGTATAAGGCTGTATTGATTCTCTATTAGGTGTTTCCTACATGGACATTGTCTGACGTTTTCAGCCATCTCACACTGTATTTCTTTTGCTGCTCTGGATGCTGTTCCAGATGGCCAAGCACGCATGGCGCGGCTATGAGCAATTCGCCTGGGGCCAGAACGAGTTGAAACCCATCAGCCGTGTTGGTCACTCGGCATCCATTTTCGGTTCATCCTCCATGGGTGCAACGATAGTAGACTCGCTGGATACCTTGTACATCATGGGTCTAACGGACGAGTTCAAGAAAGCACGTGACTGGGTTGCAGCTAATCTGAACTTCAATTCGGTAAGACTGCCAATAGAGCTGCTCGTATCCAGCACAGCTGCACTGTTGCTGGAAGTAACCTCTGCAACAGGCGGTGATTTCGGTCACTTACACATGTGCTCATTAACGCTACACTTTTTCTGTACAAGGTGGTCATTTGTAGTGGAGAAAACTCCGCAGTCTCTTGTTGCTTATGTGTTTTACCGACGCATCTATCTACCGGTATGTGTGTTGCCTGACACAATTGCAGTGACAGTGTCTACATGTATGTGTGTTGTGTGATGTGCAAGGGAGGGGAGTGAACATGATTACGAGACTTTCTTCATCTGATTTTTGTTCATTCCGCTAAATTTACGTGGATGCACTCGCACGTGCACGTGTATGTGTTTGCTTGTGTTTGTGTTTATGATCAGGGCACGCAAGTCTCTGTGTTTGAGGTTACTATTCGATTCCTTGGCGGTTTGTTGAGCTCGTACGCACTGACAAAGGATGAGGTAGGTAACGAGAGAGCTTGGAAGCTCAGGGCCCTACGCTATGCTTTTTTGCCTTGATCACCTAGACAAAAAAGAATAGGGATGTTATAAATTCTTATAAGTTTCTACTTTTTGTTTTTAGACATAACCTGGGATTCGAACCCGCACTATCGCCCTGCATGCATCCCCCGATACACTTCGCATACATACTAATTCTTCCAAGTTGCTTCACGTTATGATCTTGTATTTGAAAGCCCTATTCGAACATGCATTGTGGCCAGCCGTCTTTGATTGTAGGGTACGGTACGGGACAGGTACGGGACATGTACGGGACAGGTACGGGACAGGTACGGTCGAGGGTAATACGCACTGTCTACCGCCTTGATGACGGCAAAAAAAGAAAAGGGATGTTATAAATTTTTCAATTCTCCTATTTTTTTCAGGCATTACCTGGGATTCGAACTCGCACTATCGCCTTACATGCATTCCCCCATACACTTCGCATCCATACTCATTCTTCCAAGTTGCTTCACGTTATGATCTTGCGTTTGAAAACCCTATTTGAATATTGCGGCCAGCTGTATGTGGCCAGCTCAGGCCCAGCTGTGTTTGATGGTACGGTACGGGACAGATACGGCATAGCGCCAGGCGTGACACAAACACACAAACAAACACCAAATTAAAGCTGTGTGGACCCTGGCTAGCGCCAGACGTTACTGAAGTAACGTCTTCTGCATAGCTACGGGAATTAATTTTCTTTCTTGAATTGTAATGGTTTGGCGGAGTCCTCTTTTTGCTCTGTGTGTGTGTGTGTGTGTGTGTGTGTGTGTGTGTGTGTGTGTGTGTGTGTGTGTGTGTGTGTGTGTGTGTGTGTGTGTGTGTGTAGTAAATAGTGTAATCCCAGCCCAAGTTGCTATATCTAACATAGCTGTTCGCTATCATCGCTTCTGCGGTGGGCAGGTCTGAGGTCTGTGTGTGTGTGTGTGTGTGTGTGTGTGTGTGTGTGCACGCTCGCTAAAATCAGCAGCGGTCAATTCATCAGCCTGACAAGCTGTTGAATGGAATCATGATAATCCCAGCACAAGTTGCAATGTCTAACATAGCTTGTTGGCTATCATCGCTTCAGCGATGGGTGGGTGTGCGCGCGCGCGTGCGTGGGTATGTGTACACATTTTGATGACATGTGGATAGCCAAACAATTTTTTTCCTTTCTACTGTTGTTCGTAAAACTGTGGCAAGATGCCTGATTTGATCAAGTTCCTGTATATATGATTGCATGGTTGAAAAATACCGCATCCAGACCTGCATGCGGCAATAAGTTGCATCAAGTCCGCATTTGATAATGACAGCATTGGAGAATGTGGAGCAAGGCTTGCAAAAGCATGGTCCATATGAAGATTCTAAAAGGCAAAACCGGACGATTTCCAAAGTTGGGAAATTGATATCCCTAGCCCAGTGTTGTCAGGAGGTCATAGAGCACCTTCATGCTAAATTTAGAATTCAAAATTTCACAAGAGTCACTTCAAGATCGTTATCTAACTTTGAATTTAGAACCACGACTCCCGTGCTGGTGCAATGAATCCTTTTGGCCATTGTGCGGGAGGTGACCATATGGATATGCCACCTGTTGTATTCACGTTTGACATGCTGGCACATTTGTTCTCGCATTTGCATGGCTGGCCAGGTTGGATTTGACTGGCCCTAGCTATACCGGTGTATGTTGCTGCTCGATGAAATCCGATCAAGTGATTCAAGCATGTGCCCGGCACTGTGCAGCCCTAGGCTTGCTAACACTGAAATGTAAACTGGAGCAGGGTGCTGACTTGACTCACGCGATCAGATTTGATTGGCCCTAGCTCTGTACTACTAAGTGATCTCCATGTGGCAGCCCATTGTGAATTGCCAAATATGGAAGGTATGAGTAATGCATGTGAGTACGCTGGGATCTGCATTGCACTGTTCAACGCCCCAGACGACCATGCCCAGGTGGCTGTGTGAGGTGTTGATGATTCAAATTACGTCATTGCGCAATGGGCTTTTTGGTAAACTTGCTTTAGGCAAGTATGAGAGTGTTATAGGGCTTGAAAGTGATTACGTCAAACTAGACTAGTCCGCGCAGTAAGTTCGTGGAAGAATATTAGTAGCCAAGTAAAAATGTACACACATGGTGAATGCATGGCCGGTTCCTCGTGACTCCTGCTGATGTGAATTTCTTTACCAGTAGTGGCCCTCCTGCCGACCGGGGCCTGTCCAGTCACTCCCAGCGGATATGTCACCCTACACTGTGTCCTGTGAACGAGGCTGCTTGGAACGCGTATGGATCCACACGAAACCTGGAGATGAGCGATACCATGACAGTGACGTACTTGCATGTTAAAGCCCTATTTAAGTGCACATTGGTTGGTTGTGGGGGTTGTATTCACTGTATCGCGTATGGTTTGTCTGCCCCTGGTGTATATCTCTTTTTTATGTAGGTCTTCAAAACAAAAGCGATTGAGATAGGTCAGAAGTTGTTGCCAGCATTCAACACCCCGAGTGGCCTCTCGTATGCACAAGTCGACCTTCGGACGTAAGTTCCTTTGTCGTATATGACATTATCCACTCTTCATGCTGTTTGCTTGTCTATGTGTGCTGTTTAGAAGAACATTGGATCCTTTGATTATCATCATTCAGACATTCACCCTCCAGCACCCACAGTCTCACCAACTTGTATAACCTGTTGTACAGTGGAACCTTGGTCAGTCGACCACTTTGTCTTGGTCCCAAATTTTCCGCTTGGACCCTCTCACAGCTCAACACGACCACATCGTAAAAATTAAACTCTCCTGGCCGGGGTACCTCACGTGGGGCGGTAGGATTTCCAGAGTTCCACTTTACATGTAGCTTGGTTGAGATAAAGCCCGGTGATGGGCCTATTGTCACAGCTCTGGTTCCACATAGCTTTAGTCCCGGCTGGAGCGTGCTCATTTGCACGACTTTCATGGCACTCACGGTGACTGTATCTCTGTTGGTTCTGTTGATTTGGGTCGTCATGTGTAGTGGTTCTGGTCGCAACTGGAACTGGGCCAGTGGTGGCTGCTCTATTCTTGCTGAAGTTGGTACAATGCACTTGGAGTTTGCCTACTTGTCTGCTATCACTGGCAACCCAGAGTTCCTTCAAAAGGTAAGACTATGGACGGGAACGAATGCGTTACAGCTACACACTACTGGTAGTGTACTGGTAGTGCCAGTGGTAACTTGGATGTGCGAACATTTACTTACTTTTATAGTTTATACACTAGACTTTGTCCAGTGGCATCACCTTGTAGCATACTCCAAAGGTGATGGAAAGTGTGTATCCGTGATACATCTTGCATTCTTGATGTGCTGCATACTTTGAGACGTGCGCCGTGTGCCTGACGAGTGTATGGAGGTGCAGCGCAGGTTACTATTAAAGGTGGATTACAAGTCATGAATTCAAATGATATTTACCTGACTGCGTTGCTTTGTTCGGGCTTCCACAGCCAGTGCCCTTTTTCTCATTCCGTTTGCGTTTTACCTTCTTCTTGCGGAACTTTCTGGCATACCTGTCTGTGGTGTTTGTAGGTTGAGCGTGTGCGTGACATTCTTCAACAAGCTGACAAGCCCAACGGCCTCTACTACAACTACATCCACCCATCAACTAAGGCCTGGTGTCAAAGTAAGTTCAAACTGAAGAGTTTGTGCTGCCAGTGCTGAATGTGTACAGGGTACTGGATTGAAAGGTATATGCAGCTGTATACAATGCATGCATTCACTGTACATGCCATGTACAGCGAATGCAGCTGTACACAATGTATTTTGAAATGTGTATGCAGCTTTATCCCATGGTACAGTACGATTTGGGCGATTTTAGCCAGCCAGTCAGTGACCGTTCTGAGCGAGTTACCATGGGCTATAATTATTGGATAGGTGCCGTTTTGCTGGCCCTCTGAGATGTGTTATACCAAGAGTACATAACTTCCAGAGTGTGCAACTATTCATCACTCCCTGCGTTGAGGCGTGTTGCCGTGGAATATTAGCTCTTGGTGTTAGTAGTGCATGGATGCAGCGAATGGCATTTTCGGCCGTTGGCCACTTTGACGGGTCTAATCTACTCACCTCCCACCGCTTTAGGAGCTGCATCTGCATCCTTGGGGGCGGTGGCGTTCCTACGGATGCTGAAAACATAAATTTTTTTAGTAGTGCATATTAGTACACATGGTGCAGGTTGGTGTGGGTAGTTGCAACATTGAGCATTTTGTGTGTAGAGCAATCACGGATACTCTGTCTGGACAGACCTCTAAGGTCGTACAGTGCAACCTACAGCGTGTTGGTATCTGATCGCCCCTGCGTGATGTATAGTTTGGATTTTGCTGGGACATTGCCCCGTGCACACCCATCTGTGTAGCACTGAGCATCGTGTGCGTGGCACTCATGTGTAAAGCAATCATAGGTGATGTGTGACTGTAGGCACTACACGGTAACACCATCCTACTCTCTCTCTCTCTCTCTCTCTCTCTCTCTCTCTCTCTCTCTCTCTCTCTCTCTCTCTCTCTCTCTCTCTCTCTCTCTCTCTCTCTCTCTCTCTTGCTCTCGCTCTCGCTCTGGCCTGCTGGTAAGTACATAGCCCCTTTCCTTTCTATAGGACATATTGAACAGCTCCGATCATCTTGCTCCAGACTTAATTGTCCCTCTACTTGTGTAACGTGTGGCTATTATTCCTATGCTGACCAGGACATGTTTCGATGGGCGCGTTGGGCGATAGTTTCTACGAGTATCTACTCAAGTCCTACATTCAAACCAATGGTACGGACAAGCGGGCAAGGAAGATGTACGATGACGCCATGAAGGTAAGGTGGTAGACTGAACCAGGAGTTTAATACTGTTGTCTATCCGGTGTTCAAATAAGTCTTGCTTCTCTGGAGGTTGAGATTCCTTATACTATACATGTTATCTCTTTTTCTTTTCTTTATTTTTTTGCCATTTTCCGCTTTTGAATTGTGCACCGTCGTGGACTCAAGCACTTTATTTTTTTACTTTTCATGGTGTCGACGACTAGACGTGCTGCTATGCATTTGCTTTGTTCCACCTTCTGTGCTATTATAACTGGCTGCTCCCCACACTGAAGCTCGCATTTTTCCGCCAACTTGCCTTGACACTTCACCAGTGTGGGCAGCAGCCAGCTTTCCTATCAAATTATTGCTGGATTCGCTACCACTATTTCGTACTGGGTGTTGTTGCTGGCAGAAAATGTTTCAGCTGATGCCTTGCCTCAGTCATTCATTTGGTTACAGCTACCGTAGTGAGTGGTGGTGGGGACTCTTTGCCATAACATGGTTTCAACGCATCACCAATCCTGTTTTTTTTTGCCAGGCACTGGAGCCACTGATTATCACATCCACGGGTGATCACCTCATGTTCATCGCGGAGAAGAGAGAGCCATCCGTACAGAACAAGATGGATCACTTGGTAAGGCATGACATGCTCAATGTCACTGTGTTTGCTTTCTACTTGCCCTGTAAATAGGTAGATTGCTTTTCAGAAACGTTGCAACAGCCCCTAGTTTGAAGTTCGAAAGAAAGTTTCAACATTGTGTTGTGTTTGCTGTGCCTGCCGTTGTCTCTTTCAGGCTTGTTTCTCTGCTGGCATGCTTGCACTGGGCAAGAAAGGCGCGCCGGAAGAGCTGCAGAAGAAATACGATGTCTGGAGCAAGGGCATCGTGAACACGTGTCACGAGTCCTACGACAGAACAGGTGAGGGGTGCTTGCACTGGCTGTACATACAGCACCCCCGGGCACTCTTCCGCTGGTCTGGTGCGCTTTTTAACCTTTCTGGTTCACAAAACGACTTCCACTGGAAAATATTAATAATCGCAAGAAGTGTTTGCGTGCATGCAAATAGTGTGCATGTTCTCTTCTGAGTGGCAGGCGATACTCGGCCAAAATAACTTTTAACCTTTTGAGCACGACGCTACCTGAATGCCGCCCCACGTCAACACCTGCAAAAATCGCGTTTTTCCTATGAAAGTAGTAGCTGTTCAAGGATCGATAACTTTACCTTCCTTTGGACGAATTCCACGATCTTGAGCTTCCTGCAAAGGTCTTGAGGCGAGGAACAAAATAGTTCCAAGCTCAGCTCGGAGCGACACCAAAAGCCCATGCTACAGTCTGGCAAACTTCACGCACGCGCTCGACAGACTTGAGCACGGCCAGGAGATCAAATCCTCAGCTGCCATTTCACTCTCCTTGCTCGTATCGAGCTCAAATTTTTTTTGAGGACTCCCCAGATCCGCTGCCATCATTTGAATCTAGTTTCCATGGCAGCAGATAGCGCGAAAATGATCGAAAATGGAGAATACGCGTTCTGCAGAGTTCGCAAAAAAATCGATTTGAATTTGCCGTGTCGAGTCGCATATATCAACAACCCGGGGTCGTATCGCTTCGGCGATTGTTTCTATTGCAAGCTGAGAGTTTTCTCTTGCAGATACATATTTCGATCGTGAGAATCGGCCAAGAATTGACCGAGTTACGATGGTTTGAACTCACGCGGTTCATGCATATCGCGTTTGTACGCTATGTACACTCACGACGTAATAATACGTCATGCGTGGGTGCAGTGACACTGTACGTGACGTATTAATACGTCATGCGTGCTCAAAGGGTTAAAGGGGAACTGTCACCAAAAATTTTCTTTGTCTTGTCTTGTAGTTCTTTGGCTCCTGATCACGATGGTGTTATTCGTTTTTCTCTGCGATGACTGGAAGTGGGTGAAAACTTGAAAAGAAGGTGCCCAAAATTGTCCCGAAGTACCGAGTGACGTCACGCCGGACTTGACCTCCACGCGTACATTCATCGTCAAAAACGAAGTCCAGCCCGTGTGCTGGTCGATCGAGCCAACTGTTTGATGTACGGTGCACGCTTGCCTTCTGAACTCGGACACTCGATGTGTATACGTAATCGTTGTACACAATGAGAACACCAAAAAGGGACAAAATAAACAAAAGTCGACAGCAGTTTGTCGCACTGGTACTTCCTCCATGAAGCTCCAGCTCTTTGTTTTATTTGTGATTACGAAGGAGTGGAAGGATGTTTGTTTGCTGTTAGTGTGACACACATACCTCGTACTTGAAAATTATGTCGTATCGAAGGTGGCGGTGTTGCCCACCCGGCTCTGAAATGAAAGACGTCGGAGTTTGTCATCTGCATCTTCAGCAACAACGCCAGATGAATCACCTTCACGTACCTACATTGCGTTCCTTTGGGGCTCGGGTTGGTGCTGTTATCGCCGGCCGGAGGAGTACTGTTTTCTGCATACGCACTCATCATCGTGTTGTTCCTCACACGAAAAGTTCAAAACAACGACGTACTTCCGTGCTCACAAAATATAACTTAGATCCTCGCGGAAGAAGTCAAAAAGGTGATGCTCAGCTGCTTTTTATTTTGATTTGGCTGTGTAGCTGCACGTGGGTCTCTGCCTCTTTGGCATTCTCCTTCGGTACGACGTACCCATCTGTGTTACAGTTCAAAAGGCACACGTGCACCGTACATTGGAACAGCTAGCTCGATCGACCAGCACACGGGCTGGACTTCGTTTTTGACGACGAATGTACGCGTGGAGGTCAAGTCCGGCGTGACGTCACTCGGTACTTCGGGACAATTTTGGGCACCTTTTTTTCAAGTTTTCACCTACTTCCAGCCATCGCAGAGAAAAATGGATAACACCATCGTGATCAGGAGCCAAAGAACTACAAGATAAGACAAAGAAAAATGTTGGTGACAGTTCCCCTTTAAATAAGTCTGGATGCAGGAGGCTCAATTGTACACCCTGGTATACCGTGATGATGTCACTTACAGCGGGCAACTGATCGGAGACCGGTTCTTTCTAAGGGTCGCTCTTGATTGGTCCAAACCGGAACAGGATCGTGAAACATTGGTGTTTTGTTGGTCTGCACTGGTTCCAGAATGTTCAGAACATGTGCTCAACACTCTGAGCTGAGGCTAAAGCAGCAACGATTTTTGCACTGTTTCTGGCAAGGAAACTGTTTGTTGTCCTGTTTCGTAGGGAAATAGCTCCAGTGAATCTGATCCGAATCATGATTCACGAGTCGAACGGGCTCTAAGTGGGTGCTTGTGAAGTTCTGCATAAGCTCTACCTGTGAGCCATACGTACGCAGAATATCTGTAGGTTGTACAACCCTGCACTGCCTTTCTAAAACAGTATTTCAAGATTGTGTGGGCTGTGCCCATGCATGAACTAGAGCATGTTTGTTGTTGGTGGTGGTGGTGTTGGTGTTGTTGGCGTTGTTGGCGTTGTTTGAATGTTTGAATTCTTTCTTCTCACTTGTTGTGGTTGTTGTTGTTTGTTGTTGTATGTTGTTTGTTGTTGTGTGTGGTTTGTTCTCATGCTTCTTCTCTGTGTTTGCTTGAATCACACAACAGCAACAAAGATTGGTCCTGAAAGTTTCTACTTTGACAGCCGGGATGCAACTGCCACCAACCCCCGGCAACGCTATTATATCCTACGGCCCGAGGTTATTGAAGGCTACTTCTACATGTGGCGTCTAACGAAGGATCCCAAATATCGGGAATGGGGCTGGGAAGCAGCCCAGGTGCGTACACGTTTGTGCTCTGTTGTATGTTGTCCTCTGCTGTGCTGTGTGGGGTGGGTAGTATTTGTGAGATAACCACTTGACTGCATCTACTGGGGTGCTACCGCTGTATTTACTGTTTAGTTGGCATTTTCGTTAGCAGAAGGCTTATTTGGAGCTCCCATTTCAATCTTTCTCTTGCAGTGCTTTGAAGTACTTGTAGGAAATTATTTTTTTCTGTATTTAGGGTCGTTTGGGGTGACGTATCAGTGTTGGGTTCAATCCTGGTACATGTATATCAGTGATGCGCTGCGGTCCAACTGTAGTTTGGGAAATATTCCGTTGCCGCTTCTCACCTGCTACTGTACTACCGTCCGGTAACTTGCAAGCAGAGCATCCCACACTGTACAGTACAGTCATGTACATGTACCGTAATGTACCGTAATGTCGCGTAGAAAAGCAGGTGCTTACGGCCGTATAAGCCGGGGTTCAAACCATGCTTTTATTCAAGTTATGCTTCTATTCGAAACATGCTTCTATGTCAACATCATCAGTCTACACTGTGCAGTGCACACTGGCACGCATGCACTTGCACATGTACTTTGCAGAGAGCGGCTTCTATTCAAATCGTGCTTCTGTGTCACGGCGCGCTTCGAAAATCGGCTTCTATTCGAGTCATGCTTCTATACAGGTCGTGCTTTTATACGCGACACTACAGTATATGCAATGTGCTGTGTGCTGTGTCTGCGTTTCACTTCACACCTGCATGATTGAAGTTAAAATTGCAAGTACACAATGTCTAATTCCGAGCGATACCGTGTAACCGTTTTGCTCAGCAATCCAGTGTGTGTAATGCGTTCCAGTCGCGTTTCTTTGTGTTCTAATGTGCACTGTTTCAGGCAATTGAGAAGAACTGCCGTGTAGAAAACGGCTACAGTGGTATCCGTGACGTCAACTCTGTGCCGGCCCAGCACGATGATGTACAGCAGTCGTTCTTCATTGCCGAAACGCTCAAGTATCTCTTTTTGCTATTTAGTGATGACGACGTGATAGCGCTGGACCAGTGGGTGCTGAACACAGAAGCGCATCCACTACCTGTGCTAAGCAAGCTACCGACATGATGATCTCCCACTGTGTTAGTACATCTAGTTGATATCTATATGGAGAAAATTCAATACTCGAAATGTTCTGACTCTTACCTTTTTTTCACATAGGTTTGTCTGACTGCTGGACAGTTTGGCTATCTGTATGCCATGCATCTTTCCTGCCATCCCCATCTTTCCTGCAACTCTCTCTGTTCCTCACAGTCCCGAGCGATATTGTCCGTGGTGTGTCTTTGTTCTTTCGTCGATGTGCCCCCTGGCTTGCTAGTACGAGCCGGCGATTTTATCTGTTCTGTTGTAGAGAGAGAGCTGTGTTATTTGATAAGTTTGTGTGCGTGTGTGTAACGTTATGTATGTGTGCGTGTGTGTAACGTTATGTATGTGTTCGTGATGTGGGTGTCATGTGCTATATCTGTCACGCACACATATGCTCAGAATCAATTTGTACATAAAAGTGAAAGTGCTTGCCTCGCGTTCTGCGTATGTTGCGGGCCAGTGGTCGGAGGGCTGCCCTCTGGACATTGCCCGTCTTGTCCTGCGTCATTTATGGTGTGTGCCTGAGTGTGTGCCTCCATCGTGTGTGCCTATGTGTCCGTGTCTGTCCAGGTGCGTGCCTGTGTGTGCGCCCATCACTAATCGGCAGCCATTGCCCGATTATTTGCACATATTGAGTGATTTCTTTTGCCATTTCATTATTTTCATGTGAACTCACTTATCGGCATGGTACTAGGTGGTTAGTACTCTTTTCCTGTGATCATACTGCTCTTCATCTCAAAACCAACTAATTCTTTTTCAGCTGATGTCGATACTGACTACACTACAATTGTAGCTGTACGACAAAAACGCTTACAACAAGAAAACAACAAATTTCAAGCTCTTTACTACATGCATTTCATTATCGCAATAGTCCACCCGTGATGAGAAGACATTGAAAGTCCTTGTGGAAACACTGGAGTGTTGCATGTGAACCTGCACTGGAGTAGCCCTGGTATGTTTCAGGCATGTTTGGTTTAAAAAAAAGGAGCAGAATGCGAGGAATTTCCTGCATGCCATATTTAAAGCTTTGTATGGTTCTGCCATTATTTTTCATGTTTTCCCTGCAGAATCTGCCACTTTCCGAGCATTTAAATACCGTAAATAATTCTGTCCCCTTCGAAAAACGCGATTCCGCAATTTTTACAGAAATTGCCATCATCCACTGAAAAACTCTGAATTAATTATTAAAATTATACACAAGAGAGAGATTGGAAGCTTTGTTACAACTCTGAGTTTCACGTATTACTACGATCATCAGGCAACTGATGGATCCAAAACGGGCAGCCAGAACATAAGGGGGAGCAAAGTGGGAAATTCTGAGGGGTGTCATAGGCGACGCGTATCATAGCGCAAGAGTCAGGTGCAGGTGTGAAGTTGCCAAGTCTTCAGACTTGGGGCTATGCAGCAGTAGTTCCGGCGTGAATGATGTAGAATAGAGCTGGGGACACATGCCAAATCCACACATGCCCACACCATTACACAAACATACACTCACACGCGCGTCCACACACACATTCTCTAAATCTCTCTCTCACACACCCACGCACACACACATTCATTCTCTAATCTCACACACGCACACACACGTTCATTCTCTATCTCACACACACACACATTCTCCAAATCTCACACAAAAATTCTCTCTCTCTCTCTCTCTCACACACACACACACACACACACACACACACACACATACAGGGCCACTTTCATTCTCACACCTACCGCACACATACTTGCACCCGCACTTATCCAATCACCCACACGCACTCTCTTTCTCACGCATGCGTGACACAAACACACACACACTCACACATGCGCGCGCACACTCACACACGCACACACACACACACGCACACACACACACATACCCACACACACGCACACACACAATAGGCAACGGGACTACCAGCTAGATTCACTTGACCTTGCGGACAAAGTTACAGAGGTAGAACTTGTTTTCATGACGACACTTGGACACAAACTCTGACCTCTTTTTGAGGGAGCGGGTCTTGTCGGCCCAGGCGATCTCCAGCTTCTCGGCCAGACACAGGTTGCAGCGCTTCGAGATGTTAGAGTATGGTGCGGCTCTCCTCACAACGGACCACCTGATACTGTAAGGTTTGTTTTCATCCTTCAGTCTCCAGATGTGTCTGGACAGTCTCGTTGAGGTCTCGTGCTTCTTGTGGCGAATAGTATGTTGATGACCATTGAATCGTGTCTTGAATGTCCCCTCCGTTAAATCCAGTGTACTCCTTCACGTCGCTGCCGGTTACATGTGCCCTGTTAGTGTACACAATGCTCGATGCTAGACAGTTTCCTTCCAAGGCAAGGGGCAATCATTTTTGACACGGCAGTTGCAGGTTCTCACATCCTTGGTCTTATTCTGGTGGTCGCTGCGGAGGATACTATTGTTGTGTTGCTTTTAAAACAACGTTATTAAAATTATAGAAACCGTTCGAATGCGACTTGAATTCTCACTTGACTGACTCACGACTGGACTGCCATCAAGAGCACTCCTATATCCAGGGAGCCCGACACAGTCATCATGACTGTGTCGGGCTCCCTGCTCCACACGAGAACTCGATCCAACCTTCCACTCGGCAACTGACCTGCAAGGAAGCACCACTCCCGGCTCAATACACAGCGTTTCGGTAAGAAAGCAGACTGATGAGGGGTGAATTCCCCCGAAGCACTGCGTGTTGAGCGGGGAGTGGTGCTTTTCTTGCAGGTTTGCCAAGTGGAAGGTTCGATTTACTTCTCGTGTGCTCTGGATGGCAGTCGCGAGTCAGTCAAGTGAGAATTCAAGTCGGCAGGAATAGCGCAAGCTCCCACGTACTACATGTACCAAGAGTCTCTTGATACAGTACTACAGTAGGGAGCAGCACACCCCAAACGGTATCGCCGAAGTCGCACCAACCTCTTCTTCACATTGTTGTCCCCGGCGCGGACTTTTAGTTATAGTTTGGACTTTGGAGGCAACAACGTTGTACTAAGTAAATGGCCAATGGTCCTCAGCGTTTGTTCAGCACCTCCATGCTGAGACACTGACTGCATGATCCTGCTATAATTATGGTGTTCACGAGGTGTTTGTCGCGCTGGAAACCGTGCGTCTCTGTAAGTTTGTATCCCTGGTGATGTTTGTACCTGGAGGGCACTATTCGGTGGTGCTTTTCGGGCACAATCTTCCTCAGCCTACTCGAGCTCAACTGATGAGGGCCGGGCTAGGGGTGTCGTGAACTCCCCGAAACACTGCGTATTGAGCAGGGAGTGGTGCTTTCTTGCAGGTGTGCCTAGTAGTAGAAGGTTCGATCGACTTCTCGTGTGCTTTAGATGGCAGTCGTGTCGGAGTCAGTCAAGTGGGACATGTTGTAGCAGACTATGGTGGTGCACCGGTGGTCCACCCCCAATTTCAGGACGTAACTTCGCTGCTACTGGCCCTTGAAGATGGCATTCGTAATGGCCGCCATTGGACAGGCTGAGTTGATCGCCTTTTTTGATTTGTTCGAGGGACTCAGCCAGTCACCAGTGGATGGCTAAACATTACTAGGATCGGTGTGCGAACATACATAACAATCATGTAGTTGGTTAATTAATTTGGCAGTGCTCAGTGTGCTGTGTGATGTTGTTGTTGTACCTTGTTTGAAGGTGTTTCAGTTCGTGTTTTATCTACATGTATTCAGTTTATTTTATTTTTGGTCGATATCTTAAGATATCCAAACTGTCATAGTGGGTGAATGCGGTCCACCTAGGGGTAAAAGGAGCCAACTTTGAGCGAAATCGGAAACTTGGCCAAGTTTCCGATTTCGCTCAAAGTTGGCTCCTTTTACCCCTAGGTTTGTTCAGCACCTCCATGCCGAGACACTGACTGCATGATGCTGCTATCTGGTGTTCACGAGGTGTTTGTCGCGCTGGAAACGGAGCGTCTCTGTAAGTTTGTATCCCTGGTGATGTTTGTACTTGGCCAAGTTTCCGATTTCGCTCAAAGTTGGCTCCTTTTACCCCTAGGTGGACCGCATTCACCCGCTCAATACCGCCGAAGACTAGTGGGTATCCCAGCATCCGGACAACACGAAATAATTCAGGATGTGACAGCTGGCTTCCTGAAGAGAATGGCTAGCAATGACCATGTCCCTGTTGAGCCGCACCTCGAGCCTCTGTCCGGTGAGCAGCTCTCTCATCGCACTGCCGTTCGCGCCGATACTGCTAGGTCGGCTCCGTGGCCTACACCCGTCATTAGTCATGACTCGCTACCTAGATCGGAAGGGACTGGTGTTAAATTTATTTGGTCGTCGCTCACTATTCGTAATCTTGAAATGGAAATCAGCAAGGTAACTTGATCACGATGATGGAAAACATATCTGTGAAAAGCGGTGAGACTGATGATTTGACGACGATAGGCTAGTGATTCTAGGGAGCATTTAGACAGATTTACATGTAGAAGAAGTGTAATCAAATGCAATTTTTTTCTTTTTCAGTAGAGCTCTAGCAAACCTTGCCTGTAATTGATCAAGAGTGGTCATGGGTTTCTTAAGTTGTTTTTATCATGTTTATGGCTATCACCAAGAGTACATGAAAACCGGTTTTCATGTACTCTTGCTATCACCAAGAGCATAATATTATTATTATAACCTCCTTGGTGCTTACATGTATTCTCGCTTTCACACCTACGCTGAATTCTTCACACATACACAATGTGTGCATGATTTTACTTTTTACAGTCAACTAATTACTTCGCTAATAACGACTGCGGATATAACGACAATTCGCGAATAACGACATAATTTTCATGCCCAGAGCAAAGTCCCATCCAACTGTGCTGTCACATGTGACACATGACTTGTAATGAGACTTCGGGTATAACGACACTGCGCGAATATGGACACTTTTCTGATGCCCCGCCGAATGTCGTTATAAGCGAAGTTCACTGTATACTGTATGAGGGAAATGGAAAATGGGAAAGTCTGGAGAGAAATAATTGACTGTCACCATGGTCACCACCAGGCACCGGTACCAGGACTTGAAGTTGAACCAGGGCCGGGGACCTTCGCTTGAGGCCAGAGATGCTAAGTCTAACCACTGACTGGTAGTGGTATAGCTGTCATCCCAGCAGAGACCGCTCAACATTTCTTCAGACTTCGAAACGCATGCTTCCTGTGAAACTACAACTAACGTTACTTTACAAGTAACTAGTACAAAGGCTGGTGAGTGGTGAGACGCAGCCCTCGTTGTACCAAGAGTACATAACCCCGGGTTATGTACTCTTGGTTGTACCCACGCACTTCACGCACAAACTAGTACGCGGGATAGGACTCGCTATGTTGTCGATGTTCGAGAAGCCATTCCCAGTACAATCCTTGATGAGAAGGGACCGAAAACGTTCAGATGCTTTATCAATGTTTATGACCGTTGAAGTGCCGTATTTGACTGGATGTGCGTGTTTGCGTGGATACTTGTGACCTAATAGTACCGGTAATACTTACCTTCGCACATACTGTAGATCAGTACTTTAAAAATATTAATACAGTAATTATAAAGTTTTCAGGGGTAGTAGTAGTAGCAGTAGTAGTACTAGTACCGTAAAGTACCGTTGATCCGCCCCCCACGCCATGTCGCTTCCCAGCTGGGTTTTCGGCAGGGGGCGGGAATTAGATCAAGGCTGTCAAGTGCAGTACGCGATGTACAACAACGTAGAGGATCAGTCTCAACGTGCTGGATTGTGCACATTTTGATCCTGGATTGGCAAGTATTGTGTACAGCAGTGTATGCGTCGGTTCAACATCGTATTTCGTTGTATACGCCGAAGTCGCTTCACAAGGAGAAAATCGACAGGGGGCGGGAATTAGAGAGGGGGCGGATCAACGGTACTTTACAGTAGTAGCAATGCATAGTCAGTAGACACCCTTAGCAAACAACGTTATGTTGTAACGGTATTATCGTAAGGGGGAAAATACCGTGATTTGGGTTCGACCTTTAGCAAGATGCACGCTATTTTTAGTACGCTGTTGCCACGAGAATAGCTTTGATTTCGCGCTGTACAACCATTTTTTCATCATATACGCGATACAAGGTGAAATGCGTACGGACTATGCAATATTTGGCTAAAACACGTACCGTTGGTCACAACGATAAATCAGCCCCCATAACGTTTATACGCTGCAGCTTCAACGCTATTTGGGTGATCAAGGTACGAGTACCGTAAAAAATAGCGTTACCGTTGTTTGCTAAGGGTGTCTAGTGCATAGTCACTACCACTTCAGTACTACACTACTGTAGTACTAGTCAGTGCATATTGTGATGTGGCCACTAATCAAGAGTACATACATGTACATGTAACCCCCTGGGTTATGTACTCTTGCCACTAATGTAATGGCACTCGTACAGACTAGTGTAGTACAGTATTAGCCTATGCCTATGTCGGCTATGGCACTACAATAATAATAATTATTAATATTATAACAATCACACACAACAGAGGCGAAAGGCTGTTAGCTGTAACTTAATCACGCATCGGAGCGATCATCAGACAGCAGCATTCACTATCGAATTCTCTACGAGCAGGCCTAGATATTTGGTGCTAGTGTGGAAGTAGTTAGTGCATATGTGCGAAGTGAAGACGTGGCATTGGGACAATGGTATTGAGTTGTACCAAGAGTACATAACCCCGGGGGGTTATGTACTCTTGGTTGTACCGGTAGTGCCAAGCAGGGCCGGAGTAGTACGTATTGTACTACTCCCTGGTGCCAAGACTGCAAGAGTAGATACTCTGATCTTGGTAGTGCACATAGTGACATACACTGTAACCATGATAACAGTCTGTGGTCAGTGTACAAAAAGGTGTAGATCTGCGTACTCAGTATTACCAAGAGTACATAACACCTGGGGTTATGAACTTATGTACTCTTGGTATTACCAAGAGTACATAACTACACATGTGTGTAGTTATGTACTCTTGGTATTACTATTACTACAATATTCAAGACAAGAGTAGAATTGATACCTACTCTTGGTACGGTATAATACATCTTCTACTACTGTGACCAGGTGACTACACTCTCGAGGATCTCAGCAGTACAGTGTGGGCATGATGAAGGCTGAAGCGGAGCAGCTCTTCTGATTGTACTGCTCAGTACTACTATTACGTCAGTACTGACAGTAGGTAGACCCTTTGGCCTTTGTATGTACTCAACATGCACCATGATTGTGTAGATGTACGCGACACGTATGGCGGTATGATGTACTGAAAGCATGCAGGGGATCAGTGGTCATGGTGGTAGGCGCTAGGCCTTGGCCTTGTACAGTCATGCACTCATATTAGTTACGTAGACTCTAGTCTTGATCTTGGTTGAATGTCACATGCGAGCTGATTTGAAGTCGACACTGAGAACAATTGATGCCTGGATGCAGTGATATAGCACAGATCTTTGGACGTTTCTTTCAGTTACATCTAGTTGCTGGTTCAAGCTGGTGGTTGTGTTAGTGAAGCTGCACGCTGGAGAACTTAGAAGTCTGTGTGTTTGCTTTCAGACCAATGACCGCATATTTCTGAGACATTAGCCAAATGATGTGAAAAGTAACCATTGTCATTGAGGAAGATGAGCAGCAAAAACTTCAGTTCTCCTGGTGGAGAATCACGTGTACCAAATTCTCTATCGCGGAAATGTCCTCTCGAAGATGTTTGGATGGACCTGCAAGATGGAATACGTCAGGTATTTTCGTACAGGAGTATGTCAAAGCCTCGATACATGAAACTTTATACGTATCCTCAATATATTCTTCCGATTTAATAGCGTAACATTCTGTTTGCAATTGTTCTCGTTGTTTTGAACCATGTGTACATAGTATATCGTGTATTGCAGTACCTGGGATTTGTTTCTTGTCAATATAGCCTAGTTGTTGGTCCCCTATTCCCACCCAAAAGAAGAAAAAAGGAATATTGAATATCCATTATAATGTCATGTGAATTGTTATTGTGATTGTCACCAGGACAACAACAAAATTGAAAGTGTAAAACACCACATGCATGGTTGGTTGAATTTAGTTAGAGCAGAAATTCATGGAGGCAAAAAGCTCCCTCCTTCCAGGCATGCTTTGAGGCGTAGTATACTATTACTAGATATTCAACTGTGGCCGCCATTAGAAAGATGACAGCAGGGTCAACATATCTTACAGTAAACTATGGCCAGTCATCATTGACCCTGCATGCCCTCAGTGTTGCTAGCACACTGCACTTCATTTTTAAATGGTATGCATGTAGCTGGTCTGGTATATTCTGTTTTCGCAATGAGGTGGATCGTAGACAAAGCGAAATTGAGTACTTGTGGTGTGACATGTATTTTCCCTCTATTGCTGGTGTCGCAGTATGTACTCATGTGTCTGTCTGGGTGCACATTTGTGTGTGGTGTGTGTGTTAAAAAAAAATTAAAAAATGGACTCGGATGGAGAGCCAAGGATTAATTTATAGAAAAGAAAAAGAGAGCGTGTGTGGGCAGGCATGTGTTTACCGCCATATTGCCAGGTGTGTCTTTACCACCATATTTATCAACGAAAAGAAAAAGGACCAAGGAACTACAAGTTACGCTATAATGTCCACTAACACCACCAGTTACTAAACAATCAGCTCATGCGATAACATTGCACAACACTGACCGACGGTACTGACGTTCTACAACTAACTGGCTAACAGCTCTAGCATCTTGGATGCGCACTCCAACAGCCTTCCAACTTGGAAGGTCTAAGTTATAGAAATAACATAAGGAGGGGAATCATAGCTGAGACTTTCAGCTCGTGCTTATCTTGGTTGCGCTCGCCTTCCCCTCCTCAGGTTATTTCTATAACTTAGAACCTTCCAATTTGGAAGGCTGTGCTAGAGTTGTTAACCAGTTAGTTGTAGAACGTCAGTACCGTCGGACAGTGTTATAGCGTAACTTGTAGTTCATTGGTCCTTTTTCTTTTCTATAAAAAAATGAATGAAAAAATTGAAAAATAGGGATTGACTGGCCAGAAAAAGCCACTTCAATCAGCTGTGTGGTGGATACCAGGCTAAAATTAGTGGCAGTCAATTCATCAGCCTTGCAAGCTGTTGAATGGTGTAATCCCAGCACAAGTTGCTATATCTAACATAGCTGTTCGCTATCATCGCTCCCGCGATGGGCAGGTCTGAGGTGAGGTGTGTGTGGGGAGGGGGTATGACCGTTCAAGGCACAATACTGCACGTAATGTTATGATGTGACTTGCTCCTTAACTCTCCATTGTGTATACACTAGTCATGTGTATAACTACTGCACTAGTGTCAACCAGACACCTGACAGCTCGCGGAGCACATCTGCAAGATCGGCTTCAGGTAGAACGGGCAAGAAAGAAGCGGGAGGTCGAGCTGCAAGGAAGACTGTTGGCCCTGGAGCGGCCTCGGCCGGTGGTAAGCGTGGATCGAAAGATGCTGGCAGTTCCAGTGCTAGTGGTGAGTAACTTACCATGTCTGCAAGTACAGTTGGAGCTAAAGGAATCCTACGGCCCTAGCTATGCAGCTGGGTGAACAAATGTGCTTGCCAACTTACCATGCGTGTGTACTCATGCAGTTTGATGTTGCACTTGTACCTGCACGTGGTGCAGTCTGCTCTGAAGGAGGTAGGATTTCTTTGGCTCCAGTTGTTGTCGGCTGTTCAGGTTCTGTGCTTTTGTTCCTGCTGCTGATGCCTGTAGTCAGTGGTGGCGGCGGCCATGTTGGTGGTGGTGGCTGGTGTTGCAAATTTTAAAACAGTATAATTATATCCTTCACACTTCCATACAAATATGGGAGCATGAGTCAAATGCTTTGTGTTTATCTGGGTTCCGAGGATTTGGAAGAACTCCGTGGTATGCCTCGTTTATTCGAGTGAAACCTGTCTAAGACGACTGCTCAAGGGACCTTCAAAATGTGGTCTCTGTTACAAGGTGGTCTCCTTATCCAGGGTCAATTCACTGGAAATAGCATCCCTTGCATGCCTTTTTTATTCATCGGAGCAGTGGGAATCGTCTTACTCGTTTGGTCATGGGGTTTGCGGGGTCTCCAGTATCTCTGTGTACCTACCGAACACTAAAGGATGGAGAAACATTTGGAAGTGGAAGGTGGGAAAGGTACAGGAAAGTCTTAGCAGGTGTTAATCATGTCACAGGTGTATTGGTCTGTGCTGTCGACTCCCAGCTTGTCAGCTTTGTATTCTGGTGTTGTTGCCAATGGGATGGAGGGAGAGAAGGTAGAGAATGTCCACATGGCTGCGCTCCTAAGGGAGAGTACTGTGAAAGCGGTATAATGGCGTCATTACATATTATGTAACGAAGTGCTAATTACAACAGGTGAAAGAGGAGAAATCTTTTGTTGCTGTTTGAAAAAATACGTTAGACAGAAAGCGATAATTTGCGCCTCGTTATATTATTGGCTTTCACTGTAACTAGCTGCCAGCAGTGCCTGAGTTTATATTGGTTGTCAGGACATCTGTCCTAACCGGGCACCCGTGGTGCAGCGGAAACTGTCCTGATATGACAGGATTCCGCTTGATCCTGGGATGCATGTTCAATCCACAGCACTTTGGTGCATGTCAGGTCAACACAGGATTTCGCTTGGTAACGGGTCCGGCAGACACAGATTTTACTGTGCGTGTATTGAAGGCGCTTTGAGGTAGAAACTTACTTTCGATTGTTAGTCAGTGTATACATTTTGGTTGTTGGTTTCGCATACTTACCGCTCTACATCTGCTCTACATCTACCGGTTCTGCTATGTGCTCAGGCACTAGCCACCATATTGGGATCGGCCTGTATCGCAAAATTGAGGATCTGTTCCAGGAGATCTTGTCTGACATATCAAAGGTAGGTGTTTGTACTTTGAAGTGCAGTACTATTATAATGTATGCAAGTCGAGTATCATTCGACTCAGGAACGTGCACATAACCTCGTGCAGTTGACTACTGATCTAATGGTTGCACTTGGTGGTTTTGCTTCCAGACAAGACATCGTTTGTCATCAACGGAAACAACTCGCTACAAAGGGCCCCTTTGGTTTGGGTTCGAACAGGGACAAGGGAACTGATTCACTGTGCTAGTATGACGAAAGTCATTTCGGGTGTGCAAATCCCCAGTATGATCATGGCAGATATTCGGATTGCGCGCACGCTATCCTTCGTTTGTACGTAGTACGAACGTATCTGGGACACGTGATGTGAGAGAGTTGCACACTCTTGGGGGTTTATATACTCTTGGTAATATTGTAGAAGATGTGTTATTATTGACACCAACCTTATTGCCGATACGTATCGTGCATGTATGCGTATGTGTATGCCCAAGCGTACTCGTCGCGGTATCGATATCAATGAAATTGACAGGCCGTGTACAAGTACTAGTATGCTGGTTTGGCCATGACGCACCCTAGACCCTGTGCCCGTAAGAAGAAGAAAAAAGGTCACCTTTGCATATAATTTATGTCTCTGTGTATGTTCTGGTTGAGATAATTTTCCAGTGGGCATCTGTGAACGTATTTACGTTACTGATTCTCGGGTGTGTTGTTCTCCCATTTTTTTTTCTTTTTAGGCGGGTGAGCACCTGAGAGATGAATCCATTCTAGATCAGTACACGCAGGAGTGGGAGCGCTATCAGTTTAGCTGTCGCGTACTTCATGGTCTCTTTGCATATCTTAACCGGCATTGGGTGAAGAGAGAGTGTGATGAGGGCAGGAAGGGCATTGTGGATGTCTACTCGGTGAGCAGTTGGTGTTATTAGTTATTGTGCTTGCGGCTGCTTCTAATGTCGCCGTTGTTGATGCCACATATATTTGCTGCATTGTTTGTATTGGTGCTGTAACTGTTGTTGGTAGCGTTACTTGGTTATTATCGCGTACATTCCCCACATCCGCGTGCCTTAAGTAACGTTTTCATTCCGACTTGAGAAAAAGTAGTTTTTGCTCTGTTCTGTTTTGACTGATCAGTTGGCGCTAATGGCCTGGAAGAAGTACTACTTTTGGCCGCTGAAGGAGCGGGTAAGTTCTTCGCTGACTATCATAGTAGCATCTGTATGCTGCTGTGTGACGCCTTCGTGAAGCCTGATGTTCACATGTATACGCTGCGCTAGTCTCTTCTTGCGTTCTATTTACAGAACTGATCACTTGAACTTTGTAGATTATACAGCGTTCTAATCGTACACAATTGTACATGACTATACTTGTAATCAACGCAATAAATAAAGCAAGCTGCGCATTCAATACACACACCATTTGCACAAGTTACGTATCCTTTTTTTTATTGCGTTGATTTCATTTGTCTCCACGAAAACTGTTAGGCTATACTTGGACGAGAAGAATTTTCTCATAGAATCATGGCCATGCTGAAAGATTTCTTTCTGCATTTGATTAATTGGGGCCGTCCAAGGTTACCAGTTGTTTTTTTCTGGGTACCGAAGGTTGAAAATGTCTTGTTAGAATTCGTGTTACCTACAGAAAGGGTGGGCGGGTGGTTGGGGCAGAACAAAATACAACTTTTCGTTTTGAAAAACGAAACCAATCAGGAACCCCAGACTAAGTGTAGTTTTAAAGACATCACCTATATGCTCTGAGGTAATTTCCTACCGGTGTGCTCTTGTACTTTTATTTAGATCATAAACGCTGTCCTAACCTTGATCCAGAGAGAGCGCAGGGGTGAAGCCATCAACACCCGCTTTATCAGTGGAGTCACATCCAGTTTAGGTGAGCGTCATTTGTGTGGATGCTACTGGACATACGCAATCTCTCTCTCTTTCTCTCTCTCTCTCTCTCTCTCCCCCTCTCTCTCCCTCTCTCTTTCTCTCTCTCTCTCTCTCTCTCTCTCTCTCTCTCTCTCTCTCTCTCTCTCTCTCTCTCTCTCTCTCAGTCTACCCCGCTTTTCTTGTCCCTCACCAGGGAGAGAGAAGTCAAAACCAAGGAATGGGAAAGCACAAGCCCACATGGTTGCTTCTTCATTCCTGCTTGTACATGACTTGTCGTGTTAGCTCTCTTTTATTGTTTGTATGCGGGCGTTAGGAAGTTTAAGATGTGCTCACAAGTTGTGTGTGTATGTGCGCGCGTGTGTGTGCGTGTGCGCATGCGCTCTATTCACTTGCTTGAAACAATCTACAGTGGAGCTGGGTGTGTGTGATCGTGTTGGTGGAGCGGAGACTGGCCGGAATCTCGAGTTTTATCGTGATAACTTTGAGACCGTCTTCTTTGAAGATACGATGAATTTCTATGCTGCAGAGAGCATTGCGTTCTTGAGTGAGAACTCAGTAACTGAGTATGTCCGAAAAGTAAGTTCTATCTGCCTGCCTGCCTGCCTGCCTGCCTGCACTCTATACTGTAGTGTCGATTGTTGCATAGTATGCATACGCTTCTGCACTTGTAGTTTTGTGCATTGTTTTAGTGACGCTTTATGCATGCATGTACTACTATAATGTAGTCAAGATTGTGCATGATTGTGCTGCCTTGAGTTTTGCACTGGTGTGCCCAGTTGTGTGTTGACCATTGTGTCTGTACTGTCTGTCCTGTGCATGATTGGAACAGGTGGAGCAGCGTCTGAACGAGGAACAGCGCCGCTGCGGAGTGTACCTTCATGAGAGCAGTCGGGATGAGGTAGGCTTGTCACTGCTACGTACTCGGAGCTCTGGTGTTGCCTCTTATTTTGCTGATTCTGCTTGTGCTTATGCTTATGCTGCTGCTACTTACGCCCAGTTCTTCGTTGCAATCTACTTATTCAATCATCACATAGACTTGATGATAACACAGATGCTGCAGCAGGAGGCCAAGCCAGACGGGAGATGCATGGCTGCAACAGCATTGTGCTGGTATAGTAGGTGGCATTTGAAGCATGACACACCATACACCCCATGGCCCCCGTAGCAATCATTACACACCATAGCACCCATCTTTTTCCTGTATTGGTGAACAGCTTTCAGCAGCGGTAGTTTGTTTCAGAAACCTCATGTCATCCTGGCTTTACTACAAATATTATTAATTTATTATTGTACGTGTGTGTCTCCGCTCTGATGTCTGCTCTGCAGCTGGCTCGCAAGTGTGAGTCAGCACTGATATCAAACCACATCGATCGGCTGTATTCTGAGTTCAAGGTCCTACTCCGAAACTACAGGACAGAAGGTCAGTCAATTTATCGTCCTTGGGCAGGTGCTGCTTGTAGCCTGTAGTAATGTTTTCCTAGTGAAAGGGAAGCACATGTATGGTCTAAAATCGCAATTTCAGTATTATTTCACCACTTGTAGTCTTCGAGGTGCTCAGTCGAATTGTCTTGGTCCGAGGTAGTTGGGACGCTCCATTCGTGCAACATAGGCCAGCGCGTGTGTAGTCTGGATATCTGCCACGATCATGCTTTTGACTTGCATAAGCTGGGTGGGTTTCTGTCAGGGAGTGCTATTTTTACTACTCCACTGCTGGCTAAAATCAAGCTGGGAATGTTTCACGTGAGGACTCCACCACGTGATGTGAGTTTTCACCATCGGCGGACTCCATAGCAAGGGTCTCCAGAGTTGCACACTCTTGGAAGCGTATTTACTTCGTTCTTATGGAGTCATGAACAAAGACGAAACTCTCAGAACCTGGCGCCTTCGGGACGCTGTATCGAATGGTCTTGGTCCAAAGAGGCTGCGATACAGAGTTCAGCTTCTATTCCCAATCGAGCGCGGTCCCATTGTGATGCGTACACCAGTCGCCGTACCAGTGCAGTGCGCCATGTACTTCAACATACCCGTGAGTACTCGAGTGTTGTGTTGTGCACACATGGTCTTAGCGCTATCAGTATGTCCACAGCCGGAAAGAGTCCACTGGTCCAAGTGTCGCAGTGACTCGATTGATCCACCGTCTGTCGATCTACACCGGTAGATCTACGGTCTACGGATATGCAGTAGTTGGTGCATGTTGCCACGTTTTTGTACAGTCCGCTCATAAAACAGCTCATAGAACAGCTCTCGTGTCCGCTTGGTTTTGACTTTTTGTTTGCTGGATTGCCTGTTCTCGACCATGCGTTGCGAACCTTGACCGTTGACTTCTGAGTCGTCCTACTACGAAGGGTGGCAAGGAAACCCTGATACCTTCACTGGGTTCTGGAGAAGGCTGCAGTGCATTGTCATCATGATTCCTGTGTATGTGTTTTAGCTGAGGCCAGGGAGCTGGAATAAATACACCAGTGATGTCGCGATGAGCTTCAGAGTTTGCAGGATAGTGGTGAGGATGAGGAGCCTGTAGAACATTTCCACACACATTCCTATCGTTCTCTGTAGGGCGCATTCACCCAGTTTCGGGGGAAGTGCATGAGTTCGATTGGGTACATAGGACGAAAAGGGGAGCGTCTCGGTTTCCTCGGACCAAGACCTTTTGACACAGTACCTCGACGGCCACGAGAAGTGAACTGTTGATTTTAGGCCATACTCCCCCTTTAAGTTTGCCTTCGGTCAGATATTTGCATACAGTTCTTTCCCACAACTTGTACAGCCAGACTTCGCTTATCCGGTCCTCTTTTATCCGGATCCCTCACCATCCGGAAGAAAATCGTTGGTTACCGATTTACAGCATATGATTGTCATGCATACATACAGTATGTGTGTTCGATTATCCTGCTCCCTCGCCTATTCGAAGAATATTTTTGTGGAAAACGGATGTGTGCGAGGTTTGACTGTACTTATATAGAGTGCATGCAAAATTGCGTTATGTCATTTGTGCACATTTTGCTCAATTTATTGGGTGCTTTGTGGATCTTAGCGCAGGAGAAGAGTGTACACCCATTCTGTCCTACATGATGGGCTTGTACACATTTCATCCTTGTGCACCCGGTCCGATTGCGTACCAACTTGTTTGGCTAAATGGGTGTAGCACCGTGCAGTGTTCACAGGTCAGGTGCTGAACAGTGCTGAACAGTGCCTGGCCCTAGCTGACTCATGTCGACCAGATGTCGCTGAGCACAGCACTGTAGTTATGTGTGCTTCTGGTTCTGTTTGCACTGTGTGTGTTTGCTGTAGACTTGTCACGAATCTATGGTCTTGTGGCACGCGTTGACAGCAGTGTGACAACACTGCATACTGCTTTCGAGGAGCATATCCGAGAAGAGGGTTCATTGGCGATATCAAGCATTGCTACGACTGGCGCTGTGGTAAGTGTAACTGTATACAGTGAAGCCCGTCTAAGACGACTGCTCAAGGGACCTTCGAAATAGGTGTTGCTGCTGCTGCTGCTGCTAATCTTAGTTCCTGTGTCCCCCCCCCCCCCCCCCCCCCCCATTGAAACATGGTCGAAGCAGTGGGTCGAGGGACACTCCGTAAAGCTCAGTGGCTTTCAACAATGATGATATCCCATGCGGCACATTGTCGCGGGAGCGTACCTTTGTGTGCATGCATGGCTGTCTGAGATGAAATTGCCGTGACATTGTAATTGCACCAGGAGCGGAGTTGCCCGTGCTGAGATTGTTTCAGATGAAGTCACGGAGGCATAGGGCAGTGAGAGGAAATCGTAGCTAGTGCTGGTGTGACTCCAGTCCCCAGCAGCAGCATCGCCATCATCACCAGCTTCACCCACTCAAACAGCGCAGTGAGCTATTAGCCAGCAAATTACTCTTGCATCGAAGCTAATGGCAGTGCTTGCGCAGCAGGCATGTTTTTTTCTTGTTTTGTTTTTTCTCAGGCATCACCGCAGGTGGTGTTAGTGTGCAATGTTGTCTGATAGGAAGTATGAGTTGGTGGGCAGGAAAAGTGGTAGATAAGTCTTTCTTCTTGCTTCGGTTCCTCTTATTTGGGCCGTAGCATGTGCCAATGATGAAACTGGTCCATGGTGTGCACACAAGTACTTCTCTGCTGTACAGCATGGAGGGAACGTGGCCTTTGGCACTGAGGCACTCGTGTTACTTCATCTAGTGAGACAGCGTTTTATTTATTTCCTAACGGCTTTTCATTGGTGACTGGAAATAGCATTCATTGGTCCTAGTTACAGCGGTCTTCTGCCGTTCTGGGACAGGTGGTCGCTTTATCCGGGTGGTCTCCTTGACAGGTTTTGCTGTATCACTTGTGATGCACGTGTGTGCTCATCACCAAAGAGTACATGACACCAAGAGTGTGCAGCTCGAATGGCTTGTCGTCATGGCGCAATTCCTGGACTACACCATTTTAGTGATACAGCGTGTACACGTGGGAGTCCAGCTGTAACCCAGCACAAGTCTAGCAGCATATGCTAATCCTGCAAGGCATGATTAGGGCTGCATTCGTTTTTGTCTACTTGGTAGAATAGTGTAGAATGTAGATCAGATTTTGGAGAAAAAAAGAAAGAAGGAGATTTAATAGATGGTAGATGGAAGTTCATGAATGCAGTCCAGATCTATCCATTTCGGTATATCATAGATGCAAAGTTCGCTTATCACCCATCCTTGCAGCGTTTGCGGTATGATGTACGCTCTTTTGTGTCAAAAAAAACTGCTCTCCTCGTCATACGTATGCAGAAACGCCGTTCCTCTACCAACGTCTGCCTTTCCTACCAACCTCAAGCCTGTTAGGGCCGGTAGAGGAAAGTAGAATCTACCGTTTGAGGGTGCAAGAAAAGAAGGACGCATTTATCGTAAAGAAGTAGTTTTTACTCAAACCTGTAGATCAATAACGAATGTCCCCTGGATGTTCATAAGTTTGAGGGAGTTGACCCCTTGATGTGCCTGTGTGTGTTGTTGCATTTTGTGCTCCTGCACATCCGTGTGTCATGTCGTGATTTTCGTGTACCTCTGCTCTCACCAGGACGCAGAGGCCTATGTCAAGAAGTTTCTGGAGATTTTCGATCGCTTCCTGGACATAGTTGACAAAGCCTTTGCTCAAAACAGCTGTTTTAGAGATGCCCTGGATAAGGTATGCTCGTTGTTGTGTTGCATTCTAGTGTTGTGCTGTTGACAGTGGGCACGATGAAGGGAGTGTGAGCGCTTACGCCACCGACATTGGTGCACGTGCAGCCCAGACATAATACCATCTGCACTACAGCACTGTCGGGTGCCGAAGAACAACGGCAAGGCTAGAATTTTACCAGTTTTTAAGAACGGTCTAGGCGGGATTTTTTGCAGATAAGAACGGAAACCGTAATATACACAGTTATGTACACTCAGACGTATAACTCTGCATAAATGTACATGCAAGACTGTACCATCAAATAAGAACGAAACTGCTGTGTTGGCTAAAAATAAGAAAGGGCTAGGCTAGATCCCTGACCCCCCCCCCCCCAGTTTTTCGGCGCCCGGCAGTGCTGTAACTATCTTAGGCCAGTGTTTGGTGAGTGTGACATTTTGCACAAGGCCAATGTTTTCTCACAGCATAGTGTAGGTCAGATCTGCAATGGCAGGATGCTCGTGCTGGTGTTAACCATTGCACTGAGATATTTGGTGCAGTGAGCTCACGCTGCTTTGGGTACTGCTTTAGGTACGGGATGCTGTGGCGGTTTGCATTGTGGGTTTTCAGCAGCCTGTCTCATTCCTTGAGACTGCTCTATTCGGTGTGTGTGCGTGCGTGCGTGTGTGTGTGTGTGTGTGTGTGTGTGCCAACCTGTTGGAAGGCTACCTTCTTGCCAAAGGATTTGGAAGTTGGACTAGTTTCGGCTTCACAATCCAGTGTGTCGTTACTATAATAGCTTTCATGGCTGAGGTTGTTGGTATGTCTGTTGGCTCTGGGTTCCCAGTACTCAGTAACCGAGGCTGGTTGGTAAAGTAGCTCCAATTTCACTTCAAGGTACCAGTGCATCTAGTGTCTGCTTCTATCAAAGCAGCGTGCTGTCCATACTGGTTACCCCAGCAAGTGTAGGGTGTGCATAGGTAACTGTCTTGGCCGTTTTATGCCGATGTACTCCGTGTGGTGTAGACCAGGTGTGCATTGATGGTCGATTCACATGGCTTCGCCAGTTGTGTGGATTAGACAGTTATCTGGCGCAAGTCTTGATCTGTCTCATTCAGATCTTGTTCGCTATCGTTGCTATAAGAGAAAATCTGTGGGTGCACATCCAGTGCACTTGCAGATTTGCGTGCTTCTCTTGCGACAGGCGTATACATGGTACATGGTACATGGTGTGTGTGTATGTGTGTGCTTGTCAGTTTGGAACCTGAATGCTGCTGTCCAGTAAGAATTTGTGTGTTTCTATCGCACGCCAGGACGTTCATTTAGTCAGGTGGTGTTGTATATGCAGCATAATGCTGTTGAGGTGTGGGTAACAAAGTATAATATATCTGGTTATTTACTGTACTTGCGCACCTTGAGAAATATTTACAGTACTGCTAACTCCTTTCTCAGTCCCTCAGTTTTCTGAGTATGGTTAGCATTACTGGTAATATCGCTCTGTTCAGTATTTCTGTTGGTAGTGCAAGCCGTGACCTTCTTGTTGTTTGCTCGATTCAGCTAGGAACTGTAACGATGGCGATACTGGTTGGTGTGTGATCTATGCCTAGCATGCTGTTCTGACTATAACTAGTATAAGTAATGCCACCGTACTTGTACTGTCTGCTTGTGCTGTGACTCTGCAGGCGTTCCGAGTGTTTGTGAACAAGAATGCTGCCACTGATGCGGCTGGTAGCGCAACGAGGAGTCCTGAACTCTTGGCTCGTTATTGTG